GATCCTCCGTTATTTTTCCATATATATTACCAAAATCGACACACTCAAAAATATCGTTTAACTACTCTAGCGTTATTTTTTAGCTGTAATCTAAATTTTCTGGCGATTTACAGCTTTTTTTTTAAGTTTAAGGTTAGATTTTTTATGTCGAGAAGAGTTGGCAACACTGAACGACGAGAACGAGTACGAGAGAACGAGCCTGGCGTTCTCTGAACATGCTCTGGAGAGAGACAGCAAGAGAGCGGTTATAGGAGCTCAACGAAAGGAGCACAGGATATCGCAGTCGGCGTCAACGTCAGCAGAGCAGTGACGGCGACGCAGCGCAACGCAACTAGTGCGAAATCGTAGCCAGCGTTTCTCGGTCAACGTTAACGACGACGCCGCTGCCTCTGCTGCGGCCGTTTTACAACACTGATAAAATTACACTGCTCCAATCGATTAACGAACGAAAAATTATGTCAGCGTAGCAGTTTTCCCGCCAAAATCAATAATTCTAGTTATATATATATTATAATTTTGTAATAATCCTTAAATCAAGGATTAATTTCAATATTTTATCTGATTTTCGTGCCCCATCAGAGAATTTATTTATACAAACAATTATTCTTCGAACTATCAAAAATCAATTACATAGTATTATAATTTTTAATCGACAACAACTGTGTTAACTACTGACAACAATTAAAAAAAGGGTTAATAAGAAAAGATAATATCCAAATATTGTAATAATAGTGGAATACTAAGAATGAATACTTAATAAAAATATGAATAATTATAATTCATTCATTGATAATCGAATTTACTCTGATGCAGGTTGGAATAATCGATAAAACTCTGGCAGTGTGCAAATTGTGTACAAAATATCGAAAAGGAAGTGAAATGACGCAGTCGAAGGACACCGTACACACACACACACACTTGCTAAGATATGTACGTGTGAGTAGTGTAAAAGTGTTGCCAACGAAACGCAAAAATCGGAGCACACACACATGCATGAGGAAAACAGCTGTGCCCGAAAAGTCCCGACTTTAAACTGTTTATTTCCATCTTTTTTATTTCTGTGGCGTTGCCAGGCAAGACACGTACACGTGCACAGGAAGTTGACAACACTGGCTCTGCTCATGCATGTGTATGTGCCTCTGCAAAAGTTTGTGGGCGTTGGTGTGCCTGTGGGTGTGATATTGTGCCATCATATAGCGTGCAATAGTTAACTCTCTCTCTCTCTCTCTCTCACTCTCTCCTGTCTCTACCACTTCCCGTTTGCACTTACACTTAGTTCCTTCCTCTGCTGCCCTCTCCCTCTCTTTTCGGCCTTGTCGCAGACACCCTCGCAACCTGCACAGCGAATTTCCTTAATACAGTAAAACCTTGCGAGTGCAACACATAGTAATTAGCTGGAAATAATTAACATTACAGATAATATAGAAAATTATTGTTTATTAAACGTGGTTGTTCTCCTTCTTATTTATTTTAATCTAAGGTTAACCCTAATGATAATTTAAATAAAAGTCTATTATCTTAAACGGCACTTTAACTTTGGGGACTGGTTTCTCTACTCACTGTTACAAAAAAAAGAAAAGGGTATTGTTCACCCGCTTTTATTATGATATAGAAAAATTACAGGCGAAAACTGTTTGTTTGTTTTGTTTCGACCCCAAGTTTATCTACATACATGGTTCTTTTCGTTCAGAAAAATACATTTTCAACTATGGCTTGTTTAGTTGAGGATGGGAAACAACTAACCGATAACCACAGTATTTGATTCTAAACACGCACCCATATCCAGATAAAGAACGACTACCCAAAGCTGACAGAAAATGGAAGAAAATCCAACTTCAAAACATTTTATAATTATGTGCTGCCGTCATTTTCAATGTCATTTCCAGTGCAAACGTTGCACTTTGCCGCAATAATGAAATACACAACAACAGGCGCGCACACAAAGAGTTTTCGTACAAAATTCGTTTTATTTAATTTAAATTCCTTTGACCGGCGGACTGTTAATTTTATGGAAACGTCGCCATAGCCGCCAACAGACGTCGTACAGTAGGAATTCAATAATTTGTATCATTAAAATGTTATCGAGCCGTTGAGAAAATGTTAATAAATTATATTCGCATCAAAGCTTTTTTTTATCAACTAAAAAAAATTGTATTCAGTTTTGGAAGATTTCATTAAAAGTCGTACATTTAGTTAACGAAACATTAAAGAATATTATGAATAGGACCAACTAACCACTGAATGATTAATTTCCCACCTTTCACATGACAAAAAATAAATAAATAAAAAAAAGACACATTAACAATTTATAATTTCGCTCGTTATTTCAAAGACATCTCCCCAAGTCTTTACCACTATAAATTATTTTTTTAAACAACAATTATTCTTATCGGTCGTTAATGCTAATTCATTACAAGGTAAATGATTATAAAACTCTTGTAAGCCTTTATTTTATTGGTGATAGAAAGCCCACAACTAAGATGATCAAAGAAAGAATAATAGCAATAATCAAAATCGCGAGAGAGCCCATTTTTTAAACATTTTGGATAAAGCAAATATATTTTACAATAGTAAAATACTATCTTTAACTTGTAAATATCAAACTAACACTGAACCAATGAAACTCCCTAAGAGGAAACTAATGTTTTTTTTAGATATTAACAATTTTGTACACCTTTAAATATGAATATTTTTTTACAGGACAACAAAAAAAAGAATTAAATAGATTTAAAGAAGATGTATAATTTAAAAATGCTTTAACATAATTATTCATTTTTTTTATCGAACATATTTTTAAATTGCGAGCTCATACATATTTGTTTATTTAAAATATTTTATTATTTTCAACGAATTACAAGCATTGAATTTAGATTCTCCACCAATTCCAGGGTGTCTGCACTGCTTGATTATATGTATTATATTCCTCTGGATAGGCTACTTACTTGGCTTGACTTTTGGCTCCACTGTGCGCCGGCAGCACTGCTTACGTCGACGTCGACGTAGGCGTGGGCGTTGAACGGACAAAATGTGCAGCTAGCTCGCGCTTTGGCGTGTGTGTTTGTTTGCTTTTTGCAAAAATTCGCATTATTTTTGTGATTCTTCCTTTTGTTTGTTATTTTTTACTTTGCTTGCTTGCAGCACTTAAAAAAAAATTACTCGATTATCGGAGGCACGCACACACACCACGCAGAGAGAGACACGCGACACTCACGGACACGGCACATATATACACACACATGTACACTTGTTCACCACAGCGAAGGTTCTGACGTCGTCGGCAGCGCCGCGACTGCGCGGCCGGCAGCGGGCGTGCTTGTGTAACGCAATTTCTTCGCTTTCCCAGAGCGTGTGTGCGTTTGTGCATTTTTACCAAGAAACAAAAAAATGTCACCTCTATTCGCAATTAATATGTTGTATCGTGTTTTAATTGCAAAGTATTTTCACCAATGCACACAAAAATAAAAAGGAGGCATGGTGTAAAAAAAACGAAAATAAAGAAGAAGCACACACATACTCTCGCACGACCATGTACAGCGCACCCATACAGACGCGAGCGGAACTTATTTATTTCAAAAGAAAATTATTAGATTCGCTCGTTTTTCGCGTTTATGTACATATACGCTTTCCTTCGTTTTTTCAGTTTTTTCTTGCTATTCATTTCCATTTTTTCGATTGCTTTCTTTTCCTCGCAATCGCACTCACACACACACACTCATGCGCGCTCTGCTGACTTTTTTGTCTTTTGCTACACCTTGCTTCCGTTTTTTATACCTTTCACAGTCGCTTCGCACAAAGGGGAAATTAAGAATTAGAATTAAAAAAATACAAATAAATGGGGGAAACCGAGGAAAACTCCAGTTGCGGCACTTTTCTTTCGGCGTTTCTTTCATTTATTTTGTGTATTTTATTTCGCACGAGAAATTTTTCGTTGGCACTTTTGCTACGCCTGCCTTGCACGCTCGTTTATCGCCACCTCCACTTTAAACTCTCGTTCTAATTACTTTACTTTACTTACAACGCGTGCGTTTCAATATTTTTTGTCGGTTTTATAGTTTTTTTTTGGCACTTTGCACTCTGGCGTTCTCTCGCTCTCTCCACTCGCCCCTTCTCGCTCGCTCTGACGGTCTCTGGGTTAATCGTGGTTTTTTTGTTCTTTTTCTTTGCGGACAACAAAAAATAAATGTATATTTTGTTAGGAATGATTATCGATATCGAAATCGACTATGGCGGATATATACAAACACAACAACAACTAGCCGAAGCAGCAACAACAAGAGCACTACTTACACTTTCACTAAAAACGAAAAAATAATATACAGTGCGCCGCGCGATCCCTGGTTTTGTGGCTAAAAATGCGCTTCGGTTGCCCAACGCGAGAACATTGCACGACAATTAGTTTATTCGATTGGACTTGCTAGGCGTACGTTTTTTTCGGCTGCTTTTTGCCTCAGCTTCGTTTCTGCAGGGTTGTTGATAAATATATCGATATTTTCCCTGAGAAGGGTATCGAAATCGCGATATTTTTCAGCAAATATCGATATATTTTGATCTGGCAACGCTGGTCGCGGCACCGAAAAGTATGGCAGCGTTGCCAGACTTTCCGTGAACCAGATCAAAATATATCGATATTTTTGCTGAAAATGATATCGAAATCTGGCGTTGCCAGACTTTTCGGCCCGAGCGACCGAAAGTGTTGCCAGTCTAGCTTATTTCAAGCCGACGCTCGTGAATTTTATCGTTTGTTTTAAAAATTGTACAGACTCAAAACTCAAAAGAAATGAAAACGATTAAAATACAGAAAATTCAATTTGATGTTACTAAAAATGTTGGCCTGAAATATGGCGCCAAGTTATGATTTTAAGTTCAGTTGCAATTTGAAACAGATAGTCAACAACTACAACTAAATATTTAGTTGTACTAGCAGATTAAGATTGTCCAAAAGCTAAAGTTCCGGTTCCCCACCCGTTTCCGCTTCGCCACCCTTCAAAAACACTATTAACTCGGTTTTTTTTTACCACTGTATAACATATTGCCCTATAATTGATTTAATATTTATAAATATTGTATAATAACGCATGTATGTGGCGTAAAATCCTGGTAAAGTTCAACATCTTACAAGTACGCGGAAACAAACAAGGAGACAATAGCAAAATACCTGAAAATACGGTTGAAAATACAAGGTGAAAGAATAATACGGTGTAAGGAGGATTGGGATGGGACTTGGACTTGGACTTGGAATTGGAATTGGAATTGGTATGGGGTTTCCCTTTGGCCAAACAACGAACAAACAACGAGCGAACAAGAGGCGGATGACTCCTAGTAGGGGATCTGGTTCTGGTAGTACTGGATCATGTCGTAGGTACGCGTGCGGAAGTTCTGGTACGAGTTGCGGATGACGGAGAGCATGTGGGCAGCCGCCTCCTTGTTATTCTTGGTGGCCACAAAGCGCTGCTTCAGCAGATTAATCGTCTGGCCACGGAAACACGGCAGCCCGGTGTCCAGCATCAGCGATACGAGCGACACAATAGCGTCCTGATATGGCCGGACGGCGAGGAAGGCCTGGACGCATAGCTCGCAGAACCATTTGAAGGCCGGCGAGTCCATTTTGCCGCCCATGATCATGACCATTTCGTCGGTGAGCTTCATGTCCGGCTCGAAGCCGATGTTGCCGCCGGGCGATGACTCGAACATAAAGCCAAAATCTGTGTGAGAGAAAGGGGGATAGCAATCATCATAGAGCATTAAGAGAGAGCTATGCTCACCTATGTGTATGATGTGGCCATCCTTGTCGATCATTATGTTGCCGTTGTGGCGATCCTTGATCTGCAACAGGTAGCCAATCAGCGAGTAGGCAGCCATCGACTTGACAAAGTTCGCCCGCGCCGCCTGGAACTCCTTGGAGCTCTCGTCCCCATACTGATGCTGGAAATACTCGGACAGGCCGCTGTCCGTCTGCCGGCCAAGCTGGTCCCGCGACTTGGCATTCGGCACGCACTCGATGACGCCGCACTGCAAGGCAAGGCATAGGAGATTAGGAACTCAAAATCAGAGTGGGCAGAGTGCCTGAACTTACACCCGGGGCGGTGGCCACCACGCGATAGGGGAACAGGAACAGGTCGAGTCCCACCTGCTGGAAGATGTTCTTGAAAATGGTGATAACCTGCAGGGCCAGCATATCCTGACGCACATCGTCGCCCACCTTAAAGATGGCCGCCTGCCACGACTCCACGCCCAGGGTCATCTTGGCATCCTCCTGGGAGTTCTGCCACAGATCAAGCCATCATCAGGTTAAAGGAGATAACAGGATTAATGCAGAAGTAGCTTACCGGGTTATTGGAAACCTCCATAGCTCGCGTCTCCAGCTCGGTAATGCCACAGCGATATACCCGAAAACGGGCCAGATACGGCGCCTTGGCCGCACTCTGCATGGGCGTGCCGCTGCCATAGTCAATGTCCAGGACCATGGCCTCCGGATTGGAGGGTAGATAGCATCCACCCTGGACCTTAATCCGGCTGAGCGCCGCCAAACAGGCATTCTTCCGCTCGATGCCCTTGGGGAAGGAACGGATCTCCCCGGAAACGGCCGTGATCTTGCCAAAGAAATCAAACTCCCGCTCGTAGAATCGCTTGGCGGCGCCCGAAAAGGAGGCAATGATGCTCTGCGACAGCTGATCCAATGCCTCGTACAGATTGGGGTCCCTGTGCTGCTGGTCCTCGTCCATGTACATGTTCGTCTGCATGTTCCAGATCAGCTGGTGGGCCACTATCTGCGATCGCCGCGATATGTTCTTGATGAACTCCACCACATAGCCCATGGTGTCGTGCCGGAGCGCCTGCACCAGCTGCGGTATGTAGGGCAGGACCGACTCGGCCGGATACGAGGATAGCGTCTTTACGGCATACTGAGCTGTAAGCGGATGCGAGGGATATTGGCGCGAGAAGTAGGCCAGCGCCTGGATGGGAGTGACCGGCGACCAGGAGAGTATGTACACCAGATCGGGACTCTCCTGCAGCAGGTTCTTGGTGGTGCACAGGTACTTGAGTGCCTCCGGAATGTGGCAGACGGCAATGGGATCGGAGCAGACCAGGCGGGAGACCTCCTCGTCAATGATTTCAGCGTTCTTGATGCGCTGCGGCAGGAAGACGGCCAAAGCGGGGTTGTAGCACCAGGCGAGGCGGGCATAGTCCCGCCAAACATTAGGCTTGTACGGTCGGGTGCGCCACTCGGTGATCTGTTCCTCGCCTGCGGGAAAACGGGAAAAGAGAGATTCATAGTCATGGGAAATCCCAGAGAGAGAGAGAGAGAGAGAGAGACAATTACCGGGCACTGTGAGGTCTGGAAGGCTGTTGGGATTGTACCACGTGATGAGAAACTCCAGCTCCACGGCCAGCAGCTCGAGGATCAGGTTGCGCTTCTTCATGTAGTCCTTGTCGTACGAGTCCTTCTGGTACTGAAGCCGCTTGGAGCGATTCGAGCGCTTCGACAGCGTCGACGTCGAGTGCGGAATCGTGTTGTACCAGCCGCTGTTGCTACCGCCGCCTGTGCCGCCCATGCCCATGCCCATGGCATTGCCGCTGGTGCTCATGGATCGTCCATAGTCCGAGGCCATGCCCCCGCCGCCGCTGATCAGGGATGCCGTCTCCGGGTTGGCCCGCACGGCCAGCATTTGAGTGGAACTGACGGAGGCATTGGTCAGATCATAGTCGCCCACCTCGGAGGTGACCAGGTGCTTCTTCTCGCTGCGCATCGTCTGCCAGAACTTGAGCAGGATCAAAATGTCCTCGAGCAGCTGCTCCCGGCTCTGGTTGGGGCACGTGGGTGGACCGCAGAAATAGTCCAAAGCGTTCGAGTAGATCCGCTCGCGGAGGATATTCCGCGCCAAAGACTTGGGTATGGTGTTGCCCTGCAGCAGCGACAGGCCGCACTGCAGTAGCTTGAACCGGCAGCCGACGGTGGAGACCTGGCGGTTCTGCTTGCTGCTCTTCAGGATGGGAAGACAGCGATGGAGCAGCAGGCAGAACATCTCCACCTTGTCGCGGTTGCAGTACTTGGCCGTGTCCACCATCTCGGAGAGAAGCTGCAGCCAGATCAGATGCGGAGCAATCAGGATCGGCTTGCACACGAGCCGGCAGCCCTCGTAGGCGGCCAGTGGATGGGTGACTTCCGTCTCCCAAGCGAACAGGCCCATCCGCTTCTCGAATGTCGTCTGCCAGGCGCTGACCATCTCCTGGATGAAGCACAGCTCCAGATCCTGGCGCGCCGTCAGCACCCACTGCCAGCACTCCACCGCCGTCTCCATGGCCGATTCGGTGAACAGCTCCAGCTGCGAGCTGGCCACCGCGTGCAGCAGCTTCCGGTCAATCTCCGAGCAGATGATCAGGTAGGCGGTGGCCCGCCATAAGGCGCCGCGATGCCGGGCATCGCTCTTCTCCGAGCACGCCTCCCACACGTCGCTGACCAGCCGGTCGGCCAGGCCGGCCTTGTCCCGCTCGCTGAGCACCGAAAGCAGTCCGCTGATCTCGCCGGCGTACTTGCTGCGCAAGCAGAGCACAGACACAAAACGCGGCGTGTCCGAGTTGACGCAGCTGGGCCGCTTGCTCAGCGTCCCCACAACCGAGCCGGGGTGCATGGCGCTGCTGCTGCTGCTGACCACCGAGTCGAAGGCCAGCGCCAAACCGCTGTGGTGGGCCAGCACGGGCGTGGGTATCTGGTTGGGATACTCCTGCAGATGCGACCGCGTCGATCTGGGCGCCCACTTCATAGCCTCGTTGACGATGCCCTGGCACCGGTCGGCAAAGTCCTTCAGGCGCAGCTCCCGCGCCGGCAGCGAGTCCATCAGCTGCAGGGTATATGGTGTGGAGACCACCCGCAGCGTTGGCGTCTCCTCGTTAGGGTCCAGGCTGAGGGAGTAGGCCAGCAGCTGGAGGATGTCCAGCATGCACCAGAGGACGCGCCGGTTCCACAGCAGGTGGGGGAACCGGTCCACCAAAAACGACAGATACTGATCGGCCACCACCTGGATGGGCTTGTGGATGTGATTGAAGTAGACCAGCAGCAGCGTCGCCTGCGACTCCAGCACCTTCTCCCGGATCTCGTCGTGGGCATACAGCACATTGCGGAACTTTTCAAAGACCTGGTCGGCCACGCTGTCAGAGAGGGATCAGAGATTAAATACATTCCTAGACTGATTCCTCCTCCAAAGATCTTACCACTTGACACACTGCCAGATGCCCGTCTTGTCCCGCTGCAGGGCCGTGTCGCAGAGATAGCTCATGATCGGCTCCAGACTCGGCTCGTCCGCGTTCTCCACGCGCAGCATCTCCAGCCAGTAGACGCTCAAGAGGTAGGTGCACTGGGCAAAGGTCAGCTTGTTGATGGCCGTGGCCACATTGTCCGTGGAGTGCTCGAGCAGCACAAGGATTTGGCTGCGCAGCTCGTTCACCGAGTCGCTCTTGATGGCCAGCGTGTAGTTGAGTTCCCGCATGTCTGACTTGTGGGCGGTTTGCGAGATAAGGAGCGGCGACTTGGCAGCTATCTGCTGGACACCCTGATACCAATCGGCGGGCCACAGGCGGGCATTGGTGAAGCCCATAACAACACAGTAGGCCCAAAAGTCCTTGAAGAGCTTGTGCAGGCGCTGGCGGGGATTCTTGATCGGCGGAAGGCGGCGCACCAGTACCGCAATCACCGGTATCAACATGCCCAGATTACCTGCCCGGGAGCTGGCCTTCTGGGCGCCCGGTGTGTTGTCGTAGCTGCGCTCGCCATCCAAACCGATCTGGACGAACAGCTCTAGCAGTTTGCCCAGCAGCTCCAGCATCTCAGCGTCGCCCTGGATGTTGGCCGCGATATTGCCCAAAGCATTCACCACCGCATCGGAGACATGGTGGAACTGTTTCCGGTGCTCCGGGTCCGAGGTGTATGCCAGCGAGGCCGACTGTACGGTCACGCGAGAGAACATCTTCATAATCTCGTCAAAGACATGCGTCTCGCACTGCGAGATGATCATGCAGCCCAGCTGGTCGACGATCAGGGCGTTCTGCTCTGAGGGCACCTTGCAGAAGCGCTGGATGAAGAACTGCAGGATGTTCTGGGTCGTCTTCGAGGTGTCCTTCAGCGCCACAGCCACGTGGCCCAGCATCACGATGATGTTTAGGCTCACCAGGTTCGATTCGCTTTCGATTCGAGCGGTAAAGAGATGAACTAAAGTCATGAAAAGTCATATTTATGGGGGAAGAACTCTCACCTCTCTGACTTCTCGGCGGTAAACAGGCGATTGGATACATTGGCCACCAGCGCCGGGACACAGAACTGGTCCAGGGTATGGGCCGCTCTCAGGGCAATGGACAAATTCTCTATGGCGGCATCCCGCAGGGCCTCGAAGGCGGCATGGCCACTCCGGCCTGTGCCGCCGCCGGGACCGCTGCTGTTTGGCGTCTTGCCGGCGCCATTCTCCCCAAAGATATCGACGACAGCCCGCGAGTCCGAATGCTGTACCACAATCTTGAACGGCGTCAGCTCCTTCTCCTTCTTCTGCTGGGCCAGCGTCTGCATGGCGTGGGCATGCAGCTTGCCCAGAATGGGGCTGGGATCCACCAGGAAGTCGCGCAGATACGAGATCGAGGTGCCCGCTATGTTGGGGAACTTCTGGGCCAGCTTGCCCAGCCCCTCCAGGCAGACCATCAGCAGCGGCATGTGATCCATCACGATCTTGTGGCTGAGCACCAGGTTGAGCTTCTGGGAGAGCCGGCCGCACAGCTTGTCCGCCTCTGGGTTGGAGAGGAGTAGGATTAGGAGTGGTAATATTAATATTTTACATTTGCATCATTTTGTTGCGATTTCATTTTCGCTTGGCAAACAAGGGAACGAGGAACCAATAATTAGAATTAATCTGGGATGCGCAGGAGGAGGATGTGGTGGATCTGGAGGCGGATCATCATGTTGCAACATGCAGCGAACATAGGCCAGGCAAAATATTAACAATAATAAAAATAATAGGCCACAAAACCGAACGATAAGCGAGATGGAGATCTTGATCTTGCTTCTTTTTGCTAATTTCATTAATTTCTTTCAATTTACATAAATTTGTGCCGTTCTGAAACATTCAGTTTTGTGGCTATATATGCATGTATGTATGATTGTTATAGAAAAAATCAAAACTAGGACAATAACACTGCTTCTCTTGACCTTTCTTCAATAAAAATTGCAAGCCATTCTGCAGGGATGGCACATTATAGTCGACGTCAACTGAACAATATTCCGGGTTCCGGCCACCAAAAAACACACAAAATTACAAACAAAAAAACTATAAGAAACTAAAAGGAAATTAAAGGAAGTTAACTCAAAAATTAATTTGTTCAAAAAAGAGCGAGATAGAGAAAGAGAGCGAGAAGGGGAGAGGGTTTAAACAAACTTTTATAAGAGGAAAAGTGAAATGTTTAAGAAACCGATCGATATTTTTAATTAGCATCAACAGTCGAGGTGATCTAGCCATGTCCATCTGTCCGCTTCTATATTTTAAGTCTCCCAGAGTAGTTATTTGCTCGATTTATTGGTATGTAAAAATCGTAGGTGTGCTTTAGACCTGGTTCTTCTTCTTTTGCGGCTTTTAGGCGGACAAAACGTCCTATTCAGGCTCATGAACGTTAATAAACTTAATCATCTGTCAAGGATTTTGTGAAAGCAACACCAAATGCTATCATTTTCGTAACCTAAGTAAGATTTTAATTGCGGCCCTTTTGCGACATCATTAGCGGGTAGAATAATAATAGAATTCGCGATTCTTGTCCGTTTGCGCGTCCGTTTTGAGCATTCAGCAAAACTAATGCGGATAGTCAATTTCTTAGTCCGTATTTAATATCTTTAGCGGACATTTTTCGTATCCACCCGCTTATGTTTGCTTTCTTTAACTGCTGGGAAGCTAAATATATATGCTACCAAGTCCCTTTCCCTTCTCTTTCGATCTCTTTTTCTCTCGTTGGCCCTTGCTATATTTTTGAGCTGGTTTTTGACATTTTGCATTATTGCCATTTGGTTATTGCGCTGAGCTGGAATTTATAGATCTGCAAAGTGTGCGAGCACAACAGGCTCTTCGCTTACCCGTCTCATCGCGTATGGCCCAGACCAGAAGGTCCACACAAGCCGCGTTGGCCATCACATTGACCTTGTACTTGTTGACCACCGCAATGCCGTTCTCCTCGCGTCGCTCTCGCTCCTGATCCTGCTGCTTGTTCTGCAGCTCCGTCTGCCCGTTGAGAAACAGCCGCTTGACGAACTCCTGGACATCCTTGGTGAACGGTGTTGGCAGGTCCACCTGATGCTGCAACAACTCGCGCAGCAGGGTGACCAGCACCAGGTTCAGTGTCTCCGAGAAGCTCTTGTAGCAGTAGCCCTTGATTTGGTGCAGCGAGAAGATATCGCTGGCCTGCTCGTCCAAGTGCTCCAGCGTGTCCTTGGTGAGCAGCTTCTTGGATACGGCGAATATGGTCTGCAGATGCTGGATGGGAAACGGGGGCACACGGTACATGGCTCGGGGACCGGGGCCGGCCTTCGTGGGCGACTCGCAGACACGCATATTGGGGAACTGGTTAAAGCTGGAGCCGTAGCGCGTGAAGAAATGCGTCCGCGGATCGTACGGCACTGAGAAGTAGCTGTGCAGCGACGGCTTGTGCTTGCCCGCGGTGTACCGATGACGTGCATCGTCATGCGCCTGCGCCTGCGCCAGGCTCCCGGACATCGAGCGGGGTATTATGGGTCGGAATTGGTGTGTGGCCGCCAGGCGTTCACTGCTGCTAAAGGAACCGCCACAGGTGCCGCTGGCACTGCTGCTTGAGCCACCATTGCCGTCGCGACCCCATCCGCGTTGGATGGGCAGCAGCTCCGGCGGAAAGATGCGGCACAGCAGCGGTGGATCGTTGCCGGCATAACGACCCATCGATCGCGCCAAGCCAAAGAGCAGCGGCACCGTTGCCTTGCACAATATTATCGGTGGCGGTGCCGAGCTGCTATCCCTGCTGGACTTGACAATGTTGGCCAGGGCACCGAGGGTCTCCACCTGATTGAGAATGATCTCCTCGCGGGAATCGGGGCACTTGGCAGCTATATCCGAGAGCAGGGTGTTCAGACAGAAGCTGAACTTCTCCGCCGAGGGAATGCGAATGCCTGTTGGTAAATATACGAATATATAAACAAGAAAGGAAGCTAACTTCGGCACGCCGAAGTTTGTATACCCTTGCAGATTGGTTTCGATGTTTATATTATAGATTTAAATGCTGAAAACACTCACAAAACAGAGTTTCATTACATTTTACCTATACTTATTATGTTTACAGTTTGACAGTTACAGTTTTACATTCCCAGCTTTACATATTTTATACATTTACCGATCGCTTCTATAGCAGCTATATGATATAGTTGTCCGATTTTTATGAAATTTATACCAAAATTCTAGAATAATAAAAAAAGCTTATATCTCAGAGTAGATAAAAATTGGTTGAAAAACAACGAAGCTATAATTTTCTTCCTATTAATTTCATGATCGTTCCTATGGCAGCTATATCATATAGTCGTCCGATTTTCATAAAATTTTTACCAAAATTCAGAAATAATATAAAATGGCCATATCTAAAAAATAGTGTAAAAATGTTGAAAAACAGCAAAGTTATAATTTTTTTTCTAAAAATATATTGAACATTTGTATGGCAGCTATATGATATAGTCGTCCGATCCGGCCCGTTCCGACATATATAGCAGTGAGAGCATATAGAAGACTATATGCAAAGTTTCATTTAGATAGCTTTAAAACTGAGGGACTAGTTTGCGTAGAAACAGACAGACGGACAGACGGACAGATGGACAGACGGACAGACGGACATGGCTAGATCGACTCGGCTGTTGATGCTGATCAAGAATATATATACTTTATAGGGTCGGAAACGTCTCCTTCACTGCGTTGCAAACTTCTGACTGAAATTATAATACCCTGCAAGGGTATAATAAATAAATATAAATATTTAACATGTTTATAGCGAATTTAGTTAACCCTCTAGGGTTAAGGTACAATTAAAAGTTTCTGTTTTAAGTTTTGGGTTTGAAATATTTTCCAATCACATTTCAAAGATTTCCGTGTCAAAGTGACTGCATCCCATTGAACATTTCGTATTAAATACTTAAAAAAAAAAAAACTGTAGAAAAACGTACGCTCAATTTTGCTGCTTCGGGCATCATCGATCCAGACGGCCTTCGGCAAACATTTGGCCAGACGCAGCAAATAGGGCACGATCTGGGATTCGTGCTGGCAGCCACCTTCCAGGAAGTAAATGCCCAAAGCAATCACCGCATCCTGAGCCCGGGTGTCCAAGCAAAAGACACCGGCCGCATTTTCCTGTGGGCAGTACCGGAAAAGGGTCTGAACCTGTAAGGAAAAGGAGATTACAGTAAATAAAGTAAGTAATGGGTATTAGCATTGTTTTTTTTGTTTTTTTTTTAACATATTATTTGTGGTTTTATTTGGAATCTAGAATTAGTACAATTACAAGTACAAATTATCACTAATCTGTACTTACTACTGATATTATTAAGCATCTATATTGTTTATTCTTTTAAATGCTTGCACTTTTTCAATTATTATTAGGATTTTAATTCGATAACACCCAAAAGCCACAAAGATAAAGTATTGAACGGAATAATATTGGGGCTTCCAAGTGGCTACATCATCACTAGCCAGCCCCACACCGTCACCCACGCCCCCCACACGCATGTCTGTTTTTTCTTTTTATGGTCACCCCCCGTTCAAGGTCGTGCGAAAAAGTCGATGATTGCCACGGCGGGCACTTCCGCTAAAAGCAGTCCCCGTGCCCGCTGGTGGGATCGTACCTTCTCCCAGGGCGTCGGCTGGATTCCGGCCAGGACGCGGGCCAGGCACAGGACCGTACGCTGGTACGTGTATTTATCCGAGGCGGTCATCGTCATTGTTGCTCCCGCTCTCCTCGCTCCGCAGCGCTCCTCCACCACCTACACCCAGCACCTCCTCGGCACAGCTCTGATCCAGGGTCTCCAAATGCCGTTTCTCGTTCCTCGTTCGTGTCTCGGTTGGCTATCCGCCTGTGCGTGCAATTTGTGTCCAAATGGGCTCGCTAGGCCTTCGTCATTATCGTTATTTCGCTTAAGAATCGGTTTTATTCGTTTTTATTTTTTTTATTTTGTTGTCGGCCAGTGTGACCGTTTGATTACCGCTGTGATTAGCCAACTGGTTCGATTGTCCAACTTATCGCTATCGTTGGGGCATTGGCAACTAGTTCCGTTTGTTAACTTGATATTTTTGAATTTAAAAAATAATTTATTTAATAATATAATATTATATTTATTTCGAAGGGCGAAATAAAGGTAAAAATTGAAGCTGTACTCGCGTAAATACTTAATATTAGTATACCTTTCTTAAGTGATTGTAACTTTTTTATTTTATTAAAATAAAAATAAAAAAATTAATTATAAATACAAATCATTTGAATTTTTGAGATAACGTTCCTTTTAATTTTGGCAATGAGTAAAAAGTTTTCAAAAATTCAAACAAGAAAGTTTCTAAATTTTCTGTTAGCTTGAATATTTATTTAAATAAAATAATATTAAAAAAAAAACGTACAATGAGGACTTTGAGAAAGTAACCCTTTTAATCACTTTTAGTAACGCTCGTAATCCAGTGAGCTTTCCTTATTATTTCCAACCTTTTTCCTCCCATTAGAAACTCCCACAGATTTTCAAATAAAAGAAAGATAAGGCCTTAAAACAGCCTTGAGATCCCCTCTAGAAATGGTGCGCAAACAATATTGGATCAAGTTCTTCATAACCGTGGTGCTCATCATTCTCCCCGTGACTGCCATGGGACTCATTGCCGGCTTCAAGCACGAGGAAGTCAAATTCAAGAACATGCTGTCCAGCATGGTGATGGTGCTGCTGTTTCAGTACTTGCTCGGCGATCCAATCCGGTTCGCCATTCAATCGATCGACGAGGCATTCTGGCCCCCGCCCATCTATATTCCGCCGCGGATGAAGGAGCCCGACACCATTAACCGGGTGGACTTTCTCAAGCAGCGGCTGGCCAGCCAACGGAGGAATCTGGTCATATCATCGCGGTACCGCAACTGGGCGGTTAACGAGAAGTATGTGCTGATCGCCCAGGACCTGCTCATCTATTGCAAATATTTCCTCTGCCTAATGATCATGGTGCTGATGTCACGGGACGAGACGCACTACCACAACACGCGCAGCATCCAGAGCCTCTTTTGGAACAATCACACGGACTACTATGGCCTAAAAGAGGTGTACTTTCTTAACCAACTGTACGATTTTATCGAGTCCACACTGGTCGTTGCCTTCAATGCCAACTTAAGCCGCTTCGGCGGCCCAGGCTGGGTGCACGCCGAGCAGACGGTGATGCTGGGCGTGATTAGATTGCGCCAGGTACGCGTTGAAGATACCAAAGTTGGCTGGACAGAACCCCAGTTCTCCGACATGTACTACATGCCCGACTGGCAACTGCCCTATCGCCGGCTCCACTATGCGGATAAGTACTGGCGCATTTACGAGCCCTGGATACCCATTACGATCAGCTTCGAGTTTCTCGACTGGCTCCTCATGAACTTTGACCATGTGGGCTATCTTCACAGATATCCGGAGCTCATCGGCTATGTAAGTCTGCTGGCCAGGAGTGTGCCCAACAACTTGAAGGTGGGTATTATTTTTAAATGTGATTTTAAAATGAAATATATAAACTAGAATAACACCAGAGGAATGTAGGACCAATATCATAATGGAAATATCTTATACCTTGATATAGATATCTAAATGTTAATTACCGAATTAACCTTAAAATATTTATATTCTGGAAAAATATGTATGCCCTTCCTATACTAGTCTGTTTCTTGCTTCACTTTGCTTGTACATTGCAGGCAAAGCGTGGGGATAAAAACTCATATCTCTCTCACGGCAAAGATCTTCTTTAAAAAACTATGCGGACTTAAGACATAAAAAACTGATTTAATATTAAATTAAACCATATTTAAATTACACAATCTTTTTATTAGAAAATCCTAGCTCCCCTAGAAAAGGGAAGGGTCCCCTGGGAGACACCTATTTATCCAAGACTGAATTCTTGTTATTTTGTTTATTTTATTTTTGTAATATTATACATGTTTAAAGAAGAACTACTCACTCTACCCCCCTTTGGCTTAGATCTTGGACTATCTCATCGAATACCATTGGCTGTCGCTGAACACTTCCGCGGTGTTCATAGACTTTACACTGTACAACGTCGACGTGAATCTGTTCAGCATATGCACGCTGCGCGTGGAGAAGACCCCCTTTGGGCCGGTGGTGCCGCAGGTGGACGTGGACAGTTGGAAGCTGCTTGAGGAAACGGACCAGATGTCATACACCAAGCTGGCCTCCTTGTCTATCTACTTGGTAGTGCTGATCCAATACGCTCAGATGGTGGTCCTCAAAATGTGGTACGAGCCGAATCTGCTGAAGGACGTTTGGAACATACTGGACATACTCATCATACTGCTCAACGTGGTGGTCATCGTGATGGTGCGGATGCGCGAGGCGCTCGTTAACAACATGCTAGTTAAGGTGGCTGGGACCAGCAAAATGGAGTTCATTGACTTTCGTCGCCCGTCGCGCCTGTACGAGATGTCGATTGTAATGGTGGGCTTTCTCATATGCCTCACCACGCTCCGGCTGTGGCGGGTGCTGCAGTTCTCCAGCGTGTTCATGATATTCACCCGGAGCCTGTACTTGGCCTGGACGGGCGTGGCCAACACGGCGATGGTGATCTTTGTCTTCCTCATGGGCTACTGCCTTGCGGTGGTGACCATAAATGGGAATAACAGCGAGCACTTCGTCGGCCTCGTAAAGGCCGTAGTCATGTGCATGTGCTTTGCCTTTGGTTTCAGCAGCTCGGTGAGGCCCTCGGAGCTGTTTCATGGCGGCAGGGTGCTGGGCATGATTCTCTACGCCATTCTGGCCTTTGTCCTGGCCGTCCTCCTGATCAACTTCTTGGCCTCGCTGATCAATCACTTCTTCATCGTGTCCAGGGCGATCCGTGACGCGCAGCCCACGTCGGGCATAAACTTCCTTCAGTTCCTGCGCGTCGAGTATCCGACCTTGTTCGGGTGCTTCCGCAAGCTGCCCTGCTGCCGGGGGCTCTACGTCCGGAACAAGCGAACGGTGGCGGAGAATGTTAAGCGAAAGCTCGATGCCATAGATGCCTCTCGAGCAATGCGGCGGCGCAAGCTTTGGGGATACCGAGAGCAACGTGAGAAAATGTCGCCGGAATGGGAGAATTTGAAGTATCGAGATCGTGGCGAGAAGCTCATCAAAGTGGGCAAGCTCCTGTCCGACCAGCTGAGCCTGCTCGAAATCTTCCTCTTCGATGACGTTGACAAGGATCTGCTGCATGACGAAGATGGTAATGATGAGGTGGAGCCAAGGCGGAAAGGGAAGTGGTGGCAGCGCTCCAAGTCAAAGTCCAACTACCGGGTTGAAGTTCAGGAGAGCGAAACCCGTGAGGCCGAGGTCTAAAGATCATTGTTTTTTGTTTTTGTTTTGTCATTTATTCTTAGAGTTGATTTTCAGGGTTAACCTAAGCCAAGGAAAGGGATCTAATTGAATCATTAAACCACCTTCTTATCCTTGTTTAAGCTGCTTTCCAAATGCATCTAAAGCTCACCGCTCTCTTTAATTTCCTTAGACGATTCCTAACCATATATTGAATATAAGGATCCTGGCCTCTGGCACAGGATTCGGAGCATTTTAAGTGGCGAGTCCGCTGGAATACTTCAGTTGTGTTGCTGTCGGGGTTACGCTAAACTTAGTCCTACTATCCTAGTTAGTCTTTGGCTCAAGCGTCGCATGGGCGTTTGGTGGTTTCGGCTCCTCCTCCTCCTCCTCCAACTCGGTAGCCTAGTGATCAGCGGTGGTCTTCTTCTGGACATGACGCTGACGCGGCTTGCCGCTGCCGGACTTTACCATCACCAGATCATCCGCATCCGATGTGTCATTGAGCGGATCACCGCCCACGTCCGCTATATCGGACTTGTCGTCCGCATACGCAACCAGATCGTCATCGCGCAGGCTGCTGGCGCTGGAGAGGATCACGCTGCCGGCGGCGCTGCCGGGCTGCAGCGTATTCGTGAGACGGGCATACTTGATTTGCAGGCTGTGCAGCCAGCTGGCGTCGGACCAGTGGTACCAGCTGAGCAGAAAGACGACCAGTATAAAGAACAGATTGGTGCTAATGGCTGAAAGACAGGACAGGAAGCAGGATTAGCAGGTACAAGGTAGCCAGAATCAAGGTCAACATACCCACTATGGCCGACAGGACGGGCCAGTTGAACATGATGTACCGCAGCCCGGTAAAATCAGCCACAATATGCAGCGTCACCGTGTAGAACTGTATCTTCTGCGACTGGATCTCCACATAGACATCCGTAATCGGATGCTGGCGCTCCTCCAGATACCGCGAGAATATCTCCACCGGCACCTGCTGGAACTCCTCCTTCCAGCCGAGCACATACAGCGGACTGAGCGCCCACGTAGAGATCATTCGGATGAGCGGCGAGCGGTAGCGCATCATGGCCGAGCGACAGGAGTGACCGCGCAGCATTGAATCGTAGTCCCTCATCTCGGCGCACACCATGAACATGCCCAGCTCCAGGTTCTGCGGTGATTCCGGCATGTCAATGTTCACGATCACCTTGTACGCCTGGCCCACCATCAGGAGCTGTTGCTTCTTCGTCAGCGAGACGTGGGCATGCGGAAAGGTGCAGGGTGTGCTCGTCTCCAGGCAGGTTCTGCAAGCGAAGAAACAAAATTTCTAAGTGGTCAGATAATTTTGCTCATGACACCATTGCCCCCAACTGCAATAATCAAACTGAAACCCCTGACAGTTGGCCCGATTATGGCTATTTTTATGGCCAGCAGTCATTAAGATAAGCTCAGGGTACACGGGAAAGCCAATTGAGCCATGCTTGGGCACCTATCTAGTTCCATGATCGGAAAGAGAGAGGGAAATAAAGACGAGGAAAGACGGAAAAAGAGAGAGCCTGACAGCCTACATGGCTCCTGGCTTCAGTGTTCCCAGATCAGGGGTTTTCCCGCCCAGAACTTCAGCCAGACAACAAAACTCACTTGAACTGCATGTGGACAGGACGTGTGTGCGAAATGGCCGGCATGTACATGTAGTAGAAGGCGGCGTACATGAAGACCGCCAGCCAGATGATGAGCACCACGGCAAAGGCGATGAGGCCCAGGCGGAGTACTAGCTCCCGAACCGTGCCCACCTTCTCGTCCGCCTTGCTTCGCACGCGATCGTACACGTTCCAGCCGAGATTCAAGGCCGGGCGGACAAAGAAACGCCGGCCGAGGCCCAGCGGATCCAGGCAAAAGACCACGAAGCGCAGCAGGAAATTCATCGTGACGTCGTCGTCAAGTGTAGGAAGTTGCAACTGAATCCCCCGGCGACTAAACAGCAATTAAGTAAGCTTAACACTCGGCGTTTTGTGTGGTTGTCGATTCGTTATCAGTTATCAGCACGCCGACCGATTGCTTATCGACTTCGATAGTGGGGACTGGGACTGGGTCTCGGCTCCGTTCTGCTCTCTGCGCCCGGAGATTTGCATAGTATTGCTTCGCTCCTTCGCTGCTCCTATCTTTCCTATCGGCGGCTGATTCATATATATAGCAGCTCCAAACCAGACGTTGTACCGGCTCAAAGGTCAAAGCCACAAGTGATTTCGCCGGGGCGTTTTTTTCCAATTCCAGGTTTCTGTGGGACGATAGACGGAAGAATTACACTGGTCAGCAAGCAGTTGATCCTCTTCAAGGAGTTTTGGGGAAATCAACTTAATGGGATGCAAAAAAAAAACTAGTTTTATGTTTCAAAAACTCATAAGCCGGTGATTTTTTATTTAATATTTATATTCTTAAAATAAATAATAATAAATAATTTAATTCAAATATGAAATAATTAGCAATTGAATAATCATTTGCCAATTTTTTTTTAAAGTTCACATCTTATAATCCATTATTAATAATAGAATATAGATCAAATAGTTTACCAACTTTTCAGGTTTAATTAAAAAATTAACGTTAGAACTTGTTGCGCAGTTTAATGTTTGCTGTCCGCCGCCAATCAGCTGTTCTCTGTCATCGATAACCGATAGCCAGCACCGATACGCGCCGTCCGATTGTTTTCATTGTTTATGTACGCGTACATACATATGTGTGTTTATAGTTGATTAAGTTAAACTGGGCTTTGGAGAGCGATTAGCTGGACTTAGCAGGAATCGAAAAGTCGTAAGGCCAATGCCTATGACAGCGGGCGTAGGGCGTGCAAACAGAGTGTGAAATAACTGCCAGCGAAAGGGAAAGAGGAAGCAGCAGCAACAGCCACAAATTTCTGCGAAGGAGAGGAGAAAATTTACGAGATTTCAATTGAAAATAAAAGAAAACGCCGAGGATGAACAACTACAGGTATCAGGGGGGCGGCGGCGGCGGTGTAGGTGGCGTGGGGATGATTGGTGGTCGCGGATACAGCGGGATCGAGGTGCGCGACATGCATCCGCATCACTTTACGTACGTGAGCCAGTTCGTCAAGTATATGATCTTCCTGCTGAACTTTGTGTTCTGGCTGTTCGGTGGCCTGCTCCTCGGCATCGGCATCTATGCGTTCAAGGACAAATGGGAGGAGGCAAACGGCTGGGTGCGTCTGGAGACCATTTACGATGTGATCTTTAACATCTCCCTGGTGATGATTATCGCCGGCATGGTCATCTTCCTTGTTAGCTTCTCTGGCTGCCTGGGCGCCCTGCGGGAGAACACTTTCTTGCTGAAGCTCTACTCCATGTGCCTGCTGCTCTTCTTCCTCATGGAAATGGCCATCGGTGAGTCATCATCTACAGCAACTGGCAGCTGGCATTTGGTTTCCTTTTGTGATATCACTTTTCCCCTCTTTCTCTCTTTCTCCGACAGCCATAATTTGCTTCGTGTTCCCACAGTACATGAACTCATTCCTGGAGAAACAGTTCACGGACAAGATCATCCACTCGTATCGCGACGATCCGGACTTGCAGAACTTTATTGATTTTGCCCAGCAGGAGTTTAAGTGCTGTGGCCTCAGCAATGCCGGATATCAGGATTGGAGTGAGTTAAATCTGGGTTTTGATAAAAGATCTCACAATAACAAGAGAAAGAGATTCATGGGCGTTGCATGCATCTTGCTTTATAAGGTCTCTAGTTTAATCTTTTAAATGGCAATTGGTTAAGTTTGTTTTGATTAGGATTTATAAATAAAAAAAACACATACGAATTTGTTTTGTGCTTCAGATAAGAGAAAAGCTATTTACTCACTAAATATGTAGCTTAAAAAAGCTTTCAGTTGCTGTAGTTTTATCAGGAAACCAAATGAAAACGGAAACCAGGCGTTCCAAAGTTAGCTTCTTTTCTTATTTTAAATAAATCTTAACAAGTTTTCTAACATAATTTATAACATCCTTTCTGATTTACAGGCAAAAATGAGTACTTCAACTGCAGCTCGCCATCGGTGGAGAAGTGTGGTGTGCCCTACAGCTGCTGCATCAATGCCACCGATATATCCTCCGGCCTGGTTAACATCATGTGTGGCTATGGCGTCCAGGAGACGCCTGTGCCGGAGGCTAGGAAACGCATTTGGACCAGCGGCTGCATTGAAATCGTACGCGTGTGGGCCGAACGCAATCTGTACGTGATAGCTGGCATCGCTTTGGGCATCGCTCTCGTCCAGCTGCTGGTCATCTATCTGGCCAAGACCCTGGAGGGTCAAATTGAGTTGCAAAAGTTACGCTGGTCGGCGTGAGATCCGGGCCAGCCCGAATTTTACGGGCACTACGACCTTCAACCGTAAATGACCCCTGTGACCTCTGTCGTCCTCCCTATCTGTATAGTAATTTCCGTGGATATCGCTCACCTGATCCTTAATTCAAATTTAAGCATTTAAAAATGGAAAAATTGAAAGCAAAGTATTAACCAAAAATGCAGGAAATTCACAAGATATTTTTTTGCAATTTAAACTTTGAAACGTAAGTGAGCGTTATTCGCATATACATTTTTTTGTGTTAACCTTAAGCTCACTTTGGTATCGTGCAATATTCATTTTGACCTCTCCATATCCAACAAGAAAAGCAATGAACAAAGTTATTATTTAAGAGAAAAAATATTTTAATCTACAGTAACTCCAATATCTACAAAGGCAGGGCTGCCGCAAAAATTGCTTTGCATTTAAGATGGATTTCAAATTATATCCCAGAGAGAGATTTCTGTGGCCTCCAAGCCTGTCTCAGCCCCATACTTGTTGAATACTCTCCATCTCAATCCGACCAAATACGCCATATCATATATTTGGCCAGTGAATATTCTTGCGAAAATCTCAATGTTGTATAGCCACAAACACAAACTTACTATATATATATATATCCAGACTGTATATACGTACATAGAACGGACAAGGTCTTACAATCCGTAAACGCATTTATACGCAACATTTCTAGTGAACACAAAAAAATAACCAATCGAACAAAACTTAAATATAAATGTAGCATTTTTTAATATTAGTTTATGTATGTAATATTAATGTAGAACCCTAAAATGTAGATTTACACTATAATAAAAACACAGTAAAAGCAATATACAGTAGTTATTATGATAAAAGCTGGTCAGGTTTTAATGGAAAGTAATTCTTATGTATTTGCCTGAAGAAAAAGAGCTTATCCATGACTGGATTCAAGCCAATCAGGGGCAACGCGGTGGCAAGTAGACGTGCTGCGTCATCCTGATGTTTGTGTCGGGCACCATTGACTCGTTGTTCTTGCCCCGCTTTCCCGACACATCCCTGGTGACATTCATCAGTATGTCGGCTATATGCGTGCTAAAAGTGTGTAAAGACACAACCATTAAATCAAAGCTGGAGCTTCTGAATGGGTATCGCTCACCTGGACGAATGCTGAACGATGTTATCGCACAGGCTCTGGATGAACCAGCTGCCGTTGTGTGTGTGCCGCAGAGCGGAGAAACCCTTCACAGTTGAATTGGCACGCAACATGTGCAAATGCTGGCCCGGCGACTGTGTGGTGGCATCTAAGGGGTACTGCACGGAGCAAAAGGGAAACAAACAGAACAAAAATTAGCTCTCGTAGATGTAGAGAAAGAACTCCTGTTGTTTGCTGTCTTACTGGCAATCCATGCTGATCCTGCTCCAGCTTCTTGTCAGGCTCCGTCTGGCAGGCCTGGATGAATAGTAGCTTGACCAGGCGATGGGATTGATCGTATAGGCTGGCATCGTCGCTGCATAGCACATTCTCTAGCTCCGAGATCCGCAGAGCGATACTGTTGGCGCCATACACAGTCCCCTCGAAGCCGTGGCTTAGGATGCAGACCACCAGCGAGTCCCGGATCGCGGATCTACTGCAGGCGTTGCGTATCAGATGCACCATATCCATGTGGTCTACATCGGGATGCGACTCCACCTGGTAACCCATTGAGGAGAAGACCTCCCCAAGCCGCCGCTCGTCCACATCCGTGCCAACGCGACTCTCCAGTTTCTTTGGCGACAGATACATCTGTACGGATAGAGTTTGGATTTGGGTTTTGATTTGATCAACAAAGAGGTGGCTCTACCTTCAGTTCTGGGCTGACGTTTCTGTGGAACTGGCGTTGGTTGATGATCAGGGCAATGCCGGCGTTTTCCCGACTCAACTGCAGGGCATCGGCCCGTCTAAGAGATGCTGTAGCTGTAGCTGGAACTGAATCTGAAGCTGTCGCTGGAGCCGTCTGGCTATCCTTCAGAGTCTCCCTTTTGATGGCCAACGGAGAGGCGGGCGCCGGCACCCGGATCTCTTGGGCATTACTATTGATCGTATCAATTAACAACTTTGCCTGCTCCTGCATATCGTTGAATTTGAGGTGCTCGATTAGCAACTGGACGTCGCTGCCCGTAGCATTGAGATCACCCAGTCGAATGCATCGCCTTGTCAGCCAATCCAGCAGGAAAATCTCTAGGAAACTGGTGTCGTAGAATCGCAGCGGATCACCAGCTCCCGCCTGCTGACGTCCCACCTTCTCGCTTACCTCGAGAATAAGGCGACCGCTCTGCGCCATCGTCAGATCCTCACAGATCCTGTATAGGCTCTTTAGCAGCGGATGCACATGCAGTGAGATTCCCGCTATGTGCGGTAGGTAATGTAGCCGCAGCTCAGTCCACCGGAAGCCAAGTTTTCGGAGAACCTGTCGGGCACCAATGATGCACAGAGCCTCCACGAGCTGCCGCCGCCAAGTATCTGGCCGGGACTTTGAGTACTGTGTCAGCAGATCGCTTGGCTGCTGCCGATCCCCGCCGGCCATGGCAAGTAGCTTCTGTAGTATAAAGGCGGCATCGGCATCGACGTCACTGAAGAGCAGGAAACAAAGCCCAACCTGCAGGGGGAAGTCAAAGGAATTAGCCAAGAAAGCGTAATGTCACGGCAAAAAACCAGGAATTAAGCTGGAAGACAGCTAGTAGTAGTTCTGCATCCATTATCGAAAATTCATATTTTGAGTCATATTTTTCGATTTATCTGTGGTGAAGCACACTCACCTTTTGGCGGAAGTTCAGATCGCGCTCCACATAGACCAGATCGTTCACATCGATGGTGTCCACTTGGATTAACAGATTCGATCCGTCCATAGCGTCGCGCAAATGCGGGGAAGTACCAAAATACGACTTGAGGAAAACCGTTTTTCCGAAAGACTTGCTGGCCCAATAGCGATGGGCAACAACAGGTGATCAGCCTATCGATCTCGAGGTTTCGATAACACGAAGCACAATCAAACTATCGATTGCGCTTGGTTATTGATTAAATAAATAATTTTGTATTGTAACAAATTTTTAAATTAAAAACCCACAATCAGCTGTTATCGGAATCAAAGTTTCTTATCTATAAAAAATACCTACTTTTTTCACACGGTATAAATAATCGTTTTGTGAGAACGGTATATATTTCAAATTCAATCGAGTCTCATGAATTTGGCTAGTATTTTTCTGATATATCCTCGAAGGCCTTACTGTGCTTTTTAATAATCCAGCCCGGTCACACTGCAGTGTCACTTAATTGGAGTGAATATTTTTTCTGGCGTAAATATTGTACGAACAATCTGATCGAAATGACTGCCTGGAGAGCTGCTGGAATAACGTAAGTATTATATAAGTGCCAGGCGCACCATAATGCAATGGATGCTGTTTAATGAGCACGCAGGCCAGATCCCAAAAATGATGCACATTACGTAATTCCATTCGCAGCTACATCCAATACTCGAACATTGCGGCCCGCGTTCTGCGAGAGTCCCTGCGCACAGAATTGCGTGTGGATGCGGCCAAGAGGAACGAAAGCCATGTGAAGTTCACACCCTGGGCCAACGGCAGGCCAGCCCGTACGTATAATACTTTGTAGTTCCTCGTCCTTTTTTTCGATTGTGCAACTTGGCAACCTGTCGCCGGAATGGCCTGGCCAAGAGTTCCATTACATAAAACCAAAGCGGAATTAGGGACCCAACTCAATGCAGACATTAGATTTCTACTCTTATATATAAATCCTGCATATTCTCGTGTATATTTCACAGATGAAAAGGCCTAAGTATTCTGCCAACAATTGTGGGCTTAAAAGACTGGTGTAAGTCCCTGCTAACGCACGGGTTAACCCAACTGCTCTGCTCCCCTTGTTTGCCTTGCATTTTCAACTAAAACCATATATTTATGTCCGTTAAGTGTCTAACTTTGACTGCAAACCGATCATCGACCACTTCCGAAACCTTTTTACCCCAAGTTAACTAACTATAAGATCAAAATTGACTGATTATTATTATTATTATTGTTGTATGCCATAAAAATTAACGTATTTCTCTCTTATCCCACATGCAGCTCGCCAGAACCAGTCGGAATCGTAGACGCTCTTCTGGCTCTTGGTGGTAATACCAGCCTTAGTAATAACCAACGCCTGCTAAAGCTGCAATGATTTCGAAAAATAAAAAAAATCACTGAAAATTAATAAACAAAAAAATCTTTCAAACAAAACTTTGGATTTACTTCTAAAATGTGTATCAAAATACAAAACAATCATATAAAATGTATAAAGACTGAAGTCTAAGGCATGTACATATGCTAATATTCTTTGTCACTGCTCCTCCTTTTCGATATTGTAAAAATGCGGCCACTTTTGTATCTCCTCGTACAACCGCTTGCCCGGACTCTCCGTCGAATTGCACTGGCAGTGGCAAACAAGTCGGTAATCGGAGGCAATGTGGCCCTCCTGCACGCCGCGTGCCAACAGATTGCGACACATATTCAGCGCATCTGCCGTGGGCAGTTCACGCATAAAGCAGCCAATGAAACTGATGCCCAGCGACAGCTTGTTGTAGCCAAGGGTATGGGCTCCGACCGTATGCCATCCGCGGCCCTCATAGATGTTGCCGTCACAGCCAATCAAAAAGTTGTAAGCAATGTCGTTCCATCCCCTCGACTCAATGTGAAAGCACTGCAGAAGATAACAATTTAAAATGGGTTTTTAATAATTAATAACAAATTAAAGTCCCTGAATTTACTCACCTGCATATCACGGATAAGACGGACATTTATTGCGCGCTTTTCAGAGCTCTCTGTGGCCGTGTGTACTATTGGGAATATACAAAGTATTTTCAAAATGAGTTGCTTGAAACGAAAAACTTGATTTAATTCAAAAAATAAAGGATTGCTACTCACATATAACCACATATTTTACGGGTAGCTGTAGATTTTGTGGATCCTCCATAGGATTTTGTGCCAGCCAGGAGTGCCTGGGTACTATCGAACACAGCTCTTTTGGTATTTTGAATTCTTAAAAAAAAAGAGAAGACTAGTTACATGATTACGAATACATAACATAAATTTGCCACTCACTTTGGCTACTAATAAACACATCCGAACGCACTTTCTCCTCAGCCTCGTCCTGGTCATCCGAAAGGGAAACCCTTCTGGCCCCTTTTCGCGGCCGACTTAATGTGTCCGCTATGATCTGTATGTTGCCATTAATATTGGTCACATTGCCGATATGTACATTTGTAGAATTGCTGATGTTAACGTTGCCCAATGTCTGTATGCTGTTGATGCTGTTCATCAAGTCCCGCAAGGTTTCGCTGATTACGGAGCGTTTGTTTGCCGCTGGTTTTGGGGTAGCAATTGGAAATTGAAGTAATGATTAATGGTTATTTTTAAATGTATAAAAATATGTCCAATGACCCTTATAATATGTTTGACTCAGACTTATGTAAATATAAATATATAAATGTACATCCTATATATGAATCTCTAAAGTACAAAATACCTTTTCTTTCATATCTAGATACTCTCGACTGCAGTTGTTTTCTATGTCATTGCAGGGTATTTTCAGTCAGATCTTAAAAACGCAGTGAAGGAGTCATTTCTGACCATATAAATCATATATATTCTTGATCAGCATCAAAAGCCAAATTGTTTTAGCCATGACCGGAGGTAAAACTATTGTTTGACATTTTTTTCAAAATTTGATAAGGGGTTACATCGTTAAAATTGTCAAAAATTTGCAAAATTTTTAATTAAAAATTATTAACCTTATAAAGACAAACTCCTTACACATTTCCAAATTCAAAATTATAGATTTTTGCCTTAGTTATGGTATTTTACTCAACAAATTATAATATAAAAATATATGTATATTTATTTGTGTTGTATTTATATTGCCAACTGGAAGGGTATTCAAACTTTGGATCCCAAAGTTAAGCTTATGATCCTAAACTTGTCAAAATGGCCATATGTAATGCATGCATCTCGCTCACATTCATGGCTAACAAACCCCTATCTATCGTTGGTTTGCGTACTAACCTTACATTTTACGATTTTACAAAGAAATGGTTAACGGCCTTGCTAAACGCTGCGCCCTAAGGCTAAGTAAGTACGTATGCAGATATGTACATACATAATTATAACTAATCTTTATTTATTCTAAAAGTTAAGCCAGTAGCCAATGCACTCCAGTCACCATTTCACAATATTATAAATACATATGTTTGGTCTTCCCCTTATTAAAACTTAATTAATTAACTTTTGCGCCAGAACAACAGCTAATATGTACATATGTATGTACGTACATCGTCCGTATGTAAGGGTTTACTTACGGATTTGAGTGCCAAGCGTTATGGTGCTTATTTCCTCAAGGCTGTTGTTGTTGTCGTCATCATCCTCCGGATCTTGGGTGTACTCCGAGTCATAGTCCAGGCTGTCAACTACCGATGATTCGGCTATGGACTCCAGCTCTTCATCCTCCACCGATGTCGTCGCCTGTGAGGCCAGCCACTCCCGGGTCCGCTCCTGACTAAGCTTCGATTTGGATGTGGACGTGGGCATGTTGGACATGGCTGCAATTTGGGCCCTCTTTGTTAATTATACGCGTGTGGCTCTATTTTGTTTATCAATACTATGAGTTAGCAATATAATACTGCTTCACTATTTCTATATTGATAACTTTCGACAGCAGTCCCATGTCGCGTCCACCTTGCGCGATAAGATAAGGACAATCCAGAGCCAGAGAGCCTGTCCACCATTATATGCTAAAAGAATGTGGATGTTGTATGCGGAATTGCATAGGTATTGGGCCCTTCCCTTGTTGAAATTGTATACAATAATATTTATTAAGTTCTATCACTGCGGCTATCGATATACAACAATTGATCTCGATCAAAGAGCGATAGTTTTGGTGACGACCATTAATTATTTAAATGAATTTAAGATTAACATAGAGAATATATCAAAGTCTAAATATTAATCATACATTTTTATAACAAAATATATTTACTTTATTCGATATTTTTGCATTTTCCGTTAATGAGCTTAAAAAACAAGGTCTTTAAACGGTTTAAACTGTATGTACAATCTCTTTAATATGCTTTTAAGCAGCTTTAATCTTAATAATAAGTTTAAAAGCAAAATAAAATACAATAAATGGGAGTGTGAACAATGCAAGGTGAATACTATCGCACGAACCACATATCGATAACTAAAATAACAATCGCACTGACGGGTTGCCCAAAATAAACACACAAATCCGCTGATATTGCGGGAAAACTAAAACTGTGCCCTCCTTTCCCATGTATCCCTTCGATACAAATTAGGTAAGCTGCAGATACCAGTGGCAGAACGGATCAGTGCTGTGTCCAAGCAAAAACCCTTGCCAATTGAGCGATTTAACAAGGATTTCGGGTTTTTTGTAAAATAATATTTATATAATTTAAGCTAGGACAAGGGTAATTAGCGCCACCCCGGTAATCGTTCGCTTTTATTATTATTCCGCTCAACTGCCGTGCACCTTGGCCATATTTTATTTATATCTGAGATTTCAACTACAAGTGCATACTACATATTTATATACTACACACTTGCAGCTTTGGTCGGCAGTTGCTGTGACCACGACTACGACCTCAGACGATGGGCGATAATAAAAGAATAGCGACGCAACTGCGCCGTAGTGTGCACCAATGCCTCGAGGACTATCCGTACAGCAGGGCCAGCGAGGCCCAAAGCAACCTGCAGGCCAGCTGCAAAAGTAGGACGTCCGTCGGTGCTATGCAAAAATGAACTAAATTCGATTTTATTCCGTTCCGCAGACTCGCTGAGCTTTGTGCAGCGACTGGGATTGCTGCAGACCCTGTATGTCCATAATGGATGCGTGAACACGGTTAATTGGAACGCCAGTGGCACGCTTATCGTCTCGGGCTCCGATGACAACCATTTGGTGGTCACCGATGCCCACAGCGGGCGGGTGCTGGCTAGGAGCAAGACCCAGCACAAGCATCACATCTTTAGTGCCCGTTTCATGCCGCACACCAACGACAGTGCCATTGTCTCCTGCTCCGGCGAGGGTCTAGTCATGCACACAGAGTTCCTCACCGAATACCGTCAATCCGCCAGCAGGAGGAGCAGCGAGAAGGCGGACGACTGTTGTCTGGTCGGTGAAAATGAGCGCACTACCAATACCTTTGACTGCCATAAGTTTGGTAGCACCTTCGATGTCCTGCCACTGCCCGATACTCCGCGCAGCTTCCTCAGCTGCGGCGAGGATGCCACAGTCCGCTGCTTTGATCTACGCGTGTCCTCCAGTTGCTCCGAGCGCGTCTGCCAGAAGCATATATTCATAACGGCACCCTGTGCCGTAACGGCCATGGATGTGGCTCCCATCAGCCACCATACAGTGGCCATTGGCTGTTCCGATTCGATAGTTCGTCTCTACGACAGGCGCATGCTAGCCGGAGGAGGAGGAGGAGGAGGGGCATCGGACAGCTCCACGATGATGCCCTATAAGGCGTATCCCATACCCATGGAGTATACGCGTCGTCACTATCGTCCCACATGCGTCAAGTTTAGTCCGGACGAGTCCGAGCTCCTGGTCAGCTACTCCATGGAGCAGCTGTATCTGTTCGATCTGAGGCATCCCGGCTATAGCGATGCCGAGCTGCTGAAGAGCGGATGCTACACACCAAAGATGCGACGCGACGATGATCCGGAACCGCAAATGCCAAGGCTCCGGTTTCGGGGTGATTGGTCGGACACCGGGCCCAACTCGCAACTATCGACGGGAGTGCAGGGCGTTAACCAGACCAACATCGGCCAGGCTCGTCCCGCTCTGGAGCCCGGTGTCTTGAGCCGTCTCAGCGACGAAATATTTCGCCTGCTTAACTCGCCCAGTCAAAGGCGTCAGCAGGCCTCTTCTATGGCAGCACAGCCGGAAGCACCAGGAACCCAGGCACCGGGAAGTGCAGCATCCGCAGTTAGTAGTAATGGCCATCGTACTGGTCCCAGGTCATGGCAAAATGCAGTTTTCCGCACCATGGCAAATGCGTCTGCAGCCACAGGCGACGGCAGCGGGCAAAGGCCGAGCAGCAGCCCTCCATCCCGCTCGGCAAGCAATGATGGTAAGCGAGGGTGTGGAGGAGCAAGGATCTAAGACTGGACACATTACATATATTTCCTATTTCGCAGATCTTCCAAAGAGCGAAGGGGAGACGGCCCAGCAGTTTCCCATCAAGAAATTCGATTACGTGAAGATGTCCTTCAGTGGCCACCGGAACTCCAGGACCATGGTGAAGGGTGCCAGCTTTTGGGGCGATGACTTTATAATGTCCGGTTCCGATTGCGGTCACATATTCGTTTGGAACCGGGCAACGGGCAAGGTGGTCAAGACTCTGCTGGCTGATAACCGTGTGGTCAATCGAGTGCAGCCGCATCCCAGATTGCCCTACCTGCTTAGCTCTGGCATTGACTACAATGTGAAATTGTGGGCGCCGATAGCGGCGGAGCCCCTCTTTGATGAGGTGGAGTGCGCCGGGGTAAGTAATTGCCCAGATTATTTGATTATTTATTGTTTTGTGTACTTTTCCACTCTCTCTCTCTATCTCTTTAGTTGATCAAAAGCAACGAGATTATGCTGGTGGAGACGCGAGATACCATAACCGTACCTGCCCAGATAATGATTCGAATACTGGCCAGCTTGCATCATGCCGCTGGCAGCGAGTCGAGATCCCGAGCAGCTGCAGCAGCGGATTCAAGTTCAATTGCTGTTGTTAACAGTGACGCCGCCCCAAATGCTAGTCGTGATAATAATGAAAGTGATCACGAAAATATTAATAATGAAGCTAGTAATATTCCTGAAAGCGACACGATCTAATCCTAATCTAAAATCCTAGTTACATTTTGTTTATGTATGCGTAGCACTACCCTAAATTATATGTATGTACATATGTATGCATGAAATGCACATGAAAAGCACATGAAGACACGGCATCATTGTGGAAATTGCAGTAATCTCCCTTCAGTATCAATCCTGAGGAATTCATCAGGAATTCCCAAGGATTTAAGCCATTTTGGAAGGAATTCTTGAGGATTTTCGGAAGGAATTTGTTCAGTGCATGACTATGAAGTCGAGAAATCAAAGTTCCTGAGGACTTCCTTAGGTATTACCTGCAGAATTCCCTAAGAAGTTCCTTGAGAATTCTTGAGGAATTCCTCTTTTTGTCGTTCTGGTAAATTAGATATATGACAGACGGACAAATTTACACAGGGAATTATCTAGAAGACCAGAAAATAAGCATGACGGATGGGTAACGAGCGGCAAAATAGACTTTGGACCGGCACTGGAACCTTTTGATGAATTAAAAAAAAAGCTTAATAAGCCAGCACTTGTTTCATTTTCAATTTATATATATATATATGTATTTGAAATTTTGGTAACACATTTTCGAACACAAATCTGTATGTAATCCGAGAATTTGAATTTTACAATTTTGTGGGTTTTGCAATGAGAGGCTCCAAAATTTGCATTTTTCGGTGTTTCAAAATTTACAAACGAACTATATAGCCAGCCAAATAAAATATGATCAGGGTAGATCGATCATCATCATCCATCATTTTGAAGTATATGTAAAAATTAGTTCTTATTTTCTTTCCCAAAAATCAACAACGACTTGCATGACAGAAATTAGACAAGACGGTCCACCCGTCCGCTTTGCATATATCAGATTTCCATATTGATTATTGCTATTTACGAGACGTCTAGCGCCGCGTCAGCCACTAGCTATGCAAATAGCAGCCATCCGATGCACAGAAAGGCCAAATAAAGAAACAGTTTCGAAAGGGTTTGCTCGTCCTCGTATTGCGTTGTGCCACGATTGGCAGCTGGGGATGAGAGAAAAAAAAACACGGTCATTACTCATCTGTATCCTTCGGATTACAGAAAAGGAAGTGAAGGAATCTCTTACCAGCCGGACGTGGTTCTCCAAAGTTAAGCGAAGAAGTTATGAAGCCAAAGGGGAAGGCACCAATGCCGAATGACATGTGGAAACCATCACCGAATCCAAATCCTGGAAAGCCAGGGGCAGGCTCTGGCTCTGTCCTGTGGCCGGGGGGACGTGGTGGAACTTTGTTGCTGCAAAATAATAATGGAATTATTGTATTAGATTCGACACTCTCAATGATGGCAATCAGTGTTGGCCTTACCGAGGATCTTCTTGGCGAGTGCTGTTTCGGCCATAGAGCGGTATAACCTTATCCTTATCGACAGCCGCTTTACACACGGGGCAGAGCTTGCGATTGGGCCGTGTCAGGAGCCACTGGTGCAGACATGGCCAGCAGAACAAATGGCCGCACATGCTCACCACCGCATCCTTTGCCGTATCCAGACATATGTTGCACTCGTAGAGGGACTCCTCGTTCTGGTCCGCATTCTTATCCTTGCTCTCGGCGCCCTCCGAGTTAGTAGTGGTGCCATTCGGGTTGGACCCAGTGTCAGAGGCATTGCTAGATTTTAAATCTTTTCCCGTGAACGAATATGATGTTGTAGATGGGTTTGCCTCTGCCGAATCACTGGCAATCTGTCGTAATTGACTTGTAGAAGGCTCCTCCTCGGACATGGCTTCCGTTATGTCGCCTCCAGTCCACACGATTTTGTCGTAGTTAACGTTGGATGTGGATGAGGCCACAGTGCTGGACGATGATGTACTGGGAAGCTCTGACGCCGGTACTTGCTGCGGCACTTCCATTGTCAAGCCAGGATGGTAACGCAAAGCGGTTGCTGCTGCTCTCCTGTGCTATTGGTTCAAACTGCAACAGGGGAAGGATCTTATTTTTAACTCGAATTTATTGCTTTTTGTTGGAAGCAAAGCCACACACACAAACCTAAGAGTAAAATTGATCTGAAGCTACCACAAGTTCGATGTATATGAAATTTAGGCTCTAGCAGACTGACAACTGTTTCATTTTGACAATGACTTTGAAGGAGGCTTACTGCGTTGCAAGGGTTTAGAAAGGTACAGGTACAGGTACGGGTACGGGTACAGGTAAGTTCCAATAGATATTGTATTGTACCATTCAAGAACCTTTCAGATCTTACAAAGTCGCAAAGTTAAAATACTTGAAACAATTTCTTGGGTTTTTTCTGGCTCTCAACAAGTTGCTAATTAAATTAATATATATGTGTACATATGTATATGTACCGCTTTATTTGTTATTATTATTATTTGCTCTCTAACCTTCTAAGCTTTTGACTTTTACACCTGAAAGAATCAAAATGATTGTGAAATATTCATTTAATGAAAACATTTACATACATCGCCGTTGCAGTGGAAACTTATCGCGATTCGTTAAATCACACAAAACGCTGTACATATGTAGATATGTAAATACAACTGCGACTCGAAGCGCCGTTTAAAATGAACCTATTTATATATGTACTTATGTATGTATGTATATAGGTATGTATGCACAAAAACACTTGACATTACATTGTGTAGCTGGGGGGATGTTTGCTAATTCCTATGTTTACTTAGCGGTTTTCGTGTCATGGGACTTTGATACTACGTCTTATTTAAATATGCACCTAATCACCGAATATCCAACCTTGTAAAGAAAGTCCTTGTATGCCACGAAACAGGTAAGACAAATATCAATACGGAATCGGAATCTCCTGACAAAAACGGGTTGGAACAATATGACGATACGTGCCCAGAGTCGATAGACCTTTAACCTATCGCTGCGCACCTTTAAAATGCGTATTCCCACTGGCGTTGCTTCGCTATCGATATCACAACAACGAACAAGTAATAAAAACAATTGCAAAAGCCAAAAAAAACGCCGAAAAGTACTATCTACCTCGTACTGTGTGCTTTTACATTAAAGTCAGTACAATTTTGCCATCACTAATTTAAATTTGATAAGACTGCATTCGATTTTGGTGGAAAACTAACGGTTTTACAAGCCACATCGGATTTAAAATTTAAATATTATATTCGGCTCTTACAATTTATTTAATCAATCATAAAAAATAGCAAAAATGTAGAGTTGATGACAATGAAAGCGCCTATTTCTGCATTTTTAGATATCGATTGACATATTGTCGCAATAACGGCGGTTTAGGAATCGATAACCACTTTAAAACGAGTTGGCAGAGCTTGAAAGAGGACGCAGTTGTTAAAGTTAATTATTACTTTATTTTTTTGTTTACATGTACCCGCTAAGATAAATCCACAAGAAAAACCGCACGGCTCCAAATTTCTAAAGAGACGAATCCACAGAGCCAATGCCGCACATCTTCGAATGCTAAATACCCAAACATTGCAAAATGAATCCCTGTGTGTTGCCCACGCCTGTGCTTGATGAAGATGGCGACAACCGGTGGCACAGTATACATCGCCGGTTTCTGTCCGATTGCCGTGAAAAAGACCCTGACGTCATATTTCTGGGCGACTGCATTTTCGAGACACTGCAAGACGGCGAGGCGTGGAATAAGTATTTTGCTCCGCTGCACTGCCTTAACTTCAGCATACGTGATGACTGCACAGAGCATGTACTTTGGCGCATCGAAAATGGAGCTCTTGACAACGTTAATCCGAAAATAGTTGTCTTGCACGTCGGCACCAACAATGTAAATAACAGTGCCAACGAGGTGGCAGAAGGTGTTCTCGCAAATGTCTCGAAAATACGCCAAAAGCTTCCAAACGCCTATATCCTGCTGCCGGTAAGTGACCCTTGAATTGCAAATGTAATGCGACAGTATGTACATACATACATATATGTAATAATAATTTGCAACATTTTCACAGTCACTACTGCCACGCGGACAGCTGCCCAATAAGCTGCGCGAGAAGAACGCCAGCATTAATGAATTGATCAATGAAATGACCAAGAAACTGAATCGTGTCCAGACCGTGGCCATTGACAAGGGCTTGGTGCAGAGCGACGGTAGCATAAGTCATCACGATATGTTTGACTACAAAAATCTCACAAATGCTGGCGCCAAAAAGATCCTTGAGCCGCTCTACGATTTGCTTTCGCAAATTCTCAATGAAAACGAACCAGAAGGCGATCTCACTCCCTCCGAATGAATATGCATCGTGCAGGATGGTGCATGGAGTAGCGACGACTGTATTTGAATGCAAACTGTTGGCCTCTTCAAAAAATCTCAAAAAGGAATCGGAGCAGTCTGCAAACTACATACCACAATCAACACACAAATTCACTCTTACTCACTCTCATCTATAAACCATCGCGAAATACCAATATGTTTCCCACAAATTCTATGTTTAAGATACATATTATAATTACTAAATTTGGAGTAAAATGCGTAAATATGTTAACATTTACATTAAACATATCGCTGAATTCATTTGAAAATAGAATTTCAGATCTTTCCTTAACGGATATTGGAGTGGGTTGAAGGTAATGTGAAATATTAAACAGTTTTTTGAGTAATAGCTTTCAAGTCTCTCTTTCTAATTGTCTTGCTATCTTCTTCAGTCTCACTGTCTTCCTGTTGGAGAAGCAAGTGACTTAATAAACGAATCGCTGAATCCCGGTCGTACATTTTAAAATTGCTTAACAATGAGGGAAAACTATATGCAGATTAAAATTATATACTATGTATATGCATATAATTTTTTAACAATTTTTGCCCTTCCAATTTCCTAATTGCCTGAGGAAAAGGGGAAAAAGAAACAATTTTCCATGCACGCGCAGATGTTGTACGCTTCAGACATGTCTGTCTCGAGTGGCTAATGTACCCCTGGCAAAAGGAGATAACAAGATCTCGCAGTTTTGTCTATAAAAACAGGCCATATGCAGAAATTTTTCGTATTGCAGCGTAAGTCTCGGTCCTTTTCTACAATGAAAGTTTGTACGTAAATATTTGCCGTTCTTTAGTTTGTTAAAATTTGATATTTTCAACGATTTGAGCAAAAAGGATTCTAAAAAAAAACACACACAAAAAGTGTCCTTAATCAGGATCACCAACATGGATTAAAAGAAATTCTTTCGTGTCTTTTTTTTTTTTTGTGGCTCTGTAGTCAAGGACTGTTGTGAAATTACTATCAGAGATAAAATAATGTTTTCTCATCTATTCTCACCAGACAACGTTGTGTGGCTGACGCTCGTGGTCACAATATGTTCACTGGTAACATTAGCCTCAGCCAATAGCCCCGAGTGTGCGGAGATTTTTAATGGCATTTCGTTTGCGGACCCGGAGAGTTGCTCAAGCTTCTATGTTTGCCTGCGTGGCAAGGCCCTCCGACGAGAGTGTACTCGAGGTCTCTACTTCGACCCCAAAACCCAAACTTGCAATTTACCCAGTTTCGTTAAATGTTTTAACGGAGATCGTAGCGGGTCCCAAATAGAGCAATCTGATTCTGGCGAGCTTTCAGCAGTCGCGAACACACCTAATAAACCTCCAATAATACAGCAGCTAAAGACTGAAAATGCAAAGCAAAGCCCAATTACAATTGACACCATCGCTGCTACAACACCGTCTACAACAACGATCGGTTCAACAACAACCAGCACCACGACGACCTGTACAACAACAACTTGCACAACAACGACCTGTACAACAACGACCTGTACAACAACGACCTGCACAACAACAACGTGCACTACGACGACCTGTACAACAACGATCTGTACAACAACGACCTGTACAACAACCACCTGCACAACTACAACGTGCACTACCACGACCTGTACAACAACGACCTGTACAACAACCACCTGTACAACAACCACCTGTACAACAACCACCTGTACAACAACGACCTGTACAACAACCACCTGTACAACAACCACCTGCACAACTACAACGTGCACTACCACGACCTGTACAACAACGACCTGTACAACAACCACCTGTACAACAACCACCTGTACAACAACAACTTGCACCACGACGACCTGTACAACAACGACCTGTACAACAACGACCTGTACAACAACCACCTGTACAACAACCACCTGTACAACAACCACCTGTACAACAACAACTTGCACCACGACGACCTGTACAACAACGACCTGTACAACAACGACCTGTACAACAACCACCTGTACAACAACCACCTGTACAACAACGACCTGTACAACAACAACTTGCACAACAACGACCTGTACAACAACGACCTGCACAACAACAACGTGCACTACGACGACCTGTACAACAACCACCTGTACAACAACCACCTGTACTACAACCACCTGTACAACAACGACCTGTACAACAACGACCTGTACAACAACGACCTGTACAACAACGACCTGTACAACAACCACCTGTACAACAACCACCTGTACAACAACCACATGTACAACAACCACCTGTACAACAACCACCTGTACAACAACGACCTGTACAACAACGACCTGTACAACAACCACATGTACAACAACCACCTGTACAACAACCACCTGTACAACAACGACCTGTACAACAACCACCTGTACAACAACCACCTGTACAACAACGACCTGCACAACAACAACTTGCACCACGACGACCTGTACAACAACGACCTGTACAACAACCACCTGTACAACAACAACTTGCACCACGACGACCTGTACAACAACCACCTGTACAACAACCACCTGTTCAACAACCACGTGTACAACTCTTAAAACAACTACTAAAAAAAATCTATTTCTACTACAACGTCCCCAACAACGACCACAACAGCTACTCCCACCAGAACTACAAGAACAATTTCAACCAGAACCGCAACAAGAACCACAACAACAACCACAACAACAACCACTACAACTTGTACTAGAGCAACTTTTACTGCAACAACTTGCACAACACCAACTAGCAGAACAAAAGCTTGCACAGCAACAACTTGCAGAACAACAACTTGCACTACAAAAACTGGCTGAAACGCAACAAACTGCACTACAACAACTTGTAGATAAACAACTTGAGGATCAACAACTTGAAGAAGAACACCCTGTAACACCTCGTGGTCATGTGGCATTGCTGGACTTAGATGAAGAAGAATTTTTACCTCCAACAACAAGAAAGCCTCGTGTTCGTGTGGCACCAGCAAATACTATTGATGTATTGAGATCTTCGGATGATTGTCGTGGAATCGATGATGGAGTAATCCTGACAGACGCTAGACACTGTCGTCGCTATTATGTGTGCACGAAAAATCGACCCAAGCGCCAAATGTGCCCATCAACAGAGTGGTTCGATCGAGAAAGTAGGACTTGCCGAGATAAAGAATACGTTTTTAACTGTCCGGCCCGACGAAACTAAGAGTGAAAGGATACATTTCGATAAATAGTCAATAGTACCAATAAATGTCAAAGAATCGGTTCGAAAACAATATTTCAATAAAAGTATTCCCTGCATTGACATGTCTTTATATAAATAAATCCAATTTTTATTTAAAGTTTCCCAATTCTTTATGTCGTCGCCCGCAATTCAAATAAACCAGCAATAATCAGAAAGCATCTTTAAAATTGCGTTTTTTTGTATAATTTAGATATTTTAAGAACCTCAAATTTCTGAAAGGTTTGGGAGTCGAAGGCATCTCTAAATAATCATCGCTGATGCCGAAAAACCACCCCAGATGGAATACAATTGTTGTATGTTTCAAAAATAATTATATATATATTTTACTATTTACAAATAATTTAAAATATCATTAAGGCTCGGCTGGTTCATACATATTTAAGAATTTTAAAAGTTAAAAACAGAAGATGGAAAACTAACCATTCAACTAGCTTTCCTTAGTTTCTTTTTGCGGTGGCGAAATGCACATAACATATATGTATTTTGTATGATGCACAAAAATAAATAAAAATATTAGTCTTAAGAATAGAAAATATTAGAAATAAAGTGAGCCATGGCGGGGACATTGATATAATGAGCTGGTTGATCTGGTCTTTTTATAAAAAAATATATATATATATCTTTTACAATATATTTCACTATCCTCTGGAGAGTTGAACTCAATAAAAAATGTAATTAAGGCCTCATGACACATGCGTGTGTGTATGTCCTAGAATATTTTAGCTAAGCTTGGCGTGCGACGAAAGGGATTCCATGATCGAGACGACACGCTGCCCACGAGTCGTGCCTTATTGGCGTTCTTCAGCTGGAGCTTCGGCTTTGTGGCCGTGCTCGTGGGACTTGGGGAGCCGGATGATGAGATACCCGAAGAGCTGGCGGCTGATAGCGTTGATATTGAGCCCTTCGACGACAGCGGCTGCAGGTTAAAATAACCATATTTTTATATCTGATTTCTATAATATTAATCGAGTATTAAAAACCTTCAAGTAATTGCGATCCATGGGCGTTATGACTTTTAATTCAAGTGCAGAGCCACAAGACTGTATTAGCTGAACGACCTGCTGGTGTGAGTACCACTTGACATCCATGGCAGCTATTTCGACTATAAAATCACCCTCCTTGATGCCACCAAGCTGCATTTAATTAATTAATTAATAAAATTAATAAATTAAGAATTAATAAAGAAGTTGTTCTAAGACAAAGCCCATCAACTTACATCGGCTAGAGAATTAATCTCCACGTGGGCAATGATCACTGGCGCATCGCCGCGCACATGAAAGCCAAAGTTTTCAAACTCTTCCTTAAAGCCACTGTGCTCGGCTGTGTTAAATGTGCTGGAGGCATCGTGATATATGGAGGACGTAGACAGGGATGCGGAACCCTTTTGTAGGCGGACACAACGCGGCGCTGTCCAGTGGCGTCTTGCCGAGAATATCGCTATGGGTCCCAGGCCCTTGAATGGATCCTCGACTTTGTACGATGTGAATTCGGGCCCAGTCAATGATAACGTAAACTTTGAAGAAGCTATGTATAGGGAAAACAATTAGAAAATAAAAATATATATTAAATCAATATATAAATAATTACCCTCAACCACTTGATCTAACAGATCGTAGCACTCTTCTATGTTATTGGCCGAAGCCTGCACTTTGAATTTCTCGTACTCCTCTTGGGTTTTGTACAGCGATTCCTTGATCACTTCCGTCAGGGATGTTTTGTTCTGATACATACAACAAATGTATAAAAATTCAGCTTTATAGATATGTATTTGTATGTATATATAACCATACCTTAAGGTAGCGACACATGCGCTGCAATCGCTGCGCCTCTTCGTTACTATTCATTGCTTCTTTTAGGTGGGTGAGCTTGATTGCTATGGAAGAAGATGACGTGGAAGTGGTGGACTCGCTTTGGGCTTCTCTTGCATTGCCAATAAATGATTCTTTTGATTTGGCAGCAGCCAGATTCTTTTGGTTAGACAGACAGGTCAAGGCCCCAGCACCGGAAGTGGTATCTATGCTGCGGGCCTCGTAATAGTGGGCAAATGCTGGAATAATACAAAGTAGATATAGAAATTACCATTCAGGTTCGTGTAGTATTTTTATATATTTTTTTTGTTGCTTCCTTACCCTTGTAGAGTTCGGCTTTTAAAGGCACCAGCCCAGCCCAACATTCTGGCAGATAGGTGTGTGTGTCATTCGCTTGAATATTTTTGTGCATGTCATTATACTCGTACGACAGCTGGGCCGCCTCTCCAGCCAGGTCCCGATACAACTGTAGAAGAAGCGAATAATCCAAGGAATATATACATATATATATATATATAATTTATATATAGACTTACGTGACGAGACTCTGAAAGATCTAACGCTTCAATTTGTAGCTGCAATTTCTCAAAGAGACACTCTCGGGCCTGGGAGAGCATCAGAGAAACGAGTACGTCCAGGACCTGCGGCTTCAGGTCCATCGAAGGGGCATTCGTAAACGTATCGTAGATGTGACGGAATATGCCAGCGGCCCGCAAGAAGCTATCAACGGCCAGATCCAGTCCCCGTTCGGTGGTGCGATCATGCCTCGCACCGATCTGTGTATATATTCCACCCAGATTGAACAGAGTACAGGCCTTTTCGAAGGCAATCGTACGCTGGCAAGAGGGCACGCCCGTAAGAGAGTCATACCATTCGAAGTAGACTCCTATATTGCGATCGGGCGGAAAGAAGCGACGTTCCACATAATAAAGCAGGTTGTAGTAGCGAAAAAGCAGCGCTACGCCGAGGCCATCACGTGATGGCGTCTTCGATGCCTGTCCAAACAACACACTTGAATAAATTGTGGCGATATGTTTGGAAAACGAAAGAAATAACCTACCTGCCTGGTATCTGTAATATCCGCTATGGAATCCATATATATCGAGGGCTCTTCGCTATAGTGCTCCAATATGAAGTCCGAAAACGGTTCCATGAAGTTAATCTCCTTGGTTTCCTTTAGGCCCAATGGTATCATAGGCATGACACTGTTGAAACTATGCCAGGGAATCCAAATAAAATGTAATATTTGTAACTATTAAGTTTGAATCTATCTCACCTCTCGCTTTGATATATTTCCACCGATGAATTTAATTCCGCCAACTGTTCCTTCAATAGCTGCAAATTCGAGTTGACGAAGCTCAGTTCCAGGGCAACTGTGTCCCGCAGCTTACGGTTTGTTGTGGCCTAAAGTAAAAACGGGTTGTACAGACAAGGGTAAGTATCTTTGTTTTTTTCCTATTTAACTTTTCCTTATGACCAGTTTTAGATAATTTAAAAACTTTAGTTAAAAATTATAATGAAGGAATTCACCCTGCAAAATCTATTCCCACTCATACAGACCTTGTATAAATTTTCAGCCCCAGCGCGTAGGCGAAGTTCTTTATTTATTTCTTGGTTTAATTTGCAGCGTCTGTTTTGCAGTTTACTTCGACATGTTGCAGCTCTGGGATCTGAGCCCTGCAAGACAATGATATATCCATTCAGAAACAAAGTAAATATTAAAGAAATATACAATATATAAATTGAAGAAATATAACAAATTTTTAAGAAATATAAAAATAAATAAAAAACGAGCAAAGCAACATTTAAAACTTATTTCAAAACAAAAACTAGCAAAGATGATCTTTAAGGGACCAATAAGTATTCTTACATCTATGATTGATCTCCACACTCACCCGAATGAAGCAAAAGGATAATCCCTGGGTATCCTGGGCATCATTGTCGTTCTCCTCATTCTCCTTCGGCGCCTCGTCAGCAGTGTGATTGGCTGCATCCATTTTGAGAGCTCCGGGAGTGCCTCAAAATCCAAATATAAACATATACACCAGTTAGGAGGTTTTAACTGCCGGTTAAAATGTCACAATAAGCACAAATTTCGATTTAATTACGACTCTCGAGGGCTTTATATATTATTTAATATTTAAATAAAATATTTCTGTAAGTTTAAACTGTATTTAAGCCATATTTACAGACTCAAGATCCAAATATAAACATATACACCAGTCAGAGGGTCCTAAATGCCGGTTAAAATGTCACAATTAGCACAAATTTCGATATTATAACGACTCTCGAGGGTTTTATCTATTATCTAATATTTAAATGAAATATTTCTGTAAGTTTAAACTGTATTTAAGCCATATTAACAGGCATGCCGCTCGATCTTAATTAGTTTGCACCAATTTGAGGTCACCGAAAATCAGCTCTAGACGATGATCAAACACACATACCAAGAGTCGCGCAGATAATATATAGAAAATATTATCGAGAACCGGGTTCTGTGTCAACAGGTATTCGACTCTTTTTGGGGTCATGTAACGCCCAACAAAACGATTGCAAACACACACAAAACGGGTGACAAGTTTGAAAGTTTTTGTTGGGCATTATTAAGCTCGTACCAACCCAATTTTATTATTATTATCATATCGTTCGTATCATTTCCCGATTGCACTGGCCCCGATGCGTAATTCGAGGATAGATTTGGAGCACTTTTATAATGTAAAAATGCATACACACGAATAGTTTAAAATCGTGTTGCCACTTTTAGTGGTTTGTTCAACATTTTTTCAGCACCAAAACGATAAACAACAGTTCCGTTCCACATCATCAGTGGCAGCAGCCACATTCTTACCACATTCCACTAATCTCAGAACTGGCATAGGTGTGTTTTATTATATTTTATTTATTTGTATTATATGTTGCATTTATGGCACCAGTTTTTATTTTAGTTTTCCGTTTGAATTGTATGGGCGAGAGGAAAACTACCAAAGCCATGTATATTTACCTTAGTTGGTTGAATTTCCACTCGGGCACATATACTAGTAGAAAACGAAGGAAAACACTTGTTGCACTGCACACATTACATTACACTCAAGCGAATTGTGTTTTGAATAAGTTTACGATTTTAAAATTGAGCCTGATTTGTGTGTATCTAACTTGGTATTCCGTTTTTCACTTTCCACAATTATCAAAAACAACAAAAAACAACAGGTTACTGCATTTGGGGATAGCGACGAAAGCGCGCTGGTACTTGTTTCCGTCCGAACAGTCGCAGTAAACTCTCAAACTGGTTATTTACCCAACGATACGATGGCCTTATTGGAGCTGAAACTGGAATTGAATTCAGTGGCCAGTGTGACCGTGTCGCAGATCGATAAACGCCACAGGTGGCAGGTGAAAGCCAAAACGGTCATACCCGATTTACACTGGATCGCATATTTGTGTGACCTTTTCCATATTAAAAAACTGGTTACACGAGCGGTCAGTGTGATCGTTTGACAAATCGGTTAAAAGCAAAACGATCTGGCAATAAAATTTGAAAGCTTAAATTGAGAATATTTTATAAGGGAAAACTTACTTGAAAACCCCTTGTCTAAGATCAATTATTAATCAACATTTTTTGTTTAAAGAAAAGTTAGTTAGACAGGAATTTCTTATAATAAAAATAATAATTTAATATTTTAATATGTTGTTATTGTTATTTATTTTTCCAAGAATAGAAAACCGAATGCTTGCACACTAACATTTTAAAGAGAATTAAGTTATACAGCCATTTCTGATAATAAAACAAAATTTTATTTTTATGGATATTATATAGAAAATTGTATAGAAAATTGCTTAAATATATAACCTCTTTCAATAGTAATTGTGTGATTAATTTTTGCAGTGTAAACGTTAAACCAAACTTCAAAATAATGCCTTTTTGGGGCAGGCAGCTTCGATAAGCTGACTTAGATTGATGGATTTTTCCGTGTATTACAATATTTTAGCCACCGACTAAAAAAAAAATGTTAAATTCGAGCAAGTTAACTAAATGAAATCCTGAAATATTAGCTCTATGCACATAGAAACTTACCGTTACTGCTGAGATTTGAAGCCTTAAACCATAAGCTTGGTTGTTCGATTTATTTTTAATTTATTATAAATTTTATTAATTCATTTCAGTGTAAAAATTAAAATGACACAAAAATTTTCTTATGTAATTTTCACATCGTTTTTTCTTAACCTCATTTTGTTTTCTTTCTTTCTTATCTGCAGCTCTTGCATTTTGCCTAAGGATAAATATATAAAACAAAGTACATATGTATATATATATCTATATATATATATATATATATATATTTATGTAGATACACACATAATGAAATTTGTAAATATAATTGCAATTTTATTGTTTTACATATTCACTGTTCGTCCTTTGTTATTGTTTCAGTTATTGGTATAAATTTATTAATAAATAATTTAAACACTATTAGCTATTGATTTTTTCGTTTCATTTTCATTTTCTTTGCTTAAAGTGTACGTATCTTAATTATTATTTAAATTACACGATAGCAAAAAAAAAGTAGTTTCTCTTTAGCGATTCCCCCAACTTAATACATACGCATGTATTTTTCTTATACACTCGCAAAATACGTCAAAATTAAATATATATTTAATAGACACAATACCCATACATATTGACAATTTACATAAATACATAAATCCATACATATGTAATTTCATATTTATGTGCGTACGTATAAACCCTCTTACATACATACATACATACTGCATGATCGGAAGCTTACCTCCTACACTCTTTGTGTTTATTGTTTTTGTTTTTGTTTTTGTTATTGTTATTGTTATCTCTTCTTTTCGATTTGAATTATATTGGCATAGATACTATATACACGCAGACCAATCAATGGCCGTGTTTACCATCACACCCACACACACACACATGTTGCACCTGTGCTTTTGATGTATGCAAAAACATCATTTACATACACATGTTTAGGTGATGTATGGTGCTGGTAAACGCTACTAATGTACATAACATATACTAAGAACGATGTAATGCACCGCTGAGACAGATCCCTAAACCATTTACAAGTGTGTTTAAAATAATATCAGTGCAAGGAATGTAATTATTTAATAATCTAATTTATTTAATTTCTGCATATTTGTGGGTTACGAATCTATCGCTTTCAAATATTATATTATTTTTTAAAAACTCTAATTTTGAAAATGTCCCATATACTATTATTATTTTAAGCACATTTGTAAATTGGCTAAAAGTCCTTTGTGCGTGTGTGTGTATGCATGTATATGTACATATGTAGATAGAATAATCCTGGTAAGCCTGCTACGAAAAAAGTGGTTTGTTAATTAGTGTCTTGGTAAATGATCTTCTTTGCTCTTTTATTTTTATTTTTATTTTTTTTAATTACTTTCTTAAGTTAATAACGAAAAATGAGATTTGCCAACAAACACATATGTAAGTATGTATGATTGTATATGCAATCAATTCACAACAACCGTTAATGTATGCATGTATTTACTCAAAGCAGTTACAGTTACAGTTACATTTGCAGTTGCTGTTAAATTACATGCTACAAATGAGCTTTCTAACGGAGTTGCTAGATTCTTGGTCAGGTCAAGGTATCATTTTATTAAGTTTTAATATTTGCAAAGGGGGTTTTTTTTTTTTATTAAATTCTAAATTGTAAGGTCTAATTCTGTTTTTCCACTTTTATCTCGAAAAAGTCTTTGATTAAAATAAAGAAAAAAAATCATGGAAATATTAAAAAAAAATTAAAGGTAAATGTTTGTAGGTTTATTTTGGTGCGAATAATACAGATTTTATCTGAATTATGCCCCAGAGACGTGAAAATAATTATTTAATATTTATAAAATGAGAGATATTTAAATGATTAATTATTATTAAATATTTTCAATTGTATTTTTGTTAATTTCTCCTTTGCAAATATTAAAAGCTTGACCAGCCCACAATTTCTAAAATTTAAGTCCGCCAGAAGCTATTTTCAATTATTATGCACTTGTAGCACAGTGTCAAGTAGTATTAGTTGTATTTTGAATTGGAAAGTACGCATGGCTGATGGCTTGATGGTGAAACAACAAGCCGCATACTATATAATACTTTGCTTCTGTTAGGCACTATTTTTTTTACTTGATTTTCATCTCATTTTTGAAACTTGCTTTTACTTAGTAGTGTTTTTTTTTATGGTAATTTACAATAGTGTTGCCGCACACATACATATATCTTTTGATAAGAAAAAAAAAAAATTGATTTTTGAGTTTACAATTTATTTCTGTTTATTATCTTTACTTTGTGTGTACATTTTATGTCAATCGGGTTGTTCACTAGTGATAACTATGGATAATTACTGATAAATCTTGAAATTGTTTGGGTCTCGTTTAGTCCTCGAAAAAAAATACATTGAATTTCATCATTGTTGCGGAACATGCAAAGAAATGCGTATTTGTTGTGGTCGTACAACAACGAAATACTATTATTTATAATAAGTGTATTATGTTTATTTTGTAGCTATACCGAAAGTAAATGAATACCGCTAATAATATTCAGTGTAATTTGAATTACAATCGATTATATTTAGAATACATACATATAGTATTATTATCTTTATTCGTAGCAAAGAACACATGTAGTTCCCCTGCACTCCCCTACATATGTATAGTTTCTTACAGTTTTGGACATATTATACTTGTGTGTGTGTGTGTGTGTTCGAGCTTGCCTTCGGTGGATGCAGAAATGGCTAATTATATACCAGTTTCGTTACTTTTATAAAATATATATATGTAGGCATTAATAGTAATAATTGATTTAAATCAATAGTTAATAATTTAAAAAACGGTGGATCATTTTGACTCATGCTTAATTGAATCACGCACATGAACATCCATATATACCATGGAGTAGCATGCCATATTTCACGCTCTATTTCTCTATCTATCTAAACTTTTTCTTTACTTCTTAGGGCCCTACATACATACGCCAAAAATTAGAAAACAAAAAAATACTTTCAAAAAGATATTTAAAAAAAAGTAGTAGAAATAAATAGTAGGTATTGACTTAAAATTAAAAAAAAAAAACTAGTTTCAATTCTTTTTTACAAAAAGATTTAACGACATCCAAAGTTAATCCACCGTCGGCATCATACCTCAAAATGTGTGTTTCTGACAAGCTTGAATTGATTTGATTAATTTATAAGAGTTTAAATATAGATTATGCCGCTTATGTTATTAAAGTTTACACCTTTATTATTTTTATACAATTTTTAAATCAAAATATCACAAGTCTGGCTCGGCATAGTTATAGAGAAAGCAATTTTGAAAATAAAAGAAAACTATAAAAACTTGTATGAGTTATCATGGCGACCGTGACCCACCATTTGGGGGGGGCGGAACTATGGGTAATATTTCTCGCTCTACTTTCCCAGAGATAAGCCTAAAAATATACACAAAAGAACAACAATATGTTAAAGAATAAAAAATAATAATAGGGTTTCCTTTTTTGTATAAAATTCTGGACGTACATATGCAGGGCCCTAAGTCTCTAGCTCCAGCTGCCTCTTCACTGAACAGATTTTTATAAAGAGCTTGCTTACCATATAGTTTAAATTAAATATATATATATATATATAGCTATTGTGTTTTATCTATACATTATTTACTCAATATCAAAAACAAACGATGGAAGCAAATAAAAAAAAAAAAAATGGTTTTGTAATCATACTTTTGCACGTGCTATATATTTATGCATCTGCCTTTCTTGTGGCGGCGTACGCTCTCTTTTTTTCTTTGTTTTTGTTTTTCTATTTCAAAATCAGGGTGCGACAATTGCTAATTATTTATTTTTGCTTAAGTTTTTTTTTTTTAGGTTTTATAAAAAAAAAAAAATACACACACAAAAATATATGTTTTAAGTAACTTTGAGATCATTTAAAAGTATTTTTTTCTTTTATATTTTTTTATGTAAATGTATGGTACAATTTTACAGAAAGCACTCTATATACAAAACTAAAGTCGGTACAGTGAACTAATTATTAAAAAGCAATATATATATATAGATATATATATGTATATTCCTAAACAATATCTAGTTGAATGCAGTAAATAAGAAAAAACTATTTCTTAAGACGAGAGAAAATCGGAAAATAAATTTGTTAAACAGCTTACATAGGATATAGAGTGCTTACTCTTTAGAGCAGCGGTCCCCATGGCCCTATATTCTCTGCACGGCCTCTGCTGGCACATATCTAGGCCACTTTGTTACACTTCTCACTCACACAAATGCAATGCCGGCATGCGGACCACTGCCTTAGAGCATGGGGTTTCTTCTTCATTTTATTGCAATATATAACACGATACACACTTTTGATTTGCACAAATGAGAGACAAAAACAAAAAAGAAGACTAAACACCGATCATAATGCCTGCATTTTTCCCTCGAATTAACTCACTGAGAAAGGCCGTGGCTCATGGGCTCGGCGGCGGTTCCTTTGTTGCCGCTGTCGGCGGCAGCAGCGACCTGACGCAGCATACGAAACTCTTGGGTCTCATCCATTAGGTCTGGCTTGGACGATTCGCCGGATGCTGCATCCTTTTCGCATCCGATACTGCTAAGATTAAGCGCCGCCGAGTCATTCGTTTCCGAGTTGGGTTGATGATACTGGTGGTGGTGGTGGTGGTGTGGGTGTTGTGCGGACAACTTGAGGAACTGTTCATAGTTGGCAAACTGCTCCTCCTGTTCCTGCTGCTGGTCATCATCGTCCTGCAGCTGCAGTTCCTTGCTGTCATATGCCGTTGCCGTCGCCGTTGTCCGATCCTTATAGGTGGCTTCGTGCAGCTGTTGTTGGAGCGTTGTTGCCTTGCTTGACTGCGATTGCGATTGCGATTGCGACTCCAACTCCAACTGGTAGCTACTGCTATCCGCTTGTGTCTGTGTCTGAACATATATTACGTCTTCGACTTGGAGTGCATTCAGTGTGCTGGAGATTGCGTTCGAATTGTTATTATGATTATTGTTGTTATTGTTATTATTGTTGTGGCCACTAGTACATATTTTATTATTGCAATTGTCGTTGTCGTTGTTATTACTATTACTACTACCGATGCTGACTTGTGCATTGGGGGGATTGCTGCGGTTGCTTTCGGACAGAATGGGCTCTGTTCCATGCAGCTCTTGCTATTCCTTGATGAGACGATAGATGTGGTGGGTGGTGCCGCTGTTTTGAGCCGCCACCTCAAAAACGTAGGCAATGCAAAGCAGTGTCTCCTGCGTCTCACGCGCTCGCATTACCTTGAAGGAAATAGAAAAGCAAGCAAAATATAATTATAATAAAAGAATCTGTAACCTAAAGTATTGCAGCTACTCGAGGGTCGGATTACTATCAAATCAAAAGTATAGAAAACTTTCTAGAATATTGCATTTAACGTTAAAATATCGAAACAATCGAAATTTATCGAACAAATCCTAATTGGTTTATTATTTTCTCTTTTCGATTATAATACTCCTCTCTACGAAACAGAACAAGGATTTATACCCCCACTACGTTATAAATTTATATATCAAGTTTCGCCTTAAATATCGCTTAATTATCGATTTATAATTTTGTACCATGCTTTTCAAACCAACACTCACTTGCAATATTGTAAAGTTTTCCAGCACACTGTTCATCATGTAGCGTTCAGGTAAGTTTTTCAGTTTCTGTATAAAGTTGATCATATACTCGCACATGGGTGAGCGCTGTATGCGATATACATAACGATTGTTCTCCAGCCGCGAATACTCGCTCTCCACCTTCTCCACCACCTGCTTTCCGAAGGAGCAAACGATCGTAGAGCAGACAAGTACCACGTTCTCGTTGCTCTCATATCTAAGGAAAAGGAGGAGGTGTGTTGAATAATATAATAACAATCTGCAAGGATAATAATAATAATAAATTTGAATTAAACTTACTGGCTGGTTACGCCATAGAAATCGCCCGTTTCGCTGCCGGTCGTTATGTCAGTATTAAGGTCTGCCCAGCATTTAACCAGATAGAACGCATTTTGTGGCCCCTTTTCGTAGAGATCTTTGAGCCCGCCGGATTTTTCCGGAAACTTGTCGAATATTTGCCGGATATCAACAGTCTGCAATAATAGGGAAACATTTTAAAATTGCTTACAAACTTGTGTGAATACTCCACTCTCACCTCTAGTAGCGGATCGGAGAAGGATGGCTTGCCGCCTAGTTGTACAAAAAGGTGACGGTTATACTGAAAATATAAATAATAATATATACAAATCGGTATTATCATTATCTTAGCTATCGGTAGAAAGATATAATCGTAGGCCTGTGTAAGGCATACACAATTTTATCCTCTACTACTTCAGTTCAAATTAAAAAATCACTCAGCCTCTCCCCCTCTTACCATATCATCTCTTTGGATTTCCATGAACGCCGTAAACTCCAGCAATCGGAACTTGTGCGTGGCAATGGCTCGTCCCTCCCAAGGCAATTGAGCTGGCGGAATTCCAGTTTCATCCCCGGACACCGCCGTCGATGGCTTGCCGGCTGGATAGGGTGGCTGTGCGAAGGGCTTGATGCTGTAATCATAGAAACTATTTTGGTCAATGCAAATGCGTTGTGTTGCCAGCTTGTGAGGTGGGGGCGAGATGCCCAACTTACTCTTGTGACGTGCTCGGCTGCAGTCCAGGCTGCCAGAATTGCTATATATGCAGAGAGAGAGAGAGAGAGAGAGAGAGAGGGAAAAGGAAGGATGCGTTAATAAAGGTATTAGATATTGCCTTATTCGGGAGCAAGAGCTTTAAAGTCGAGTCACTAAATGATGTAAATATATAATTTTTGGGGGTTATCCAAGATGATTTAACGAATGGTAAAGCCATTTGTTAGTCAACATATCGGTTATCGATTGCCATTATTAAAAGTTAGCCAGCGAAATCCATTTTGGCCAGCGAGTGAGTGTTACATACAAAATAGACACAATTTTCTACACCCAGTTTCATAGATTCAATTTCATAAATATGCCTAAATATTCAAAATCATTGCTAAACTATGGAAAATCGAATTTTTCCCAACTAGATCTAGCTTTGTAATTGTGAAAATACCGATAAGTCGGCCACAATATCGATTTTATATGCCTAACTCAATATATAAATCGATATTATGTTTGATATATTCGACAAATATAATTGAAAAATGAGACAAATAAATTAAATAGATAGTTTAATATTTTTCAATATTTAAAAATTCGATATATCAATGATTACGATTTTTTTTTATATGATATAAGAGGGTTTTTTATGTCAAGATATAATAAAGAACTTTCTATCTCGATTTACATATCTAGATTGTATAGAAAACGTTTCTAAGTATCTCAAATTCATTATCTCTGATGATAGGCCAAGATAATGTATCATATATCATGACATTATCTCACAATATAAGTAATTTTTTGAATAAATAAACAATGATTTTGTATTGCTATGAAACTGGTATGTATTGCTAATAGAATATCCTATAAGTAGGCTCAATGAAGTACATAATCCGTACATAATCTCTTCGTGGTCGTTGCGATTTTTTAGCATGTCAAAAGCAAGGAGTCAATTTCAATGAGCAAGCCAGCGTAAGCGGTGGGTACTGCCAGTACAAAGTGCATTATCTTTGGTTTAGACACATAATAATGCCGAGGAGAGCATACCGGAGATACATGTATGTATATAAAGAGGAGATACATGTATGTATATATATAGCAATGATGGAGAAGAGGGACACAGAGAAGATGATGATTTTCGGGTGACACTTAAATGAGCGAGCGAATATATCGTCAGTGCAAAGCTAGTGTGAAACGAGTATGGCTGAGAAGCTAAAGGAGTCGTATCACAAGAATCTGAACATGGTGATGAGTATAAAACACATATAGTAATATTTTTGTATATTTAGGAAAATGTAAGCTCTAAAGCAGTACTAAGCACTGCTCTAAAGGGAGAAGACCCCTTGATGAAACCATCTTGGAATTTATTATTCCCTTTAGGAGATGATATGCATTTCCTATTAAACTTTGTAAATTTCATCATTTATTTACGGATATTATTCGGTAATATATAGTTTATAGACTGTGCAATATTATCATTAGCAGAAAAGCCACATGCATCAATTAGGAATTCTGCTTAAATCTTTTCACATTTAATTCTTCTTTACAACTCAATATATGATACGGTTTTATCTTTTTTTATGCAGATGAATGCTAAATGTGGATTGCAAATCCCAAATGGAGGGAGCACTTAAGATGATGCAGTGGTGATGCTGGGCGGTGGTGTGGGCGTTGGTGTTGCTACTAACATATAATTATTACACTAAGCCGAATGGAGATTTCAATTAATATGTGTAGATTAATTTTTAGCACCTCAGAGATAAAGAGCGAGTTTTCTTTTATTTTTTCTTTCGAATGATGATGGGGTGCTGATGATGCCGCTTAAGGTGGTTCCATGTTTAATAAGGTAGATAATGACAGCGTATTTGGCGCAGTGCGGTGGAAACAGAGATGGGTAATTAAAACGTTCGCTTACGCCCGAATACAACGGCGGCGGGGGGTGGTGCAGCGTCGCTGGAGGTGGTGGTGGTGGCGGTGGACCAGAGCCTCCGCCAGCACAACGTACCACTGGACCGGAGCCAGAGCCGGAGCCAGAGCCAGAGCCAGAACCAGAGCCTGAGCCTGAGCCAGAGCCGGAGTCCGTGACAGAGTCGCTCGGCGCAGTTGTCTGGCGCTGCTGCTGTTGCTGCTGCTGCTGCTGGAGATGGTAGACCGCTGCCACGGCTGCCGCATGTGGATGGTGTGGATGTGGATGTGGATGAGGATGGGGATGAGGATGATGCACATGACTGTGCGGTATGTGCGTCAAGTTGGGATGGGAATGGTGATGGTGGTGATGGTGATGGTGGAGGGCTTGCACGTGCGCATGGGGATGATAGTGTTGTTGTCGGGGCGAGCACGACGAGATTAGCGGCGGCTGACCGGTGACCAACGGGGATGAGGTGGAGGAGGACCCCACCGGCAGGTGACGGGGGTGAGGATGCGGGTGCACCGATAACGCCGACGCAGCAAAGGCAAGATTGTTGGCCGCCTGGGCGGATACGATTTGCGAACTGGTCATTGTGGTCATGATCTGCAGGGTCGTCTGCTCTTTCTCGTTTAACAAGTGCAAGGACACGTCATTGGGCTCCTGGAAAAAGGCTTCAGTTCTTCAGGTTGTGGACTGGACTGTGATATCAGTGAGGGATATTCTGGGAGGTGCTTCGTTTATGCGAAAAAGTGCCCTACGAAAAGCCAGGTGAGACTCGGTCTCGGAACAATGCAGCAGCAGTGCCCTTGCAGCTCTTGTATATATATTCCCCCAGTTTCACAATAAAGCAATGATTTATTTATTAAATGTTGAGCTCACAAGAGAGCTATTGTCTTTGATCTCTTTTCAATGTCTTTAGAGTTTACTTTCATTTATTTAAGCACAAATATTACAAGAACACCGGTTGCTCCATCGTTTACAACCAGGCATGATATTTTATATGCTCTTTTGGTTTTTAGTTTGTGGAAACTGGCTCTAAAGAGTGAGTTTTTCCCCCTCACCCAGTCTGACACTTCACAGCTCGTCTTGCAACTGACAAATCTTCCTTGCTTTTCATGCTCATTTCATTGTAATAATGTCTCCTAACCCTTCAATGTAAACTCACAAGCCGATGATAAATATATATAAAATAAAATATAAAAAATATATCCCCAATGAGGAGATTAAATGGTAAAGGCCACTTACAACTTTAATTTTCGCCTGGATCTCGCGCAGCTTCCGTCGGGCCAGCACTTGGATGTGAGAGCTGACTTGTTTCCTGGTTCTCGTCTTGCCCGTCCGCAGTTTGATATACCGTGCGATCAGCTCATTGCGACCTAGAAACAGGGATTAGGAGCAATATATCAAGTATGGGATTTATATTTAACAAGTAGGCAACGCTCTAGCCCTTAGTGTATAAGATTTTAAAAATGCCGGCGGCTTGAACCACTCGTCAGCGTAATAAATTTTCATTTAACCATAAAAAGGGATTGTTATTTAAGGCTAAAACTGCAGGGAAAGAAATATATTTAGACATAATTTTTTTTACTAAAAAGTAGGAAAAAGTTACAACACTTCATCGCTGATAGTTTTGTCTAGTAATTATAGCTAAAATCCACTCAATCTTATATTATTTTTAATTAATTTCTAAGAAACTTTCTTGACTTGATATACCACCTCTTGTAATCTTTTATATAGTTTGTAGAAAAGTACATATGCTTACCATACATTTTACCCTCATCGGATAAAATGATTTTTCTACGTCCACATGGTGGATATATAGATAAAGCCTCTTGAAAGCTCTGTTCGATATCCGGACTCCAGACACCTTCGGCATCAGCAGATGATAGGTCCTTTTCATCCTGAAAACGAAACAGATTTGGAAAATGTTACACCATTTGAAAGTCTGTTTTGTTAAATTAAAAATTTAAAATTTATAACTAGCTAAGTAGCTTTTTTGTCGCTAAATGAAAGCTTTAAAATAAATCAGAGTTCATATATTATGTAAGTATGCGCATTTTGAGTACATTTAAAAACTGTACATACTAAAACTGAGGTAAAAATTAAGAAAAAAAATATTGTTAATCAAAGCTATTTCGTCTTTTGAATAATTTAATTTGAGAGTCACCACCAATATCATACTTTTGGTACAACATTAGCATTTTCATATGCCAAGTCACAAGTGATGGTGACACACACAATCACTATATGATTCACCACTGACCAGGGATGTTTTTAAGCATGTCATGGATAGTGGAGTAAAACAAAAACATTTTTACTTCCCGTTTTATGCAAAATTTTCACTAATACCTCAGTTTCATTGATAACTTACATCGCTCATATCACCAACATCCAGGTTTTTACTATCCACCATGCTGCCATTTGTGTCTGCCGATCCAAGGGCACCTGGAGGACCGGCATTTACTGGTGTCCACGGTGATGGTATGGTGCCGGGTCCAACTGTAAACAAAAACAATATCTTTTGTTAGTAAAATGATTATGGGAAATAAATTAAGTTTGTGTACGTTTTTAGGGGTAAATATATTTAGCAAAAACCTTAAAGTGACACAAGAAACTGATGATGAATCGCAAAAAGATATCAAAAGAGTTTAAAATTAAAAAATTTGTATTAAATATTTAAATATTCTATGCGATTTAGTCGCTTCCTTTATAATCTATCTTTTAATATATTTTAAGATTAAATTTAAGGTTAAGAAGGTTAATATTTCACGTCTTCTTGGGGGCATAAGATGGCCAAAAAGCCAGTTATTTACAAAAGTAATATAAATTCCGATTCACCATTCAAATCTTTATAAATTTAAAAATATTGGAAATAAAATTTGAAAAAATTATCCAAGTTTGTCAAAATTATAAAAGGCGTTACATCATTTAAATAGCCATAAATTCAAACAAAAAAATTAAGTTATTTAAAATTTAAAATTTAGTATGCAGATAAATTTTCCTAATAAAAACCAATGTAGAAACGCTTTAAGAATTTAAATAGGTGCTTTTTAGCTTTGTTATGATTAATTTTTAATGGTTTTATTTCCAATTGCAAGGGTATACAAACGTCGTCCTCCCAATGTCAGCTATTTTCCCATTTTGAAAACATTGTTAATATTTAAACAACATAAATTAAATTAATTAATAACTCATTATTATAAAGATAATAAATTCTATTCATTTATTTTCTTATCAGGCTGAAGCTGATATAATGATATTCACGATGTGAATCACAAAGCAAATATGTATAACCAAAAACCGAATACCTTCGTAAACTAACAATTAAACTGCGATTTCAAAAATCAACTAAATATTATAAAGAATAATTAAACGTTAGGAGGAACTTGAATAACTATCGGCTGTTCTGAATAACTATCGGCTCGCAACTGAATTGTGGAAAAACAACCCCCTTGGGACAATGAATGGAATGCGACATTTTCTAGCCTTCCTGGACCATCCTGGTCTTCTAGATAATCTAAACAGTTGAATCTAACTTCATTTAAATGTGAAATTAAGAAATTTTAGATGACCTAAGAGAGAACCTGGATGGCTGGTCAGTGGGTCACTCAATATATCAACTCACCGGATAACGCTTTGAATTCCTCAAGGGAATCTAAATGGTTGGCGAAGGGCGCCACTTTTGAGCCGATATCGGAATCGTTTCTAACGAATTACGACGGTGAGATAAGACTTTTAAATCTTTTAATACATAAACTAGTAGCTTGGAATATATTTTAGAATATATTCCTATTTAATTTAACATATTGCAAGCATTTATAAATCACAAATTAAGCGAAATCTCAGCGATATTCTTTATAATATGCAATTTATTTATAATTTTTTGTTGTTTTTCTTCACAATTCATTGCATTTGAAATAATTTCTTTCCGCCGATTTCTTTCTATATTTCACAAAAGCAACCACACAAATACACACAAACACAGAATACCGGAAAAAAAAACAAACTAAAATGCGTCTGGCTGAGGGAAACGCGTAGTTCGGACTGAACTATGCCATATATTTTCAACTAATTTCTATTCTTTGTTTTGGCCCGTCGTCCCTTTGCCTTGGCCGATTCCTGTTCCTTCCCCCATATTGTAGTTACAGGGATGATTCTGGGTATTTATGAGACACACAGGATATATGATGCACATACCCTCGCTGCGCGCCCAACTGAGCGAGGGGAAGGTGAGTGAGAGGCGTCAAGTGCGACCGAATCGGCGGCGGGTTGGTTATAGAATCGAGTGGAACTCAAAGTGGAAAAGCCGAAAGGCAGAAAGAATGCAATGCAGTCTTCATTTTCTCTTCAGGCAAGTCCATCATCCAGGATCACGCTCTACATGGTAGCATATATGTACCCCCAGGGGAGGCTACCGCTACACTGCAGACTACAAGTCTAGAGTCGGCAAATCTGTTTCACAATTGGAAACGCGTTGCCTACAATTATCCAAGTAATGCATACTTGCAGCTCGCACGGTGCAGGGGTTGGGATCGGTTCAGGGTTAAATGTACAGTTTTTCATTCAGCGGTTCATTCGTCGTTCCCCAGAAATCTCTTTCAGCTGCATTCCAATTCTCTCCCTTCAAAAACAGATGCCGGAAGATTTTCTTACATATTTTGGGAATGTATTTATAATTATAAAGTTAAGTGTTTAATCAAACTTAATTTGCAAAAAATTTCAATTCAATTTATAACAAACAATCTTCAATAGAAAAATGGAGAACTAGCAACAAAATAATGGGAATATATAATATATTTTTGTATTATTATCAAGATCGGTTGTATTTAATAAAGCTAAAGCAATCTTTTATATGTATTGACTGAGGTCAAAGATATCCCTCCAACAACTCCTGACTCTTTCCAACGAGTCACCAACAAATCTCTCCAACACTATGATCGATTTGCAAAATCTTTAGAGATTTGCGGCACAGCACCCCCCCTCTTTGAATCTCGTAAACACTCGAACGCACACTTCAAACAACGAAATTAAGTAGAAAGAGAAAGAAATAACTGAACCGTGCATTAATATTATCATAAAGAATTTCAATTGAAGCTGTTCGGGGTTATTTCCAATTAGAAAACAAGCCACCGCCTTTGCCTGGACTAAAATTTCCGCACCGCACTCGCAGCTGCTCATGTTGATGTTCAGAAATAATAAGGGAATGTGTGTCCTTGTCGCTGCTTTTCCTACCCTTAGCAGTCGGTCCCAGTCCCAGTGCCAGTCCCACGTCCCAGGTCCCAGGTCCCGGTCCCGGTCCTAGTCCCACTCCCAATGTTGTTGTGTGGCAATTGGAATGTATGGTATGCATTTTGCTTTTTCATTTTCTTTATTCATGCTTCGTCGCATGAACACAAGTATATATGTATGTATGTATACATATGTACATATATATGTACATATGAGCCTCGATGCGACTATGAACAGCTGTGTTATTGTGCTATGCCTATACCTGGCGCATTCAGGATCAAGAATACATAGCTAGAATTGGAAATGCGATTGTAACTGCAGTTGGGAAAGCCTTAAATATCTGATATATCCTAGTGTCCGGTGGGTTTCCCCGATATTTGAAATATAGGATTGCTAGTGGTTCTTGCCCATGGTTGTTTCTCATTAAGAATTTAGGATATAGCCGTCTCTAATCTTTCGAAAATGTATTTATTTAAATATAATCAATTCAAAATGTTCTTTATTAATCATATATATGTTAAATGTACCTATGTTCACAGATCAAGCATGAAGATTTTATAGATCCGATAAGTCCTATAACTGAATTTAGACAGCAGTTCTTTTAATCATCAAAGAGGTAAAAGGTGTACGAACTTTCTTTTCAGTTTTTAATTAAAGTAAAAGATAAATCCATCCAAAACTATCTTAGTTAGTCAAATTGTATGAGTATTTGTTTATGCACATATGTATAACAAAGTTTTCAATTATTTAATTATCGTATTCCGCAGGTTGCTTAATGCTATAAGTACTATTTTAAATTATATACATATATCTATATAGGTTTGTACAGACATATTTCTTCGTATCGTGCCTACTTAATCCAGAGGTATTTGTTGTGGTCTAAACCAGCCATGGGCAACAACAGAGTCGCTCAAATTTGGCAATACCCTAGTGTTCGTTGCACATAGCTGATTCTCTTGTTTGTATTTGAATTATTACAGCGTGTACTGATTTACAACATATATAATATATGCATATCATTTTTAAAATGTTTAGTCTACTTTAATAATAATAATTAATTAATTTTAATATGTCGATAATGTTGTATACTTTAAGCTTTCATCAAAGAAAGTCATTTCCAGGAATATATCAGATATAATATCTATAGAGATACCCTAAAACATTGAATGATTTTATAAAAAAAAACATTGATTATTTAGAAAATTGTTTTGTATTAATTTAAAATTGAAGAATAAGCCATTTAAGAAGGAGCAATTTACAAAACAATTATATATTTTTGAACAGCTCAAGGTATTTCCTTTTTTTCTACACTAATTTTAATCAAATTTTATAATTTAACATACTTTTGATAAAAACAAAATTATGCATTAAAAAAATGGCTTAATAATACAATTTAGAAATAATATTTTTGGATGCTGTTCAAAACTATCTGTTAATTTTAACCGATTTACAACCTTTATCTTTAGCTGATTTTAGTCAAGGAAAATAATGTTGGTCAACAACAAATGCGTTTTATGTATGCAACATAGGTATTTGTTCAGTGTATACGTAGATGTGTAGGTATTTTGTATTCAATTGAATGCTGAAAGAAAGACGCGACGATAAAAGAACGCCAAATTAACGGTACTTATTGTCTACTGCGCCTTTAATTAGAAAAAAGACGATAAACATGAATATCGCCAAGGTGTATGTGTGTCCACAAACATTTATACCTATATGTGTGTTTGTGTGTTGTGTGTTTTTTGTGCCACAATTCGGATTGGCTTTAATAGTTAAGTTAAGGTAAGGTAAAGGTACTTAACGCACCTGTCGCCTCTGGTTTTTCTGCAACGTCCAACTCGCCGCCGCCGTCGCTGCCAAGGTTGTTCTGCAGTTGCAGCAGCCCCGTGCTGCAAGTGCTCGAGCTTGTAATGTTTTTCATGCAGCCAGTGTAGAGCAACGGGCCTCCCTGTGCGTTGGGCAGGGCAGGGGGCAGGGGCCCAAGAGCAGGCGGAGTGGGGAGTGAGAATCTTTCGGGGTCTACTAGATTTAGACTCTGATGTCAGCGGCGGCGGCAGCAGCAGCAGCAGCAGTAGTAGCAGCACTGCCGCGACTGGTCACTGTTATTATTCACTTTTAAAAAGGTTCGCTTTTACTCGCGCCACGCCACGCCACAAGCAAGCACACACAGGCGAGCGAGCGACTATTCTTCTGCTGTGTATGGGTGTTATTATCTTTCACGATTACTGTGATAACACGCTGTATAGTCACAAAAAACACTTTTGGTTAGGATTATGTAGTGGGCCAACATTTCCACTTCACTGTGTCACGTTACGTCCAACACACGCACAATAATATACACATTGCATTACATTACATTACGAGTAGCTGGTAATGTAATAATTCATGAATCTCGACTTCTTGGCAAGTGAGAAAGATCTTTTTCAGGCAAACTTCTTTACATCGAACACTCCCTCTCTCTCTCTCATACACACTCTCTTTTTATATACATATACGAATCTTTCTCTTCCCCTCTCTCTTTCTCGCGCTCTCGCTCCGGCTCTCTCGCGCGTTCTCCTCCGCTCTCTTGGCGTATCTGTGTGAGCAGCTTTCTACGTATATCGACGTCTTTGTTCCAGTGAGAGTATCTGTGTATCTGTAAGGTTTTCAGTGGAAATAAGGCGCAGCAGCAGCAGCGACGACAGGAGGAACAGGAAGACAGAACCATATGCCAATGGGGGGGAGAGAGAGAGAGAGCGATTTGATACCCTTTTTGCGGTTGTTTTTGGCAAGGGAGAGAGAGACAGAGAGAGCGCGAATTTCGATACCCGAAATTGATGTGATTTCAATTCGATCGTGTTCATTTTTATCAGCCTAAGCAAAGAATCTCTGTATTTTCTGCACAAGTGCAGCTACTAGAAGTATCTTTCATTGCATGTATCTACATACATATATGTATTTAGATATGTATAGGTGGGCGTTTGGCAGTGCAAAAAACACACGCGCACGTACATACATACATACATTTGTACATTCACATTCGTACATTTGTACATTCATACAGATGTATGTATGAAAGTGTTTTCAAATTCGTGTTTCTTGAGCACCCAAAGACTCGAGATAATTATCTTGGACAGCCGCACACATCTGTGATGTATGCATGTATGCATGCTTTATTATTCACATACATATCTACATGTGTGCATGTATGGATGTATACCCGCAATTGAATAAAATTTCAAACGTTGACGTTCTGCCTCATCGTTCTTCTTCGTTATTTATTTATTTATATTTGGTTTTTTGCTAGCTTAGCCTTTTCTTTTTCTGCTTCCGTAGCTGGAAGGAATCACTGTTTTGTTAACCGCATCTAGACATTTTGCGATATACACGATATGTACACATGTAGATTTCGGAGTAGGAAGAAGAGAGAGGGAAAGATCGCATCCCGATCGTGCATATTTATGTTAAGCCCACTCTCATGTAACTTATTTACATGCCATTTCATTATTATTGTTATGCACAAAACGTAAAATAACCATAAAAAAATTTAAAAAATAAAATAAACTTTGCGAACAGAACGAAAATGTATCTAATGATGTTGAACCCAACCACACATACGCACGCACTCACACACACAGGCACACATTGACAGCCACTCACGGAGCGTGGCACTAGTAAGGTGGCTGCGAAGAGAGCGCAGAGCGGGTGGAGCGACGGAAAATCGACAACGAAAAATCGCGGAAACACTGCGAAAAACGCAACGCGCAGAAGCGAGAGAAACAATCGACTGAATCCAAATTCGAATCAATACAAAGAACCACACATACGGTCGACGTCGGCGTCAGCGTCGATAAGAGAAACTAGCTGGTGGCTGGTCTGGTCGTTGGCGTTGGCCAACTGGCTTGGCTCATTCTCAGTTGCTGCTGCCCGACCGATGCTTGCTAGCCCGTCTCCGTCTCTGCCTTTGGCTCTGCCCTGGCAGCTTAACTGGCTCTGGTGAATCTGGTTGTTTAGTTGTTTCCTAACACAAAGATAACCCGATCAAGTCCCAGCACCACCACTAGCACGCCAGCGCCACCGCCAGCACACATGCAGAGCTAGAAGAGAGACATTACTCTCTGCTCTCTCTCTCTCTATGCCTCTCTCGATTTGTGTCATACTTACTCTACTCGCGCTGCTGGGGCACAGTTACGCCGAATTGGTATGACTAATCACACTGTGCTACGTGAATTTGGTACTCCCAACCCAACCAGGTCTAGTTTGACTTATTTTAAGCATTGTCTAATACATGCGGTTCCTCCTTTTTCTTTTATATTCCGATCTTCGTTTGTTTACTGCGTTGACATTCTCAACTGGTTTGGGCCACGTTTAAAGCTGGGAAAGGGGATACTGATAAAGAATATGAGCTACCTGCAGAAACAGCTGTATATCTAAACACTAAACTAAGAGAGTTATGGGAGAGTTTCATACTAATGAAAAGATTTACAGATTTAATTATTTTAAACAAGTGACTCCATTTGAGATAGTAATCTATCTTACAGATTAGATTGTCTACTTGTGATCATTACATACTAATGAGCTTCGGGATATATTTGAAATACGTATGTTTTAATTTTCAAGCGAATTTCCGATCCCATAGATCCCATATTCTTGATCAGCTTTAACACCGGAGATATCTACACACGTCCGCTCCTCAGTATAAATATCTAGTTCCCAGCAGTGGCTTTTTGTCCACAAACTTGTATGAACCCCACGCAGATCAAGTTTGTTTTTAATTTTTTTGTCACGCCCTCTCCACAACTCACAACTTTTTGGTTTCTTCTAGCGTCAACAGTTTTTGAGGTACAATAGCTATAGCAATAGGACTTCTACCGAAAATGTAAGTGTTTGCTATTTATCTGCCGATTCGGAAACTGCAGATCGGACAATTCTTATAAACTTTTTATGTGCTGTGTTATTGAGAGCAACCTCTCGTGTATGTAATTCTTAATTAACTCGATTCTCTCACTGCTTAATTGCAACATGACGATATAGGAAGAAATTGTATTTGTTATATTTACAAACAAAGTTGTAATTCATTTTGCACTTTTAATATTTTTATGTTTAATTTGAGCTTTTCTTATATAGTTTTATATCTTACTGTCTTAATATTAGAGCAAATGTGGGTAAAAAGGTAAGTAATATTTGGTGATACTTATAAAGTTATAGAATTTGGTTAAATTTATTAATAATTGTTTTTGTATAATACAAAATAATAATATAATATATAAACACGACTGTTAACCCCTTATTAGAGAAAGAAGATGGTGTCCCGACCACGGAATATCTGGCTCTCAAAACGTTGCATACTCTCAGGCGCATTTTAACCTTTTAATCGTTGAAATAAATTTAAAATCTCTTGTTCCATTTTAACTCTACCATTTAGGAATTTTAATTTTAAATTAGTATTCAGAAATATTCAAGTTTAATTTCCCTGAAAACCATTTCGTAACTGATGGCAGCCACTGCTTGCAATATTTCAATACTAAATCATATAATATTTAAATAGTTTTGCTCCTAAAAAAATAGTTCAAAGCGTGAACAGGACTCCAAAGCATAGATTTGCCGCCGCAGTCACAGTGATTAAAAAATAATCTTAACATTTTTTTTTCCTCAAACACACCATACGTGATCTTTTATTTATAGAAGTATTTTCTACCTCTTCTTGTTTGGCACAGTTCCAAAAAAATTTAAGATTTTGCCGAAATAATAGTACTACACACATGCGGTTGAGAGAGCAAGCGCAGGGAACGACAATCTGGGAAATTACAACTATTTCACGAAGAAAAAAATAAAAACAAACAACGAAAGTGCGCGAAATATAATTTCAACTTGTTCTGGACATAAGCCGTTTGACTCGTGAAATGTTTTAAACTAAAAACAATGACCAAGTATACGATCCTGACAGCTATAGCGGAAAATCAATTAATAATCTCAATAAAATCTCAAAAAACAAACGCTAAATGAGTCCTTTACCTATGTTTTGGCGCTCAACTGAAAACACCGATATTAATGAACTACTCAGATCACTTAAAAATACTTTTAATATTTATATCAGAATTATAAACAATCTACAGCTTTATTAATGTTCAATATAAGCCAATAAATTGTAAAAAAAAAATTCGTGCTGAGCGCAATTGTAATTCAAAACGTTGCGTGTCAATATATCCAAATGAATTACTCATACGACACGTGTGTCAGATCAAATTCTGTTGAATAAAACTCATTACAACTTAAAGTCTTCTTAGTTTTTAGGCAATATGAATGGTTTTTCTGTAAATATTTAAGATTCCAAATCGAATCTAATCGTGATTCAAACAAAACTTTTCAGCAAAGGCCACAGTACGTATGAGTGATATACTTTGAGGCCAAAAAGTTACAGAGCCTAAAGAACCATTAATTTTAATATATAGAAGCGAATTCTTATTGAAATCGTTACTAAGTATTACCATATCTGAGATAAGATATTTTTAGCAGAATAATGAGGACAGTATAGTGAAATTTTATTACTTTAAAATCGAAAAAGGTTTAAAACTTTAATTTATTGACAAAATAAATGTATGTATTTAATCAGAAAAGAAAAATAGCTATCGTGTGGTTGAGGAAGGCAATATATATGATTTAAATATTTAATTATTAATCAAAATTTAACTTTCAGATTGATTTAAACAATTTGGTATATAACCCCCGAAAGACACAATTATAATTAGGTGTCAGCCGGAAATATGCAGTAATTGAAGGACCAAGTATTCAGTGATCGAGACTCTCGATTGTGATCCTGCTTTCTTATCGTCAAGTCACATGTACAATACATATTTGAGAGAAACAAAAATGCACTTGTGCGTTGAAGATCCCCCACTGATTTTGCTCCTGATGACGACTGCCGTGGGATACACATATACATACATATACTGGTTTTAATTTTCCACAAATTAATGAGACTCGTTTTTTATCTGTTTCTTTTCTTTAACGGATTACCACCGCCACCACCACCAGCCACATTGTGCGTTTTCCTCCTTTTCCTCTTCTTTTCCTCTTATAAAACCTCAAAAGCGGCGACCAAGAAACGGAGCACAGCAGCACCAGAGCTTCTCGTTAAAGCGGCAAAAGTAGCAACTTGAAAAAAAAGGTCATCGGAGAAGAGTTGTTTCTTTTGCACGAGATAAAAATATTTTTTAATGTTTTCTGAACACAGAAAATAATTTAAGGAATGTCACGTTGTAGCGCTCTCTTACTCTGTGCTGTGCGTTCCTTGTATGCATTGAGCATTCGTTTTGGTTCCCAGGTCGCTGCTTCTGGCCTGCCCCGATGTTGCCGTTGCTGTTCGCGTCTCGTCTTTGGTATGAAAAAAAGGAAGAATTTCTTGCATACAAACAAAAAAATGTTTGATTGAAATTTGACCAAAGACGATGGTAAAACTCTTATTTGAGATAATTCATGCCCTTCTACCAGGCAAATACATAAAGGCTTCTTTTATTTACCAGAAACTATATAGTTATATACAAAAATATACCATACCTATGTTGATCAGGAAGGCTTTATAAAAACTATTTCTTAACCAGGTGGTAGACTTTGGGAAATACCCAATACTCTGTAGTATCTACATAAAGTCTGAAAGTCTCATGAGCATGATCATCAAGATATATATAAATGTGTTAAAGACTTTCGTTCGCGTTGGTCTCTCAAATGTGTGCTCAAAATTGAAGAAGAATGAAACTTTTAAGATATAAAAACCAGGGAAGCCGCAGTGATTGAAATAATTAGTCTTACTTTTACAAGAACATACGAACATTATAAGGTTTTTCTTAGAAAATAATTCAATTTTTTTAAGTTTGAAATGCTTTTTTATGTTTTTTCAAACCTTAAGACTATTATATTGATAAAAAAAAGTAATTCTATATATTTACATCTATCTTCATTAACGTTTAGTTGATCTGTCTGTCTATAACACCTGGATCGCGGGGAACTACAAAGGGTTTATGTCATAGAGCTTGGATTTGTGCATGAACCCCACACAGAACAAGTGCATTTCAAGGAATTCTCAGCGAACATGTAGTAAGTGGCTGCTATCTACACAGTGAAAAAATATTCCTATATGTTAAAAACAACAGCTGAAAATTTAAATATATTTATTTTTACTCCACAGATTTTCTTGAGACCTCGATAAGGGTGTGTGTGTAGCTAGATCAATGTGGCTATTGATGCTAATATAACAGTACATTCACCTTGTGCCATACAAATTAAAAACGCTTGCCGCAAAAATAAGATACGTCAAAGCTTAAACAAAAGCCAAATAATTTAATAAGTAAGTTCTTTGCTTCGGCAGCGGAAGACGCTCCCAAACGGTCCGCAAAAACATCAACATGGGGTTGGAAATAAGGACCGACGATGTGAAGCAGCGCAGACAGGCGGGAGGGAGAATGGACAGGGGACTGGGGACTGGGACCAGGGACCAGGGACCGAAGACCGGGAACGAATGAAGGGGGATACTGGGGATCGAACAGGAGGGCTCTGCCTCTTAGTATGCTCTTTCAGGCCCGGTGCGGCAAAAATAGCCAAAGCCAACATGGCGGATGTTGCATGGAATTTATTTTTACGTTGAACTAAAGAATTTGTTGAATTTCTGAACGTTGAAAAATGTTAAAAGCGACAAAACAAAGAATGCACTGGTGTATATCTGTGTCTGAATATTTTTAAGTCACTCACAAGCAAATAAAAGAGTCTCTGGCTTTTCTGAAAGGGCACACCACACACAGCCGCAGGATAGACCAACAACTAAAGATATTAAAACTATGATTTAAGTCTAGAATGAGAATGGGAGTTAGCTTAAAGGAAGCGTTTTATAATTAATTTTGACATATTTGAAGCCATAATATTTGTATTAGCCAAAGGATTTACTTAGGTAGTGTATAGTTTGAAGGCATAAGTCTTTTTGGCCTTCTAGGCTCTTTCTTAACTATACATACAGGAAGAGATAAAGCTTAGAAATGAACAGAAGTGAGTTGCTTATACTTTTAACAATAAAGTATATAATTTTATTGAGACTGATATTTAAAAACACACAGCTATGATAGTTTGGAAGAGCACATGTATGGGATATAAGGCTATATTGGCTTTCAAACCTATAGATTATAAATGAAAGAACTCAGCAAAAAATAAAATATTAAGAAATATTTTACAATGTTTTAATATGGCAAAAAAGAATATTTTATATATTTATAAAGCTACAAATTAATAGAACGAATGTATTATCTTTATGAAAATGCTTTTTAGGTTTCTAAGCAAAGAACTAAACTTTTCATATCCCAAATAAAGGAACCTTTTAAGATCTACTGAACGACGCGTTAATAATAATAATAGTTTTTTCCGTTTAGAGGTATTTTTTACATGAAAAGAATACCTACAAAAGAAGAATACTTTTAAAGACGCCAAAGCAAAAACAATAAATAATAAATAAAATAACCACAATCACTTTATACACATTTAATGGCATTTTCCATATTCAAAAGTTGTTATGTATTTTTAAAAAGTTTTAGAAACGTGCCTTAATGTGCCTCTGAATCATAAGAAAGGAAAAAGTTCCAGTTAGCTTTGAAATTCGAAGTTTTTATACTCTTTATTAGTTTTTTAAACTTTTTTATTTTATAAATAATAATTAAAAGCGGTTATATTCCCCGTTTCCGATCGGTAACTATTCCTATAACAATCTAGCTTTTGAACACCTAGAGGATATGGAAAACTATTACTTTAGATCCAATAAGAGCTTTGGTTATCAAAACACCTGTTATAAGAGACTCACAAAAAACACAAGTAAACAACATAATTGGACGCCCCCCGAAAGAAGAGATACAAGTGTCCCCTTTATTGCAAGAGGATCACTTGTCAAAATAATTGATATTTCCATATGCCGTCTGCTTAAAACGATCCAAAACCGATTAATGGCGAACCGGAAAAGAATCTCGGATCTCCGCTCGCGCCGGCGATGTTTATATTTGGTTTGTGTAATCTGGAGACGGCATTGTGGCACTCCCCCTTCCGATTTCGTGGAGTCAGCTTTGAGAGTATTTTTTTGTTATTGTAAGCCAACATTAGAGACAATCGATATTGGCTACTCGAAAGCCCATCATACTGATCATAACGATCATATTTTCGACAAGTTCTGTGTACATTATCCAGTTGCAGTTTGGTATCTCGATCTATAAGAGATTTGATGATGGTCTATACTTCTAAGTTCGAAATGTTCATATGGCCAGTAGAGATTGAGACATAACTAAGTAAAATCAAGACTATAAATATGTACAACTGCATATATGTATGTACTTCCCCCTGTAACATACCATTGCTATGAATCTAGTATACAATTTTATTACTCTTCGTGTAGAGTGCGGGCAATATATTCCCCCGTTCTTCACGTGCGTGCTGTTTCAAGCATTCCAGCTAGTAATAGATTCGTCAATTTTGTCGACTGAAAATGTTATACTTATATATATGCAGGTGTACCCAATAGTTTTAACATAAGAGAAGGGCAATTCTTGAGAGAGATTTAATAGAAAATAATGTCTAATGACTACCTTGCAAGCTTCTGACTGAAATGGTAATGCACTGCAAGGTTCATTCGATTGATTAGATATATATTTTTAATGTGGTCACTAGTTTAAAACAAATATGTATCAATTTGGACCTGGACATATCTATATTCTATAAGCTTTTGGCCAGACAGTCTCTTTATCTTTGGCATATGTACATACATACATATAGACATGGTTTCGGCGTCTCGGCTGTTGGTTCTGATCAGGAAATATATATACTATATATATTCGTGGCATGGGGAAACGCTTCTTTCCTTTTGCCTAACGAGTTGCCCACGGCAATGCTTCAGTTATTTAAGATCGCAATAATTGCAATTTGTTCATCAATTTGAATGCAATTGCCACACTTCATGCGGAATCAAAGACTATTCGCAAAATAATAATGATTTTTATAGTGTTTTTGTACCTTTCGAGCCATATGGGCTCGAGACGGCGTGCTAATTGCCGGCGGAAAATGTGAAAAATTGAAACTTACTTTTGTATAGAAATTTGGAGTAATCACAATCCATAATGACCTTTCGGTTCGGTTGATTTAGCGATAAGCTCCAGGATGATTCCACTGTAGTTGATCCCGTTGTTGATTCCTGTTCTTCTGGTCTCCTCCTCCGCCTCTCCCACGAACATGTGGAACAATTGGTGGTGGGGGTTCTAGATACGCTGACCTTGGGGCGATTAATTGAATCGTCGTCGTCACCTTATCGACTTGGAAGTGGGCCAAAAAAGATGAGATGATGAGATAAAACGAGGCGGTGGCAGCGGCGGCGGCGGCAACTTGAGGAGCTTTCATTGGGTCATAGCGATGTCCTTGTTGTGGGCCAGGCCGAGCTGGAGTTGCATAAATGATTCGTACGGCTTTAGTTTTGGCTTTGGATTTTCTCACTCTGTATTGCTCGAATTTACTCGAATTTATTTTGTTTTTCTTTGTTGTTTTCTTGTTGTTTTATTTCCCCCTTTTGGTGTGGATTCTGCTTAGGTGTTTCTTGTCGACTCTTGCCTCGACGATTGCATCGAGCGAATGTTGCTAGCGATGCTTATTATTATTGATGCGCGGCGGGCTGTGGTTGTGGTTGTCATTGCTGCAATTAAATACCACTTTCGGCTTAAGTTTTAACATGTTTTTATGTTTTTGTTGCTTGGTTTTTGCTTTCTGTTTATTTTGGCGTTTTTTGCGACCTCTTCATATTTTTTGTTTATTTTTTATTTACACAGTAGTAAGTGGGCGGTAACACGAAGTCAGCATCGGCATCAGCTGCGCGGTGCTTGTGGCGCTGCCATTCTTATAATTTCACAACATGCTCCCTCCCAGATCTATGGATATGACAGGAAATTGGTATGTATTCGTAACCGTATATCTTGGCCGTGTATTTTAACGTTGGTCTTTGTAGTTTTTATGTAGTTTTTTATTAAGTTTTTAGTTTTATTTGATTTTAAAGCACACACACACACACACTCAAACGATTTCTCTTCCGCGACTATCTTATCTCGCGCTGTGATTCTTAATGGATTCGCATTGGAAATTTAGGAGAATTAGTATTAGCATTTGATTATTTTTGGAGACTAATCCACAAAGGCCGGGAATTTTTTTTCTTCTATTTTTGTTTTGTTTTATGTAGTAAGTTGACTTTGATTGGTTTTGGGCTTTTGGTTGGTTTAGCAGCTTTGGCAGCTGGCGGGCTATGGCTATAGCTGGAAATGGAAATGGAAAATGTGGAAATGGAAATTGGGTGCAACAGTTGTGCAGCTGCTGCTCGGCGCAACTGAATATCCACGGTGACTCATAAGACGGTCGAAATAAATACACTTGAAAAAATGTGAAAAAAAAAATGTAGAAGTAATGCCCAAAAACCATATGCAATATGCAATAACAATAACAATAACAGCGCGAAACGGTACACTACACTGCACACACACACTCGCAGTACACACGAAAGAACATACGCACACACAGGCGGCGCGGCAATGTGTAATATTAATACATATATATAAATTTTCTTTTCCAAGGTCTGTTTTGGATCCGGTTGCAGCTTTTGAGCGGAGCAAATTTAACTAATTTTAACCTTTCTGCTGGCCCCACAGAGAATACTCCCTAGGACCGCTTGCCGCGGTGCCGGCGGTGCCGATTTTTTGCAGTTTTACTTGACACTTTTTACACACACGATAAAAGATAGCGACGTTAACGAATTGTTATTGCATTTTAACTGTTACTACTGTTACTCGGGGCGGGATTGGCAAAGGGTTTCGGTTTCGGTTTCGGATTCGGATTCGAAAATCGAATTGTTCTAGTATCTGCGCTGCGCGGCTGGGGGCCTGGGGCCTAAGTTTCGTTTGATGTGTATTTCATTTTCTTATTCTTTTTTTTTTTTTTTTTTTTTGCTTATACGTGCTGAACTGAACAGCTTGCGAAATGACGCCAACACAAACGACGGTATAAACAAAACTACCAATAAGAAATTAGCTCAAATGTATTTCAGGCAAAAATTAAAACAGTAAAAGCGCTCATTGAGCACACGACGGCAACAACAACTCGGCGGAGCGACGTGAGCGAGTGAGAAAAGCGAGCGAGCGAGAGAGCAGCGTGTGACTGTATGTGTGTAAAAATAGAGAGAGGCGCGTAAGCACAAATTCGAAAGGGGTAAAAAAGACTCTTGCAGCGTCAACAGATTGTTGGATTGGATGCGCGAGCTGCAAGTGATGGCGCAACAGCTAGACCAGCGAACAGGTAACACACCCTGATTATTCGTAATACCATTTTAGTACTATATTTTGAATAAACACTACCTAAATATATATTGATTATCGCTTGAACATTTAATCTGAAGCTGAGTAAGCTCTGTAAAGTACACAGTTTTGTCAAAATAAATGTTTTCATACTAGAAATCTGCTACAAGTCTAACATCCAGGATGGACAATAAAGTATATAGGAAGATATCGAAGGATACTAGGGCTGATGAGTTCGAAATGGACCGATACAAGGCAAGAATGTTAGCATTGCTGCAGCGTATGGATCGCCTGCAGGCTATGTTGAAAATGATGAAAATCATAAAGCCCAAAACAGGACAAAACAAAGCGATATAAAAGAAACAGTTATAGTTCGCGATATTACCAATAGTTGTATTACTTTTCGGTAAGTCATCGAAGTTTGGATGAGAATAACAACTTTAAATTAAAGACCTTACTTTCAAAAAGTTTTTCGCAGATTACAAAAAAAATGTATCTTAGCCATGTATCTTCAAGATGAAAAAGCCAAGACGCTCAACACTGCTCCTAAATTGTGAGTATATGGCGAAAGATAGATGCGAGAGCGAGACAATGAGTGAGGTGTGCGCGACAGAGAGGACAAAAAAGAGAGATGGTCAGAGAGAACAGAGCAGCGCGCAAATGCGAGAGAGCGTGGGTGCTGCCGGTTCCGATTTTTAATTCTGGCTTTTTCTTTCAAGAAAATAATTAAGGAGTTTGCGGAAGATGGGAACTCTGGAGTTATATTAAATGTAGTGGCCAATTGTTCGCTTTATTAAAATTTATCACCATTTACACGCACTAACAGATGCTTATTTTTAATATTTTTTTTATAGATACTTTTAGTTTTTACAACTATCCCTATGATATATGGAATTGTCTAAATATTGTAACTAAATTTTAAAATTATTAAATAGCTTTCCTACAAATGTTTTGGAAATCCAAACTAGTTGTTTAGTTTTTCTACAGAACATTTTAAGTTTATATTTCTCTATATTATTTTATTTTTATTTTTTTTAATAAAAAGTTGCCAGCACTGGTTCGAGTGAATGTTCACAGCGCATGAATCAGCTTCCGCTGTTTTGACTGGAGTTGCTCGAACATGTGCTGAATCGACTCGAGTAAATTTGAGTTTAATTTGCCTCGGCACAAGGGCGTAGCCAAAAGGGGTCTCTATAAAATATGATCTTTTAAATATGTACACTTCATTCATATAAATTTAAACAATTACATTTTGTACATATCACGAATAAATATTATAAAAAATGTAAGAGAAAGACTACTCATGGTTGTTTATTAAGTGTATCTCATTCATATGATTAATTGAGATAATAAGGCTAACGAAATACTCCACTCCTGCTCACAAGCAGTTAACTGCACAGTCGGTCGATTAAGCAGTTGCACCTGCAGGAAAAGCTGTTTGGCCAATGACCAAAAATACGAATTAACTAATTGACAGCTCGCCACCTCGACCACCCCCACTACCACGAAATTGTTTTGGGCCCGTAAAACGCAGTTATCAAGCGATGACTCTTTTTTGCACACAAGTACGTGTCATTGAAACATATCGGCCAGAAGACTAGACAGACTCTGACCCTGCACAACTTGGGCTTTACATGTTTACAGTGTCGGTCAAAATAAAAGCCCAGCAAAAATATAATTTTTAAAATAATTAAATGCTTTGGGTCTGATAATAAAGCAGTTAATTTTTAACGAAAAATACTTTGAGTAATAAAATTCAGTTGTAATTTAAAAAGCATTAAAAAGCGTTTAAAAACGATCAAAATAATATAACATAAAAATGTAATACTATATAATAATATGTAATAACTGATAGAAATCTTTTATTATGACCGCAACTGTACTTGTCTGCCGATGTGCTATGCAACGGAAGCGCTACTGTCTTTCCAGCAATCAACAGATTCACCCACCACCTCCACCTGCTCGTCTCTCCGAGCCTCAAGCTCATCACTATCCAGACAATAACCACAACAAACCATTTGATGATTTTCGCTTTTTAATTTTCAGTTTACATGTTTATTTTATAATTGAACTGATACAGGATTATTAATGGTCCCTCTATAGCAGGCACCTTGGTCAAGGTTCTACGCTGAATAATTAAAAAAAAAGGTGTCATTTGTTATATATCACATCAAATAATAAATATGTATATGTATTAAGGATTTAATTATAAAATCAAATAAGTCCCGGCTTGTCCATCTGATATTTGGGATTAGTCGATTTAATTCCAATCTAAAAAACAAAATTTATTTTTAACAACATTTTAGGGTAAGATTCGGTGGCCGAAACTTAAATATACCCTTGCAGATACTTTTTTTGCTACACTCATAAAAATATTTACAAATATATTCAGAAATTCTCCCCAGATTTGAGAAACTGTTCCCCTAAAATCAGGAAAAAAAGCTTCTCAAAACTATGGAAATGTAGATTGTAATGTTTTAGCACATATTTAATAAAACAAATGTACAGGCCACTGTCAAAATCTAAGACCTGCCACCGTCACTTCATGCGGGGCAGTTTAGAACCGGTTGGGAATTCTAAGTGCACACGAGTGAAATTTTTCGCACCAAAAATTTTAGGGTGATTTCAGCAAAAAGTATAATTCGCCCTTTAATAATTAATTAATATAAATAAAATATTTTTATGAGTGTAGGTTTTCGAATCCTTTGACTAAGTTATTTTCGAAAATATATAGTTGAATAGATATATGGTGAAAATAATTCTGGAAAACATTTTGTAATATAAATTAGGAATATATTAAAATTTCTTACTCAATGGGAGACCTCCATAAGCGTTTTATATTATATATTCTACAAGGGTATATACAAATATTTTTGCTTGATCCAGCTTTTGGAGTCCCTGAGATACAGGTGTTCTTAACGGACTGAAATATTTGGATGGACACAAGGATATGACTCTAGATACATAAATTTTTTTGTTTGTTTTTTCTTTTCGGTGTAAATGTTGCTTTTTTTGTTTCAGACTATAAAAGCTCAATTTTTAATAATCAACTCTTTTCGATATATATATTTATATATATATATATATATATATATGAGTGTATATATATGAATGAAAAAGCCATTGTAAATATATGAACATAGGTATGTTTTAACAAAATGGAATATTAAGCCGACAATTGAAAGCATTGACTTAAGACTACAGTATCTGTCCAATACTTGAGTAAATATACTACTTATATATAGATAGCTATCATTCCAGAATATAAAATAACCAATAGCCCAGGTTGAACGCAAGGAAACTGATTGGAAATATCATTCGTGAGTATTTGTCAATAATATTGACATCTTTGATCTTCGGTATAGTTGCTTTAATGGCAGAGGCACCCTTTTTTAATGCATGCATCATGCGGGGCCGGGTGGAGATTCCTGCAAAATATATACATAGATAAATCCTTAATATATAGCTCTCAAGTAATAATCATAATATTTAACTTACCCCTTTGTGTGCGATGCCTGAGCTGGCTGCGTCCAGTGCCATAGTTACGAGTTATACGAAAACTAGGCGGAAACTTGCCTAAATTCATGGTTTCGGTTCCGATAGAATCGAGGGTCGCATTATAGTTACCTTTGCGTAACGAAGGTATAGGGCTCATGCGAACATCCTGCAGCTCGATTATATCTTCTGTAGTTGAACACGTTTCGGATCTTTCACTTTTGCCTGCATAGGTAAAGAGGGAGTATAACCATAAAAATATTTAAAATATCATATAAAAAATATATATCAACCAGAATATTGATTTATCGTTATATATATTATATATTATCGATTTTCCGTCAAATATCGAAAATATCGATTTTCTTTTTAACCCCTATGTCTTACCCATCTTACGTCGATCACAGTCCTTTAGCTTTTTGATTTTCTTTTTGGCCCGCTTGCCCCAATAGGTGTAATTGACAGCAGCGTATTCGAGAAGGGCGGCAAAGACGAAGACGAAGCACATGACCAGGTAGATATCGATAGCCTTTACATACGATATGCGAGGCAGTGAACTGCGTACACCCGTACTGATCGTGGTCATGGTCAGGACAGTGGTGATGCCCAGTGCTACACGGGCGCTGGTCGCTTCGTGGTTAATCCAGAACGAGACCCATGAGAGCATTACAATGAGAATGCTGGGCAGATAGGTTTGGAACACAAAGTATCCAATGTTTCGCTGTAATTTAAAGGAGAGCGATAGCCGCTGATAGACGCCAGTGGCCAGGCGCTCCTTCCGATCGTTTGTCTCATAACCAATGATGGTGAACTGCGGCAGTTCAGCGTCCTCCACGCCGCGAACTGGCGTGGGTTTCCAATACATGACCACATCGCTGACCGTATAGCCATCTAAGGGTAAGGTGAATCATGAAAACCCGAACAGAGGACATTTTTCAGCTTGTATCTATTACTCACAACTCTCTATCTCTACGGTGCAGTTTTGGGAATCCAATGGATAGTAATGCAGGTCCATCATGCAAGCCAAAGTGGTGGTGAACCGCATGCCATACGTCACAGCTCCATCGCCGCCGAGGCGCACCAGCTTGTTTCTCTCAGTGACATCGTGCAGAAAGCTAGAGCGAAGCCAGAAGTTAAGGGACTTACCTTTAAATACCAAAAGCAGCCTTACCTGTTTTTGTCATTGGCAAAAAACGTATCCGGCACCCATATCTTTTCAGCAAAATCACCGGATAATGTCAGCACATCGTTCACCCCATCGTCTTCGGCATCATGATCATAGTACTGACCGAATATATTAAATGCCAGGCGCTCGTCTCGCCAATACTGATTTAAATACATTGTTATTGTGTAATCCTGCAAATATAAATCGGAAAATAATAATGTATTTATATTATTTGTATAATCCAAATGAGTTATTCTTACCATGTTAACCTCTGAGATGGCATCAAAGCTGGCTATAGTCAGGTCCATGCCCACATGGAGTGGCTCTCCGCCAAAATTGGGCCTTAAACGTATATCGTAGCCCTGGAGTATCTTTGATATTGTCTGTGTAACATTTTCCAGGCGGCCAGCAAGCATATCTTTGCGACTGCATCTGAAAGTATGATGGGGAGACACCTTTGATTCAGCAAATCGATTTAATATAACTAAACTGAGATATTTTCACATACCGAACTAGTTGTAGCTGAGCGCCCAGCAATATCAGCAGTATCGCCAGACTATAGTTCACTCCGAGGCAGGTGAAACGAGCCAGATTGGCCACCTTTGCTTGTGTCATTGTTCGAACTCAACCTCAACTCGTTGGCATTGACTGCGCCGGCGTTTCCAGTTTTCCTTCTCCTTTCATCGCGACAGCAAAACGAAGGCATTGGCTATCGTTCCTCTGTCATGATGTTCGTCAGCAGCTGTTCCTAAAAATTAAAATAATAGGTATTAATTTGTTTAATTATATAGATCGGCTGAGGCAACTCGGTATATAGAACATGTTGGGTTATTATTAAAAATATACACAATAAGTGTTTATCTCCCAAGAAATGAATCTATTGAAAAGTATCTGAACTAGAGATACGAATTCTAGATCCTTCAGTTTAGGGATTACACAAACAAAACATACACATTGCCGAATATGAAATGTATACAGATATAAATAGTGATCAACAAACAAGCAGCAGACTGGCCAAAGTAAATGTGGCTGGTAGAGAGAGTGTTTCAGAGTGCTTACCACCAGTTTGAAGCTAGAACTGGTTGGGAATTTTTAGAGCCACATAAGCTCCTAGTGTTTTATAAACTTTATAGAATAATTAGAAAAACAAGGATTATATCGGTTATCCAAGGCTATCTTGTATAGCTTCCTTATCAGGGAATAATCTAAAAGTAATGTTGATAAGTCCAGGGACTGACTATCTAGAAAAGGTTATTTTCTTTTAAGATATCTGAACTCGCCGGCACGAAGGAAGAATATTTGTATCACTTAACTAACTTTTAGTCAAAAGGTCAGATGTAACCTGAAAACTATCTGAGTTAGACACATGAATGAAGGACCTAAAAGGGCATTAAATTATAATAACACTTAAATTTTTAAAGCAATATTTGAAAAAAAAAAAGCATAAAGCGAGACTGCTTCAAAACTTTGACACTCTTTGACTTGTCCTACACCGAAGCAGACTTTTTCAATCCACACACTTGTGTATCCTTAGGTCAGGCGACCCAATGTTGCATTGATTTTATGCAATACAACGAAATAATTTGGTTTGTTTACTTGGCATTTGTGTGTGCTCTTGCTCGTGCTCGTGCTTTTGACTCGTGCTCGTGCTCGTGCTCGCCTGCTTTGCCCTTCCATACACACATGCTGTGTGCTGCGCACTTGTGCTGCTGCTGCTGCTGCTGCTGCTGCTGGGCTGCCAAAAAGCATATTTGCGAATCAGGCATGCAAGTGCACAATTAAAATAATTGCTATATGTGTATACACCGTGTAGGGGGGAGAGGCGCTGACGCAGAAATTTCAAGTGACTTTTAAGTCGTTGTGTCCTTAGAGTCCCCTGGCTGGCAGAGTTCTCCCCTTTCTCCGAGGAGGTTTTTTATAGTGACTATTTTCTGCTTTTTGAGTCTCTTATTGAACGAATCTCCTTGGAGACCTAGATTCGATTTTCGGTGGCAAGGGAGATTTCTGGGACGAATGCATGTCAAAGATTCAGCCAAAAAGAAAAGAGCAAGCAAAAAGCAACTTAATTTTGTCCGCTGCGTTGGCCTTTTTTTGTTGGTCCTTTTGCTTTTGCTTGTGTTTGTCAGAGGAAATTAGAACTCGCACACAGACTTGAGACACATTGTCAAGCCATATCACTTGTCCCGCTCCCGTTTCCGTTCCCGCTTCCGTTTCCGCCGCCGTTCCCGTTCTCAGACCCCACAGACCCAGACCCGCCGACGCACCTTGTTTCCTCGTCTATTTCACTATTTTGGGTCTACGCTCAACCTCGGACTGCTGTGTCTATCTTATGAATGATGGCTCACGGGGATGCTGCGCTTATGCAGGAGCTGCTCGTGCTTGGATTCGGGTGCCTTCGTTTTCATTTCGGCTTCGGCTTCGACTTCGGCTTCGGCTTGACCCGCATTGCGCATCCTCCTGTTGGCTGCAATCAAATTGTTTACCCAATATGGCAAGTACATGGTTAAAGTCCCACAAAAGGGGGATTTTTAGACTAGACCCAATATAAAAATATACTTATTTAAACAAAATTTAAAAAAAATAACATTAAAAAACAGAAAATAGCCGTTCAGCCGCACAATTCGGAATCTACAAATGATATAAAAAAAGTTTTGTAAAACCTGTTGGCCAAGTTGCATGTGCTTGGTGTTAAAAGCTTTTGCCAGGGAGAGACACCTATCGGTGTTGGTTTAAGCAAAGCTTCCAAGTAGGGGGAAGAATTGAAATTGGTAATATTTATTCTAGTTATTTGATTTTAAAAACAGATGTTGTTTAATTATTATTTAAAAAATAAATGAAAATTCGTTTAAAAAGACCTAAGTTCTACAATATCGTTGTAGCCAGTTTTATGGAAATATTAATCATATAAATTCATTATTTTAGGTTCTTTGTTAGAATAAAGCTATCAAACCTATTTAATTTAATTTTAAACAAATTTCAAACAAAAACACATTAATATATATTGTTCACGCCAGAAAGGCGCTCAATTTCGGGAGGCAGTGTGATCCCGAACGCTCTCCTTTTCTCTCCCTCTTCCTCTGGACTTCCAGTCCAAAGAGCTTCAAATCCGCTCTCCCTAGCTATAGTTTCTTTTGTATAGTTTATTTTTATTTATTATTTTTAAGCAATCATATTGACCACTGTGCCTACGTTTATTGCTCGCCGAGATCCTAGGCTTTAGACACTAAATATTACACACAGAAAAATAACAAAAACAATATGACGCTCTTAGCATCAATTCACTTTACCCATGTGGCCATAAAATTCACAACCAGTTTTAGCTGAAAACTAGTGGTAACCATGGATTCTGGGGACAACTCAGGACACGTCAGAAGCAGCTATATATGTAAGTGTGTGTGTTAAAAGAGCCTTAATAGGCCCTTCTTACTAGGTGATAAATAGAAAACAGGCCTTCAATAATTTAACAATACTACAATAGAGTTGTATTTAAGTGATTGAAGAGTTAATTTAAACAAATACATATACAAATATATATATAAACACCGATCAACGCACAAGCAACAGAGTGGTGAAGCTGTCTCTCACCTGGCCATAGTGAATGCGGCTGGTAAAGAGGGTGTTTCTGAGTGCTTACCACCTATGAGCAGCTAGAACTGGTTGGGAATTTTAGGGCCAAGTAAGCGTTGGTGTTCAGAGGGCCATTTGTGTTTTTTTGACTTTATGGAATAACAACAAATATAATGATTAGATCAGTTCACCAAGGCTGTCAGATATAGCTTCCTTATCAGGGAATAATCTACAAGCGTTGATAAGTCCAGGGACTATCTGGGAAAAGGTTTCTTTTGTGTTTTTCTCTTACCTTTCCAAGAATATAATATTAAATCTGATAAGAAACAATTAGTAAGACCCAAACTTAAAGCTAAATAAACTTTTTTAACAAGAATGACATGAAAAAGTGGTAAAGCCTTTAATATCCTGCCCCTGCCTTTGTTTTTTGTGTTCATAAACAACGTACAGGATCTGGATTTCAGTGCAACGAAGCGAAAGGTTTGCTAAATTTTCTAAAAAGGAGGTAATTCATGCTTTGCGCATGCCAACTGGCAGCTACGCCAGCGGCTACAGAGCCTGCATTATGTGCCTTGTTAGCATTGAGTGCAGCGCGGGACACAGTTTGGCTTCAGAGCTAACCATAAGCACTGAAAGCGATGGTCAGACCTTGCGGTGTTCGCATATTATAATCTGGAAAATAAATTCACGCGTTCCTTGGGATTCGAAATGGTTTCAGCATTAATTCTTCGTCTGTTTTCCGGGTAAGTCATTTTATGTTGTTGTATTTTTTTTATTTATTTTATTTTTTTGAAAAGAGACGTCCCTGGACCTCTATTGTTTGCCATTCAAAATCGCTCACTTGGTATTCGTGTCAAGGACCATAATTGTTTGTTAAATAATTACACACCTAGCCGAGCTGTGGGATATTTCGCAATTATTTAACACTTAATGCCGCGCGTATTATGTAATTTTTTTTTTTTTTTTTTGTTTCTAAAAAGCCAGATGTGGAACGATGTACCAGTTTGGGGTCTTCATTATGGATGCATCCATGTACATATAACTTTTTTAGCAAGTCAAGCAGATTTTTGGCTTGACTCCTGGCTTTACACATGCGGCAAATCACTGCACAAGCCAAGCGTCAGCATCAGTATCAGCATCGGCGTCGGGCGTCAAGTGGAAAATGTGGGAAATGGAAAATGTAGGCTGCCGAGACTTGGCCCTCTTTTATTTAGCATGTGCCGGGGGGACAATCAATTAAAGTGGATTATCATTCGATTGATTTGGTACGTCACGGTGGCTACACTGCGCGATTTACAGATACAGTTTTGAATTTCTTATTGGAAGTTATTTCAAAAATGCATAGTAGTTTTTTTAAATTTAATACTGTTTAAAAACTTTAATGGAGCTCCTTTTTAATTCGAAAAAACTTTTCAGAGATTATAAATCATGTCCAGAGATGTCTAAAAGTAGGCAATGAAATATTTGGTGTCTCAATTTTCAGATACTTTTTTTTAAAAGTGCATTGAGTGCAAACATTCTAACCAGAAAACTATCTAGGGATTTGGAATCTATTAAAAATTAGTTTGAAAATAGGTAATAAAATATAATACTTGAGACCTGAAATCTTTTTCAAAAAATTTGCTGCCAAATTTGAGGCAATATTTTTAGAAGTGTCTAAGAACATGACAAGGTTTTGAGCTTCTCTTTGGATTTGTCTAAAACAAGGCAATGCAATATTTAGGGTCTCAAAACGTTTGTGTCTTTTTTAGCCTACATTTTGGAGGCTATATTCAAAGGAAACTCTTCCCTATTTTACTTTCAGATTTTATATCTACTTGTGCATTTTGGAATGCCACCTTAGCAATGGAATACCAGCACTTAACTCGTCGGAAGTTCGATCTGTGGAGCCTTCTGGTGGTCAGACACAGACCACAGTCCTTACGAAAATGCCGAATATTACCAGTGAGTTCACTGCGAGCAGGATATACGAGTCCTTTCGCGTATTGCCACCGTCCTTGCAACAGCTAACGAGCCGACATCGCAGCCAGAAAAGTGTTAGTTTTCTTTCCGAGAATTTGGGAGCAGGGACAGGGACAGGTGCCGGAGGAGGAGCGCCACGCACGGCCTCTGCTGATATGCTTAGTCGTAATATTTCCATTATTCTGGAAAATCTACTCAAGCGCTATGAACAGTCACAGCTACCCACCCACGGCCAGGGTATGCCGACGGTGGTGCAAACGAATATACTTATACGTAGCATGGGACCGGTATCTGAACTGGATATGGAGTATTCGATGGACTGCTACTTTCGGCAGTATTGGCGCGACAAGCGCCTCAGCTTCAAGGGTCCCATCAAGAGCCTGTCGCTCAGCATTAAGATGCTGGACAAAATCTGGCGACCAGACACGTATTTCTACAATGGCAAACACTCGCATATACACACCATAACGGTGCCCAACAAGCTCCTTCGTCTGGACCAGAATGGAGGAATCCTCTATTCCATGCGGTATGTGCTCCGCCCCTCCAGTTCCCATTTTCCCAAGTACCCTATGTAAGGGGGTTTCTGTGTTGCAGGTTGACTATTAAGGCCACTTGTCCCATGGAGCTAAAGAACTTTCCCATGGACAGGCAATCTTGCCCTCTGGTAATCGGCAGTTGTGAGTATTTATCTTGTGAGCCTGTAAAGCTGCTTGCGTGGCCCTAAATTGGTTGGGAATTTTAGGGCCACTTGAGCTTTAAGTGCATTGATGCCTTGAGTTTATATAATAAAATATAATATAATTTTTTACATTAAAAATTCAGATGGTTATACCAACCAGCAACTAGTGTACGAATGGAAGAACCAAGATGATGCCGTCTCCTTTGTCCCGGGAATGACCTTGAATCAATTTGATCTAATTAGTATGATGTATCGCAACTTTACTTCAAGGCGTCGCGAGGGTGACTTTTCCGTCTTGCATGTTGCCTTCAATCTGAAGAGACACACTGGATACTTTCTCATACAGGTGAGTGGGTGGTATACACTAACTCTAATTTTATATTATTTCAGTTTCTCTCACAAGACTAAATGGGGGAGAATCAGAGAAGAGAGGATCCTCTTTGAGCTCAAAGGGGATTTTTCGTTCTCAAAGTTTACTCAGAGCTCAGCTAAAAATTCTTTTAAAAAACGTATTATATGTTGTTGCTGCTTGGCTTGTACATTGCAGGCAAAGCCTGGAAGCATGGAGCGGTTATGTCGATTCCCCTACTGCTTGCTCTGCTAAATATTACCTTATGTCTCACTTAGGTCTATGTACCGTGTATACTGATAGTGGTCCTCTCTTGGGTCTCGTTTTGGATACATCGCGAGGCCACCAGCGACCGGGTGGGTCTCTGCGTAACCGCTGTACTAACCCTCTCCACAATTAGCCTGGACTCGCGAACCGATCTGCCAAAGGTCAAATATGCCACGGCCCTCGATTGGTTTCTATTGATGAGCTTTCTGTACTGCATTGCCACCCTGCTGGAGTTCGCCGGCGTCCATTACTTCACCAAGCTGGGCAGTGGGGAGATTCCCAAGCTGGAGGAACAATGGGAGGACATTTGTGCGGCCAACAATCCATCGCCGGAATATGTGGCGGAAGTAGAAGTCGATCCAGCGGCATCGGCTGAAGAGGATGATGCCAGTGATGATGCTACGGATAATTATGAAAACGATGAGGTGGCCAGTGAGTCGATTAACTCGAGGAATGAGATCTGTTCTTGCGGCCAGCATGACGCCCTTGGACTGGAGGATACCATGGCCACGGGGGGTTTTCGCAAGCGTGCCGCTCTCATTGGTCCCCTGTTTAATGTGAGTAGCAAAGTGGATAGCCGGATGTAATCTAGCATATCCTTGGCAGGACCCCTCAGCATACATCTATCCGAAGACGTCGTCCCATGCCTCCACGATGGAGCGCACCACTCAAACGGAGCCGCCGGTGGTATCACGCATGCGACAGATTTGGCTTTGCCTTAAAAGCGATGACAACTTCCGGAAGCAGCGGGAACGCGACGCCGCGGCTGAGAAGAGCGGCCAAGGACGCGGCGCCAGTTATGTGAATAGTGTCTCCCTAATCGACCGCGTTGCACGCATAGCCTTCCCCATGTCCTTTGCGTTTTTCAACCTCTTGTATTGGTTGGCTTACGGGATGTACAAAAAGGAGTTTTCATGGTCCAGCATAAAGTCGTAGATCTTTGGCTCTTTAAACTATATACGCATACATATATATTAATAATCAGCATTAATCAGGCGAGTCCATATAGACACTGTACGTCACTGTCCGTCTGTTTCGAGGCGATTTAGAAGCTGAGTTAGTGTCTATCCTTATAGGGATGTATCCTTATAGGGATGCTATCCTTATAGGGATGTATAGAAATCAAAATCAAAAGAAGCTAATCGGATATTGTATTGTCGGGGACACTCCGACTATAGTCCACTTTATAAATAATATAATCAAATGTATTAAATTATTATACTGTATACAAAAGCTAATCAAATGTTGAATAAAACAAATAGTAGAAGTATGTCTCGCCACTTTTTAATTATAAAGCTCTACTTTTTCAAATTTGATTGCCCGCCAATCGAAATCAAAACAAAAAACAGCTGTTTTCTGGAAGAAACACACATCCCGATTAATTAAGTATTTTCTAGTATATTTTCGATAAAATAACGATAGACTTTTATCGATAACAGCAAAACTTGAGTTTCAGCGTTTTAGTGTGCCCAGAAGCCGCAAAAGCGAAAAATCTCCAGGTTTTTGAGATTTTTTAGGAGAGCACCCAAGTTGTCATCTGGCAACACTGCGCATTATTTTGTTATATTTCTGACACATATTTTAACTAGGCAATCGGCGACAATCGAGAGATATAATTCGTGATAAACAAGTAAAAGCACGTTGAGGGACTCGCCGCTCCCCTCTAAAGCCTATCATTAGACCAAAAAGAAACGGTGACCTGAGTGCCAACAACAGGCTGCATGCTGAACGTGCCCATCGAATTATTTCACGCGCAAAACGTTTTCTATTTTTTTTTTTGTGTGTGCCAGCCGCACATTCTGCGAAACTCTGCTCGTTCCAGCGTAATTACTCGGAATTACAAGGCTCACGCGAATTCCTTTCCAGCGACAGGGACGAACTGCCCCGCCAGTAAGTGTGGCACAGGCGGCGAGTCAGCGATCCGAACGATCCACGCACATCGCCGGACTCGAGAATCGCAGGGGAAAGAAGAAGAAAAGCCAGCAGCTATAGAAACGCCAGAAGAGCGAGGGAAGCAACAGCAGCAGCAACCTTGGGTGAAGAGGAGGCTGCACAGGCGTCGCCATGAGCGTGGACACGTATGCGCCCAGCTCGGCGCTGTCGTTCCTGGACATGGACGACACCGAGCTGATGCCAGGAGCAGATACACAGCCCACGCAGTATGATTATCGTGACTTTACCATGCCGTCCAATTCGCAGAGTCAGCAGGTTGACCACCAGCAGCAGCTGGAGCTCCACGTGAGTGTAGTCTGTCCCCGCCTATTCCCACCATCCATGTTCTTAATTCCTCTTCCCTTGGTATAGTCTCGCGGCCAAACTGGAGGCGGAGGCGGTGGCGACTCGCATCCGCGCCTGGCCAGCATCACCAACGATTTGGCCGATTTGCAGTTCGAGGAGGAGGACGACGACGGCGGCAGCAGCTCATATGTAAAGGAGCTGCCGGCGCATGCCTGCAAATACTGTGGTATCCACGACCCGGCCACGGTGGTGATGTGCAACAATTGCAAAAAATGGTTCTGCAATGGACGCGGCAGCACCTCCGGCTCGCACATCATTAACCATTTGGTGCGGGCCAAGCACCGCGAGGTGACCCTCCACGCCGACGGGCCGCTGGGCGAGACCGTGCTCGAGTGCTACTCCTGCGGCGTCCGCAATGTCTTTGTGCTGGGCTTCATACCGGCCAAGGCGGATTCCGTTGTGGTGCTGCTCTGTCGCCAGCCTTGCGCTGCCCAAAATTCACTGAAGGACATGAACTGGGATCAGGAGCAGTGGAAGCCCCTAATCGCCGATCGCTGCTTCCTGCCTTGGCTGGTGAAGCAGCCCAGCGAACAGGGCCAGTTGCGGGCGCGCCAAATCTCGGCGGCGCAGATCAACAAGCTGGAAGAACTGTGGAAGGAGAATATCGAGGCCACGTTCCAGGATCTGGAGAAGCCGGGCATTGACTCGGAGCCGGCCCAGGTGCTGTTGCGCTACGAGGATGGGTATCAGTACGAGAAGACTTTCGGGCCGTTGGTCCGCCTGGAGGCCGACTACGACAAGAAGCTGAAGGAGTCGGCCACCCAGGAGAACATCGAGGTGCGGTGGGATGTGGGTCTGAACAAGAAGACCATTGCCTACTTTACGCTGGCCAAGACCGACTCGGACATGAAGCTGATGCACGGCGACGAGCTGCGTCTGCGATATGTCGGTGAGATGTATAGTCCTTGGAGCGAGACCGGGCAGCTCATCAAGGTGCCGGATAACTTTGGCGACGATGTCGGCCTGGAGTTGAAATCCTCCTCCAATGCGCCGGTCAAGTGCACCAGCAACTTCTCGGTGGATTTTATTTGGAAATGCACCTCCTTCGATCGCATGACCCGTGCCCTCCGCAACTTTGCCATGGACCGCAATTCGGTGTCCAATTTTATATACACGCGCCTGCTGGGCCATGGCCGTGCCGATGCCAACGACGAGGTGCTGTTCCGTGGGCCACAGCCCAAGCTGTATAGCGCCCCGCATCTGCCGGATCTGAATCGCAGCCAGGTGTATGCCGTGAAGCATGCTTTGCAGCGTCCCCTCTCGCTCATCCAGGGACCGCCGGGCACCGGCAAGACCGTGACCTCGGCCACCATTGTCTACCAGCTGGTGAAGCAGCACGGCGGCACTGTGCTGGTGTGCGCTCCCAGCAACACGGCTGTGGACCAGCTGACGGAGAAGATCCATCGCACCAACCTGAAGGTGGTGCGCGTGTGCGCCAAGAGCCGCGAGGCCATCGACAGTCCGGTGAGCTTCCTCGCTCTGCACAACCAGATCCGCAACATGGAGACCAACACGGAGCTGAAGAAGCTGCAGCAGCTCAAGGACGAGACCGGGGAGCTGAGCTCGGCGGACGAGAAGCGCTATCGGAGTCTGAAGCGCGGAGCGGAGAACCAGCTGCTGGAGGCCGCCGATGTCATCTGCTGTACGTGCGTGGGCGCCGGAGATGGACGCCTGTCGCGCATCAAGTTCACCTCGATCCTCATCGACGAATCCATGCAGTCCACGGAGCCGGAGTGCATGGTGCCAGTGGTGCTGGGCGCCAAGCAGCTAATCCTCGTCGGCGACCATTGCCAGCTGGGACCGGTGGTCATGTGCAAGAAGGCCGCTCGCGCCGGTCTCTCGCAGAGTCTGTTCGAGCGTTTGGTTGTCCTGGGCATCCGTCCGTTCCGTTTGGAGGTGCAATATCGCATGCATCCGGAGTTATCCCAGTTCCCGTCCAACTTCTTCTACGAGGGATCGCTGCAGAACGGCGTCTGTGCGGAGGATCGACGCCTTAAGTTGGACTTTCCATGGCCGCAGCCGGAGAGACCCATGTTCTTCCTGGTTACCCAGGGTCAGGAGGAGATCGCCGGCTCGGGCACCTCCTTTCTCAATCGCACCGAGGCTGCCAATGTGGAGAAGATCACGACGCGCTTTCTCAAGGCGGGCATCAAGCCGGAACAGATTGGCATCATTACGCCGTACGAGGGACAGCGTGCCTACTTGGTCCAGTATATGCAGTACCAGGGTAGCCTTCACTCTCGCCTGTATCAGGAGATTGAAATTGCCAGCGTGGATGCGTTCCAGGGACGCGAAAAGGACATCATTATCATGTCGTGCGTGCGTTCCAACGAGCGGCAGGGCATCGGCTTCCTGAACGATCCCAGACGCCTCAACGTGGCCCTCACTCGCGCCAAATACGGTATCATCATCGTGGGCAATCCCAAGGTGCTCGCCAAGCAGCAGCTGTGGAATCATCTGCTCAACTTCTACAAGGACCGCAAGGTGCTCGTCGAGGGCTCGCTGAACAACCTGAAGGAGTCGCTCATCCACTTCCAGAAGCCCAAGAAGCTCGTCAACAGCATGAACATTGGCGCCCACTTCATGTCCACCATGATGGCCGATGCCAAGGAGGTGATGGTGGCCGGCTCAATCTACGATCGCAGCGGTCGCCCGATTCCCGGCCAGGCGGCTGTGAATGGCTCCCAGTTTGGTAGCGGCGGCGGTGGAACTCCCTATGGCGGTGCATCTCCCCTGGGTTATGGCGGTGGTGCCCCCGGCAACTCCAACTCCATGCATGGCTTCAATCTGGGCGCTGTCGGTAGTGGCAACAACAACTTTGCCAGCGGCGGTGGTGCGGGCCCAAGCTGGGCAGCTGCCCACCTGCACCACGACTCCATTGGCTACATATCCAATGAGCATGGTGCCGCCGCTCTGGGCAACATGCCCGTGCCCGTGGGCATGTTCATGAACATGACCAATCTGCCGCCGCGTTTCTACAACCAGCACCAGCAGGCGATTATGGCCGCCAAGCAGAATCGGCCCATGCAGCAGCAGCAGTCTGGCAACTTCCCCTCAAACGCTGCCACAGTCAGTGGAGGCGGCGGCGGAGGAGGAGGAGCCGGCACCACCACCGCCGCCGGGTCGGGAAGTAACTCTCAGGCAGGCGGTGGCAAGAAATCCCATAACAGGGGCAAGCTACGGACAACGAGTGGCCACCAGGGAAGTGCCGGAGCTGGTGGGGCAGCGGTGGTAGTGGGAGGACCTACCAGTGGACAAAGCTCGGGAGGGAGTGTGACTCCATTTACCCAGCAGCCGGTGCCATTGTCGCTGCAAATGACGCAGCCGAGCGGATTTGCACTATCGCAGCAGCCGGAGTTATCGCAGGACTTTGGCCAGATATCACAGATGGACGGTTTGCTCTCCCAAGATGTGGCCTTTAATGTGGTGAGTTTTTAATTTGATTAAAATATTGTGGCTCCATCTCTTTCTCCTTTAACCTAACATTCATTAAGGCTAATTCGAGGCAAAACAGTTCACTTAAAAAAAAAATTAAATTAATTAAGTAAGCTTAATGAATTAAATACCATAAAATAAGAAATTTAAACAATTTTGTGTTAAATTTTGTATTGAAAAATATTTAGAGGTCTAGGTAGTTATAGGGAATCTCCCGCCCTCTTCCCCTGTCCGCAGAATCATCTGATATCAAAACAAGAAAATATGATGCTAGAACTAGTTGGGACTTATAGTGTTAAGCGAGTAATTTTTCTTAAATTAATTATTTATTTATTATTTTTTATTTTTTAATTTTTATAGTTATTAATATTTGTATATTCTTTTATTTCGTTAGGTTAATAATTCTGAATATTGAATTGAATTCAAATATTAATTCATAATTTTATATGTTAATTTTTGGAAAATGAAAAGGAAAAGAATAAATCTGCCTACTAATATTTATTATTATTATTTTGATAATTTTTAAAAAGTTTTACAATGTAACCTCTTATAAAATTTTGAATAATATGGATAATTGGATAGATTTTGTTGAAGTTAAGTCAAGTTACTTTGTTTAATAAAAAATATAATAAAATTAGAGTATCTGTAGAACTAGTTAAAGAAGTTATGTGCCAAATTTCACAACGATGTGTTCAGTAGATTTAGAGTTATCGCAGATTATTCACAATATACTCATAAATTGAACACCAAAACGACCTCTGTTCAACTACGCTTAACTTTGTCAATTTTGCTATGATCGATGTGAAACTTTCACAATTTATTCACAAGATGTTGGGCATTCATAAAAATATTAATTAATAAAATTTTATTTATATTTGCAGTCGGGCGAACGCAGTTTAAATCAATTCTCACAGCCTTATTGAGAATCCGGCCGCCGCAGGTGCACCACCAAATTACAAACGATTACAAAAGCAACCCAAATGAAAAAAAAAAACAACAACAACAAACTCAAGATTTTGAAAACAACAATCAAAGAGTAGCAGCATCAGCAAGGAGCAGACACCAAACAAGGAGGAGGACTACGAGCACAGGGAAACAACGACAGATGCGACAAACGGCGCAGCGAGAGGACCTAGGAGGACATGAGTACGGGCGGGGCCGCCACCAAGGACACGGAGAAACGGGCAAAAGAAAATAGAAGGAAAGGGTATACAGAGAGAGAACGAGAACGAGATCGAGAGAGAGAGAGAGAGAGAGAGAGTGCGGAGTCCATTACAGGCGGTAGTGAGCAGAGCCAGATCACTCACAGGGCCACCCAAAAGAGGATGACAGAAAAAGATGCACTGCAGCAAGCGATGCTGAGCGCTATGAGCGAATGAGCTCCGCAGGATCGGAAAAGCCTGCCGGCCAGCCAGTCAGCCAGCGATGTAACGCATTTTCTTGAAAGGCGTATGTCGAAGCCACTCCCAAGGGAGGTGCCAGTGGCCCATCATCTTTTGAAACCTTCTTCACACCATTCTCTGCCTTCCAGTGCAGCAGTGCAGCCATGAAAACCCAAGCTCATGCTCTAGACTTTTAATTCCAAAACACGTTTACACCTCACATCGGCCGGCCCCAAGCAAAGCCCACAACTGTTGTACATTTCGTAAGTCTTCGAACACTTTTTTGACTTCTGTATGCATTTGTTATCCACAAAAAACCAACAAAGCAAAACCAAACGAAAAGAAAAAAACAAACAACAACAGAAAATGTTAAAACTAAATCAAAAACGTAAGAATAATGGATACGGGAATTCACACAATGTTTCGATCGCGGGGCTTGCCAATTTCCACGGGGCGGATGATTGAAAATCGAATGAACGATGACACGACGGATGTGATCTTCCCACCCACCCACAAAAAATGAGAAATCCAAAACACAGGAACAAAAAAAAAGAGGATCAGAAGAGGTTAATATTAATTCTAATATTAATGCAGTTACACAGATGCCTGTTGATTGTTTTTAAAACGATATATGAAAAAGGGTATATATTTTTGTCAATATAATGTGAGTTTATTTTCCCCCAAAACGCAACTCCTTGAAGAAAGAAAAATCGATCCGCTTTTCTTTTCTTTTTCCCCTTTGAAATTCTAAATAAAAAATTTCAGTTTTTCTTTGCAAAAATCAACACATACTATGTCGTTTATTCTGGGGGTATATTTCGATATATTCGATAAACAAGAGTTAACGATATTTTCGATAGAATATTAGATCCGATCATTTTTTCGATATATGTAAATTCTTTGTTCTCTAAATCGACTTTCTTTTTCTTCGAAATTCTTTAACTAAATTGTTAAATAAGTTAAATATGGATTTACGTCATTTAATTTTTTAATTTAATCTATCGATATATTTGTAATTATATTTAAGCACTTTGGTGTTCCTTCCCTTTTACATGACATTGGAAATGTGACATTTACAACCTTAAAAAGTATATTTTCAGCTCTACTTGGATACTGATTCTTACTTAAAATATACACAACCTTTTAAAGTACTTTGAATTAAAGACAACAAGTTTTAAATTTATTTTTTGCATTCTTTTTTTGTTTTAAAGTTTATTTAACATTTTTTTTTTGTTTTACATTTTCGGGTGACATTTTTGCATTTCACAAGAGGGGGGACGAACATCGCACACCTCCGTGGATGTTTACAATAATTGATCGAATTCGATTAAACAAATTGATGGAAGATAAATGCAATAAAAATATTGAAAATGAATATATGACATTTAACAAAATATAGAAGCGTTAGTGTTTACTGAAATTCAACCACGATTTTTTTTTTCCAATCGGTTTTCATTTCTTTTTTTCGATTTTCGATTCCGTGAATTTCAGTTTCTGGTGGGCTGGTGATATTTTTATATTTTTTGGTTTAACCATTTTTCTTTTCTTTTTTCAAGCTTTACCTGCAACGATTTTAGTATATAATAAATAACACTAATTAACATATTTTCTTTGTGAAGCTTGAATTTGTATAAATGATTACTATCTCTGATAATTTTTAAACTTATTGTCTTTGAAGCCCTATTTAATATTAATATTAATATTTTGTATTCAAATAAAATTGGATCACATACCTATTCTTCGATCTACTTGTTAAAATTCCATCAATTTAAAAATAAATATTGGTATATATATAGTTATTGAACCTGAACCATCACATTATTTTACATATTTGCACATTTAAATAATTTTTTTTTGTAATTAGTATGGAACTTATACATTTTTTTTATTTGGGCTCAATTTTTTAAAGTCTTTTATAATTTCCATTCTTGTAAAAATTGTTCCTATATCGACTATAAAGTTTTTAGGAAATAATTTTTAATTGTTCGTTTTTTTAATTTAAAAAAAAAAGGTTTAAGGAATATTTTTAAATAGTTCTTTCTATAAAAAATATAGACAATAAAATGTACTATGGAGTTAAGAGCTGATATAAGGCAAACTTGTTTCAGGTCAAGTGTTTGGTCCACTCTAATGTCAGCTCCGTACTCTGTTAAAAAAAACACTAAACTGTAAGCTCCGCTGTTAACATTATTAACTTAACATTAGAATGTTAAAATCCTTATACTGTTAAAAGCCAAGATCAACTATTTGCGACTATATTCAGCACACTTGTGCATGGTATCCATCATCCCTAGAACCCAACTGACCTGAATGTGCCGCCACCAGCCGTTTCGGTTGTTTCTGGCTTGACCATTTTGTTGGATCCAGCGATATCGTCTCCGCCGCGCGGTGGCTCGAACTGCTGCTGGTAGGGAAACTGCTCCTGGGCATGGGGGACGATGGGACGGAAGATGGACGTGAGGTCCAGCGTGTGATTCAGCCGATGGGCTGTGGACAGGAAGATGCCTTTGACGCGCTCAAAGGTGGCAAAGTCATACACTGATCGCGCCGTGTTCGATAAATCGAATGGCTCCTCGATGTTGAGCTCCTTCCACTGGTAAATATCATTCCGCTGGCTTCGCGCCATCCGACAAGTGGACACCGGCAGGACGCCACCGGTGCGTATGGAGATGGCATAGTTCCGGAAGCTGAAACAGGAAAACCAATAAATTATTGGATTCCAAGGATGAGGACACCGCGCGCGCTCACTCGAATTTGCTGTAGTATTTGAAGAAGCCCAGCAAAAGCTCACCCAGCGATTGGGTATTCAGCGTCTGGTAAGGCTCTATCGGCTCGATTAGATCCAGATCCAGGCAATCCTGCTGTCCCAGCCGAAACTTTTCCGGATAGAGCGAGTGCAGGCAGGGCAGGACATGTGGCACGCAGCCATGCTGCAGATAGTGCAGAACCATTAGCACCAGCGAGTAGCTCGAGATGGTCATGCGTTTGGCATCATTGATGTCATGGTATTGGGCCCAGAGCTTAACAACCACCACCAGCGGGCGAGCACGCCAGTCCACTGAAAAATATACAAGATTTTTGATAATTAAATATTCATTTAAAAAATTTTTAAGATATGATTATGATAGTCAAAGGGTGTTTATTGAGAGTATTTGAAACAAGTGGTTAAAAAGCAAGACTTCCTAAAAAAAAAAAACAAAATTAGGCTTAAAGTTTATAAAGAGTAATATCTTTAAGCAAAAGAAATGGACCAGAAAGTGAGAGGTGGCTAATGAGAACACATCTTGATCTGTGACTTGACAAGCTTTCATGGGAAAATGTATTGTACTCGCATATTCAGACTTACACTGAGCGTAAAGCTGTAGCAGATAGGTGTTCTTAATGCCCACGCAATTGTTGTAGTTGAGATCGACCTCGATCCCGTTGGAGATGTCCTTAAAGCGCAGTATCGGCACTCTAGCCTCGATCAGATTGAAGTCCTTAAATACCTCTGCTGAATAGAGAAAGATATTCCGCTGCAGAAGATGCTGATGCTGTGCCAGCTGCTTACCTGTCTCCCTCAAGACGGCATTGAACAGACTGAGGGTGATGAGGGCCTCGGACCGCTTTGCATTGTGGAAATGGTGCTGGTGATGGTGATTATTATTCGGCGGCTGCTCGGGCAGCAGGCACATGTCTATGTCGGAGGAGTCTGTGCCAAAGCCAGTGATGGTGGAACCAACCAGGCAGATGCGATACCCCTCGAACATTTGCAGCTACAAGTTGGTAAATTAATTGAAATATTTCCATTCTCTGGACGAACTCACATTCATCATGATGTACAAGTAACGCCATAGCCGCATCTTGGCCTTGAACTTGTAATGCGTCTGCCGGGCGCCACGGAACATCTCCCAGATCTCCACCGACAGGTTATCGTACTTGCACATGCAGATCAGTTTTTCCGGCTGAGCCGGGACCTCCACGTTCCTGGCATGGGCCAGGTAGCGATCGGGTGGCAGCATCATATCGTACCAGGGACCTCCTCCTGGACCTCCTCCAACCATTTCAAAGGGAACTACGGGATTTCCATGGTGATGGGTGATGTGCAGCGAAAGCAGCGGCGGCGGTGGAGGCGGTGGTGGTGGTGGTGGTGCTGCTGCTGCTGCTGCTCCTCCTCCTGACGGATGATGATGCGGGGTTTTCGGCCCCATCTCTATTAAATGTGGTGACAATTGTCCGGTTTCTAGAGGGCTGGGTGTGGGAGAAATGGATAGGTGCTCTCCGTTGACCAGGCTGAAGAAGAAAGAAAAAAACAAATTCTTGCCAGGTTAAACTCTTGTCACAGAATAAAAATCTTTCTTTTTGTCAGTCGGAAAACTACAACTACTTTGGCGTAGTCTACTATGATTTTTTGTTTAAAAGTACTTTATCGAGGAAGGAGGAAGGCCACACCTACCGACATCGATTGCTTGGGCCACTCCAATGGGAATCGCTGCTTAGGGTGGAGGTGGACAGGGCGGGTGACATGGCCCGCACATCCTTGTGGTTATGCGGCGAACTGCCGTTGGAACCATATGGCGGGCCCTGGTAGCAGGGCAAGCCGGAATGTGGCCACACTGCCGGTGTTTGAAGGTAGACCTGTGGCGGAGCACCACCGCCGCTGTTGGGGATTAGGTGCGGCGGTGGCGGTGCCTGTGAATGCTGCTGTTGTTGCTGCTGCTGCTGTTGTTGCTGCTGCTGTTGATGCTGCTGCTGCTGCTGCTGTGCGGGATGTGGCATAATAAAGGGCACTGTTTGGTGATAATTGGGACTGGATATAGACTGCTCTCCATTGGCGGCCGCCGCCGTGATGGCCTCGTCCAGCTGCGCACAGCTTATCATTTTGGTGGGTGTATTCATGCTTGGGGAGAGCATCCCATGTCCCCCAATCATGGCCAGCGGCAATGGGGGCGGCGGCTGTGGAAACATATTGCGGCCATGATTCAAAACTGGATGCGGAGGCACGGAACCGGATACGGCGGATACGGGTATAGGGACCGGCAGAGATCGGCGCACTGTCGAGGGCCCCGGAGCAGCAGGCGTTAGCGTAATACTGGGTTTGTTTTGCCGCGATATCTTTGACCTGTCATCGGTCGATCCTGGGGCGCCACCTGTGTTGGTCATGTCCACATTAACGTAGGTAAGATTGTACAAGTTCTGGCGTTCGGCAGAGTTTGGCGTGAAGCCATCGTCGTCTTTAAGGGAATGGTGGTGGTGCTGCTGCTGGTAGTAACCATTTTTGCCACCTCCCTGACTGCGACGATGGACTGCATTAAAGTTGCTGCTGGCCAGGATCTCAATTGTGTTATGCTGCTGTTGCTGCTGATGCTGTTGCTGCTGATGCTGTTGCTGCTGATGCTGTTGCTGTTGGTGCTGCTGATGCTGTTGCTGTCCCGATGCAGGCGACGCATCTCCCATTCTCCCCGCCACTAGACTGTAGTGCATCTTCTTCTGAATGCCGCTGCCACTGCTGTTGCTCTCGCCATACTTCCGCCGAAAGTGCGAGCTGCCCCCCATCCCTTGCTGGTGATGCTGTTGTGCCTGGTGTGGGACATGATGTTGCTGCTGATACTGCTCATAGGCACACTGGGCATTGCGGTAACGCTGCTGCTGGGGATAGCCAACATTCCCTCCTTGTTGCTGGCGGTTGAGGGCGCCGCCACCGCGTTGCTGCACGACACCGCTCTTCTCGGGCAACAGGTCCTTCTGCAGGAACGAGGCAATGGTCAGCTGCTTGGGCTGCGGATAATAGTATTGATAGTAATTGTGCGGCTGATGGTGTTGTTGGTAACCAGAGTTTCGTCTGTTCTCGAAGGACAAAGATGCCTGTTGTTCCGATGAAGCAGCAGCAGCAGCAGCAGCAGCCGCCGCAGCAGCCGTTACAACTGCTGCGACCGTCTCCTTCTGAAAAGGGATTAAGTAATTTTGTGTATTAATTTAGTGTATTAATTAATGTTTTAATTCATGTCTTAATATATGCTTTATTACATCTTTTAGTTGCCTGGCAGCTTGCTGCGGATAATTGGTCTTCCAGTAACTGAGCGGCTGCTGTCGTGATCGTTGTTTGGCCGCCATATCCTGTGGCTGTTCCGAAACCCGTAGGGACTTGTCACCCGTGGTGGTTACCTCCGGAGAAGGCTCTGCTCTTGAATCTGTTCTCGGTGGCGGGTTGATGTTTTTTGCTGCTGCCGTTGTTGATGTTGTTGAATCCGCAGAAGCTTCAGAGTTTAGACTGTCGCAAGAATTGCGATAAAATGCAGAAGATAATTCTGTCGAGGAGGAGGAAAGCGAATTGTGCTTTTTGGGAAGGCTTGGCTTGCAATCAGATATTTGCTGTTGTATAATATTCTGATTCTTCACTAGATTGTTGTTATTATTATTATTATTGTTGTTATCGTTGTGGTTGTTGTTGTTGTTGTTGTGATAGCTGCTCACCTGTCGCAGCAAATTGGCCGTCTTACTATTATTGTACTTGCCAAATTTCAGGTGACACTGGCTGCTAGACTTGGACACCGGCGATCCAGCGGATATCCGTTGTCGGAATTGCAGCGACTGTTGCTGCCGATGTGGCGGCGGATGCTGCTGCTGCTGCTGTTGCACGGGCGTGTTGCATGCTGCTGTTGCGCCATCGTTGGCATCTGCGGCAAATATCTTCATGTTGCCGGCTACTCGGGTGGCATACATAGCCCTCAAAATGGGTTTTGAGGATCAAAGCGGAAGTGTTTACGTTTCTAGGGCTCGAGTTTTGGGCATAAAAAAATCGCTCGGCCTCGCATTCAGTTGCTTAAAACTATATTTTAAGTTAAGCTAAAATTATGGTGCTTTTTTTTTAAGTTCTCTTTGTGTTAGGAAACCTTTTTTTTTTTTTTTGGTAATTATTAAGATTTTTTTATTTTTGATTTTGTTTTAGATTATATTTTTTTATAATTTTTTTTGTTTTTGTTTTAATTTTGTTTTGTTTTTTATTCCTTTTAGGTTACTTATAATTTAATATTTCACTTCAGATTATTCCTTAATCCGGGACTTTCACTATTTTAACGGCCACGAGTGTAAAAGTGCCGCTCTTCCTGCGCTTCACACAAAGAAACATGCACCGCCCGGTGTTATTTGTATATTCGCACACTAGCTATCTCTCTCTTTCTCGTTTCGCAAAGTGCAGTGGAAAAAAGATCCGTTATGTGCAGGAAGAAGGATTGAAACTGCCACGCAGAAGGGCGCAAAAGAACAGAAAATAATGAACCGGCAACTGGGAAGAGGAGAAAAACGAAGAAATAGACGTAAGAGTAGGGAAATTAGCATATAAAAAGCAACTTATCAGATTACCAAATATTGGCGGTGGCAGCTAGCTCGGTAGGGAAAACGGTGCTTATCTCGTTGAGCGTTCCGCGCTCTGCTCCGTTTCCATTAAAGTCGCAACACACACTTTCCACATCAATTCAAACATTCATAAAAAAAAACTAAAACTCCGCCTAAACTAACTTTACGAGAGAGCGAAACCGATCGACCAATCCGCGCCTATTATCGATAGCTCAAGCTCTGGAGCTATCCACCCACGAGCTATCGAGAAGTCGAAATAAAGCTAACTGCTGTGGACTGTTGTTGTTGTGCAATTTGGCTATTATTATTTGAATTTTCTTAAAGTGTAATTCCTTTCATGTATAATACGCAAAACAAACGCTTAGCTTCTTATCTATCAGGTATTTTATTTCTTTTTAAAAGTCAACAACTAGGCATCAAGCCGAACTAGTAAGTAAACTAACTGCCAACTGGCGGGCGCATTCCTTTGGCTGCATCAGTACCGATTGAGAAGCGACTTCCAGAAGAGACGTGCCGGCAACAGGGTGTCCCTACCCACGCACGACTTATGGGTCAGCCTACAGGATACAAGGAAATAAATAAGTTTTGAACTTTGAGGATAAAGGATTCGCTAAACTCACTGAAAGTTAGCCCGTCTAAGGCGCTCCAGGTAGCCATCGGTTGCAACGGCAGGGAGAAAGATTTTACGCACTGGCCGTGGCACCTGATCGTGCAGTTTCCTGGCCAGATTCAGGTGCGTATTGGCGGCACTGGCCACCTCGAAGATGCACTCCTCGACGCCCTTATCGTCGCTGCGGCCACGGATGACACGCTCCTGGCTAACGCCATGCCGCACAAGCACCTCCAGCGGCACACAAACGGCTTGCTGTCGGCCCGCATGAGGAATAGCACGCAGCAGAGTGGCGATCCCTAGTGCTTTGCCCAAGTGGGAGGCGGCATGGTCTACCTGTAGGTCACGCACACCGCTGATCTCGACCAGGAGAAGGAGCAGCGAAGAGAAGGTTTGCTCGGCGTACTCCTCCAATTCGCGAACCGACTCGAACGCCTTGTTGGGCGGACGCTCACGGGCTGTGACCAGGCGGCGCAGATAGACCTTGTTCAGCTTTCGGCCGCCCACCGTGTGCTTCAGTTCGCGCAAAACTGGCTGATCCTTCACGTAGGATGGCTGGGACTCCTCCTCAAAGCACTTGTCAATGGAGTCGTACCAGAACTTCAGGCGCAGCTTTGCTATTTGTGGTTCAATTTGCTGCAAAAAATCGAAATACATAGCATTTGAAGCTGTCATTGAATAGGGACCCAAGACCTCATCACTCACATGACCACTGACCGATCTGGAGACCTCCACGTTAAAGGCCCGCAGGGCGAAGGCAGCACGCCGTAGATCCCGGGGCAGCAGCAGCGTGCTCAGGTAGTTCTCGTAGTCGTACTTCCTGCATGGGTGAAGCGATTAGCGGACAGGAATACTGGGATATTTGTAAAGCAAGAACTTACTCCACCAGGCCCATGCAGTGCTTGGCCCCATAACCATTGCTCTCCGCCTCGACGGCTGCATCGCTCTTCCTCTCGGTGGCCGGCTGCTGGACACTGGCATGTCTGGCGTTGGCATAGGGTCCAAGAAAGCCGGAGCCGGCATTAAGTAACAATGGGTTAGTCCAACTCCTCGCCAAGCACCGCATCTGAGAGCTGCAAAAAGATCCAGTGGGGATTTTACACTTCGTGGCAGCTGGTCTTACCTAAATACAACGTAGTCCAACAACGTAGTGACGTTAAGTGATCTAAAACGTAATCCCTTGGCAAACTTTTTTAAACTCGTTCCCCTCCTATCAGTGTTATTTTATTTGTTTAAGGTGAACGACACTTTGTTTTTTTTTTTTATTATTATTAATTTTTTTACTCTAAAAATAATCTAAATTCTATGAATAAAATCCTAATCCTAATTCACCGATAAGTTTAGACCGATATTTGTATAGCAAATCAGCTGCTCAGCTACCATCTCTAAACACCACGTCAAGTTTTGTGTATTTTGTAAACATTAATTAAATATCACTAAAGCAGTAACTTTTTACGACTGTGTGGGATGGCTTACATTGATCAAAGTGAGTATATACTTTTAGACATCCCCTTGCCTCGCCTGCTGATCCTTGCTCTACTTTGCAGACGGTCGCCTCTGGGAGAAGCGCCCTTGGAACTGGCAGCGGATCTTGTCCATCATTATGGGCTTGTGGTTCGCCATCAAGCAATTGTATGTATTAAGAAACGAAGTCTTTATATGGGACATGCAGCAAGTATTCTTTATTCGTAGGTTCCACACATTCCTGGCTCCTTTCAATGGCGGTGACAATAACCGTGGCGGCTCCCAGCGAGGAAACGGCTGGGGCTCCAGTGGCTGGGGTGGTGGCGGCGGGGGGAGGTGGAGGTGGCGGTGGTGGAGGAGGCGGCGGCGGCGGTGGTGGTGGTGGTAGAGGTAATGGTGGTTACGATGGACTAAGACCGAACCTGCGAATTGGACGCATCCCACCGCCTTCCCAATCCTGCAGTGCTGGTGGCTGCTGTGGATAGAAATTGGTGTGTACTTAAGCACAATGACGATGCAACCAGAAATTATTGGGGTTAATTTTAGTTACCTTTTGGGCTATTGGCCAACATACAAAATATTTACACAATCAAAATTAGTCATAAGTTATTGAATATCAACTGGACTCCTTGGTTTTTGGAAGTTTAAGATGCAATTATAACTAGTTTGCTCGCATGACGAGGCTTCAAGCTTAACACTCAGTGCGCAATCCTGCACAGGATTTAAATCTTGAGCTTGCGTTTAAAAAGGAATCACTGAAATTCAAGAAAACACCCATCCTAAACCTCTCCACTTGTACAATTACGATATTTATTAATAAATGAAACCTTGATTTTATATTGCAATTCTTTTTATTTCATTAAAAAATGCTACATTTCAAGTTGTTTCGAGGTGTTTTGGATAATACATTTGTTTTATTTACCTTATTTGTTACCCGTAAACATTCAAATATGGAGCCTTAATTTTTCAGAAGTAGAAAAAGTAAGCTATTTCGAGAGACCGACTACGGCCACGTAAACAGCGATCGGAAAAATCGACGACTCATTTATCGGCTGCACTCCGCTCAGTGTAAGAGTTTAGGAGGGCTGCGTCATAGGACGCCACATGGGCGTGATGAACCATCTCAATTTCCGATTATTTGTGGTGCTGTTTGACTTGGCCGCTTACAGTCGGCGCGACATCCGTCCCAAATGGGACCGGATGTCGCTACTATCCTCATCCGCCGCCAGCGACAGGAATATTGCACGACATGGATGGCTGTATGCGTCCGATTCGTCGGTTTGGCCTGTATTCTCCTCTGTAGCCGCTGCCTCCTCCTCTCCCGCCGCCACCACCTCCTCCTCCTCCGCCTCCGCCACCACCACCGCCTCCCCAGCCGCTACCGCCCCAGCCATTGTTGCCTCGGCGAGCATTGTTGTCGTTGGCCGTGAAGGGAGCCAGGAATGACCCAAATCTGTAGATATTCACAAAATGTAGTAATCCTGGGCTGCAAAGTACACGTGTGACCACTTACAGGTGCTTGATGGCGAACCAGATCCCAACAAAGAGCTCCACTATCCGTTGCCAGTCCCAAGGTCGCCTCTCCCACACGCGGCCATCTGTGAATAAAAACAAATGTGGGTCAGAGTTGGAAGGCCGATCTGGATTCCCACGGCAAACTCACTTTGGTCGATGTACGCCATGTTGCCGCCCAGAGAGCATCCACGCTGCCCTCGTCTACGTCAGTTTATTGCACAATTTGAGATGTCGCAGTTATCCAAATAAACATTGTGAGATATGGAAGGTCCAAGCAGCTAGAGCTGGAACTTGGCAGATAAATCGAAATCGTTTTCGATAGATTAGAAGTGTTTTTGGTCTAAATTTTAGAGCAATTTTTAAACAAACATGAATTATTATAATTTGGTGAATTTCGATTGTATTCTGCCTAAGTTATTGGGAGTTTTTAAATTATGAACCATGAGCTTAGAGTCTTAAGATTTAAACTAAGGATTACTCTCGCGAGAACTACCGTTTTGTGAAAAGATTGATCTAAAGGACATATTTCAATAATTACAGCTTTGTATAAATAGTATCAAAATGTTGTATACAATTCAGGGATAATTAAAAAAAGAATACGTTACCGTTACGCATTATTTAAAATCAAAAGTCTAAATAACGTTAGGACCGATAATATTGTTCAGCCGATAGTTTAGCTTATGTTGTCACCATCTCTAATGCAGTGTGGCCAGACGGGCAGCATTTTGGAGAATTCGTTTTGTGCTGTGTTTGTTGTAAATTGTAAAAACAGAAGAAGGTCCTGTGAAGTTCGTTTGATTTGTTTGTTTTCATCGACTGTGACACGCGGGGCGTGCGGACCGAGAGCGGGTGTAGACGGAATAAGCAGCAGCAGGTGGAAATGGTCCTGGTCGCCGTCTGCATCCAACTCTAAGCCACACCATACATCGCCACAACAACAAAACAGGTGAGTGTGGTGTGCCCCGGTGAAGGCAGAGTCCCAACGGAATGTACTACGTCCTGCTGCTAACAACGCATCGTTTCTAACCAAGCTTGCAATCCCGTCCAGGTGTAGCCAGGTGTACCCCTTGTCGTCATCGCCGTTGGCCCACTGCAGATCGCTATAAATAGAAATTGTCTACATACAGACGCAGGGAGATGTTGTGGTACATCACAGCGTCATCCATCTAATCATCAATCCTTGGCCACCGCAAGGCTTTCTCTCTAACGGCACATTTCGCATTTCTCTGTGCTTCTAAGCCATTTGCGTGTCTTTGATTCTTTCCACCGCTCCTCTCCCCTGCCGCTGTGTACGAAACTGGTTTTATTCTGACCAAACAACCAAATCGAAACATATGTATGTATGTTGATGTATGTACATTTTGCACTTTGCTTCTGTCAACAATTCACGGAGCGATGCGATGCGACTTGACCTTTTGCCATCCACGACGGCGGCGGTTAACCAGTTTCGCGCGCCCAAAAACGTACTCTCCACTTGGGCGGGAGCCGCCACCTTCGCCACCGTGTCCCACAAGCAGGGATTTCTGTAAAGGGTATCTGTGTCATCTTTTCTCAAGAGGTGTAAGGTGTGTGTGTGTTAGCGGCATAATATCTTCATTTACATATGTATATTCTTGATCAGCATAAAACACCTAGACTTGTATAGAGCCCACGCAGGTTAACAGGTCCACATTCTGGTTTTTAATCTATATACATACACCTAAAGACACACTAATAGAGGGTAGTATTTGGTGTGTGCCACAAACTGTCCAGCCTGAGATTTATGCCCGAGTATCCCAATGTTTTCAAAAAAATATTAGCTACCAAATTGGGTGACAACAATCTTAAAGTTACAGATCTTAAAGCACATAGAGCTAGCAAAAATCGCAAAGTTTCTAATGTTTTCTATGAAAAAGCATCTGTTTTAATAGAAATTTTTGGATTTCTGTGGAAATTATTGTGGGTTAGATTATTAAAATTGTAAAAATATATAATATATAAATTGTAATATATAAAATATAACTTTCTGAATTGAAATTAATGCAGTTTTGGCCCCCTTATCAAATAGAAAACTTCAAGGGTATGCTAGCTTCCCAAAGTTGGCGTCCTTTCTTTTTATTATTTAAATATCTTAAGAACTTAAAAACTAATTAATGCTTTGGTTTTTTCCAAGGAGATTCGAGTAATTGGTTCAGAAATAGTCATGGGAAGTGACTTACTTAATGCACAAAGCATTACTATATCTTCCCAACATTTTCCTCCCTTAATATATTCCAACATAAATGGAAAACTAGAGCATAGTTTGGGACACTGTGCAACGTCACGACTCGACGCCCGCCTATTTTGGCAATCAGTTTTCTGTGGCAGTTGTTGCTTTTGGTGTTGCTGCCGCCTCAGTTGCTGGTGCTGCTGCTGCTACCGCTGGCGATGTCGTCGCCGTCGTCGTTGGGGTTTGCTCAGCTGGCAGCCAGCCGGCTGGCAAGCCCCGAGCCGAATTTTGCGTGTGTTTCTGCTTCTATTATTCTTTTCGTACTTTTGTTTTCAGTAATCGGCAAACAACGCGAGCGAACGCATGCATTTCTCCTCGCCGTCGCGTCGGATCCACGTCTATTTTTCCCTCTGACATCATCAAACACCCAGCGGATCGCGTCCAAATCTCCAGTGTGTGTGCGTGTGTGGGGTCTGGGGTTCTCTGTTTTCCTTCATTTTTTTGTGTGTGTGTGTGTGTTTCTTTCCTGTGGAACCTCAACGAGCTTATCGAGAGCCGCATTCAACGCTTTTTTATTCCGCCCGCCGTCAGTCGCTAAGCGTAATGCGTACAAGCCGGCGCCGCTGCGCAGTCGCCGAGGAAGTGCCGAAAGTTGGGAGGATCTGTCACGGTCGCCAGGACTCGATAGGAGCAGCGAGCAGCGAAAGCGATCAGTGATTCTTTAAAGACTGCCAAGAACACATATATATATTAAATATACATTCCGCACTTCCGACGCCAAGCAATCATGTATTCGGCGGGTAAATAAATAATCAAATGAGTTAACAATAATTCCACCCATTGCACTCGCTCTTTTGTTAATTATTTTTGTGTTTGAAAAATGATTTCATTTTGTTCGTTTCTTACCAAATATCAGTGTGTCTTGCCTTATTTTGGATCCTATGTATGTTAGCCCAGCCCCTCCCCGTTTCGGTTGAAAGCTTGAATTAGTTTTGATTGTCTGTGTCCGCTGGAAACTGATCATCATCATCAGTACCCAGCCAGCCAGTCAGTCAGTCAGTCAGTGAGCCACCCCATCCATGCGTTCACTCTCATTCATTCATTCATCGAAGCTTTCACACGCATTAGCCGGGCATTAGCTCATATTGTGTTCATTGCAAATGGGGGGACCATTATATTATATAATTGACCGCATTTAAATGAGCCAGAGCCCAACCACCTCTGTTGGTATTAGCAACAGCTGCTGGTCGGTGGTCTTCTCTGATAAGTTCACCTACAAGTTGGCCTTCCTTCCCATTATCAGGATTTATATGGGCTTATCAGTAATTAATACAAACAGAACTGATAGATATACTCCACTCTATCGGTACGCTAATTTATTTCTAGCCCAGTTACGCTAGCTTTAATCTACGCTGCCATTCCCTGATATATTTTATTTATATTTTTGGCTGCCAACAACAGCCTGGGCTCATTAAATTGGAAATTGGAAATGCTTTCAAGGTCGAGATGATTGTTCAAAATTATTGTAATTAAAGGCACCTTTTAAAGTTTGATCTGTCAGCACAATATAGTAATTATAAGGTTTATGTTAGGGTCAAAAATTAATTTATTTATTACTTTAAATTTCTTTAATTTATTTTTCTTTGTTTTGCACTTTATTAATCATTTTATTTCCATAAAAAACACCTTATAAATACATTTATGACCACTTATTATGCATTTTATGTGGAGCCAAGACCCAGTGATCTTGAGAAATATAAATATGCAGCATTTTCTTGGCGTAATGCCACTTGGCCACCACTTGCATGCACCTACACCACTGCCACCCGTCACCATCACCACTTTTCACTTCTCAAACCGCTTGGAAAAGCCTCTCAAAAACCTCTCTCAAATTCTCAGAAGACTAATCCCTTACCATGTGCCCTTTGTTCCAGTCCGCACCCACGACTACGACTATCCCGAATCGGAGATGGACGAGCGGGAGAGCCTGTATTTCGATACCATCTCCCTGGCGGACTCGGAGGCGGCCGCTGCTGCGGCGGCTCATCGCAAGTCGCTGTCGCAGTCGAGGAACACCATTTATCACTCGGCGGTGGATCTGGCCGGCGATGAGGGTCGCAGCGGCAGTAGCCTGCGTCTGGGTAGCGGCGCCGCTGCCGAGCATGCGGCGCTGGCCTGGCAACCGGGCTATCGCCAGTCGACGGCGCTGGAGCACCTCAACGGAGGAGGAGGAGGGGATCACACGGATGCTGCCCTGACCGCCCAGATCCTAGCCCTGCAGAATGGACGCGGCCACCTGCCCACAGGCATTGGGGTCAGCGGATCAGGCGGCGGATTAGGCGGAGGAGGTGGTGACGATGAGGTCTCTAGACGTCTGTTAAGAAATAGTAGCACCGTTTCTAATAAAGATAAGAAATTGCCAATAACATACTCCCAGTGGAAATCGAGGGTAAACATACGATCCAATTAAAATTTCAACAAAACCAAAAAACGACATTCCACATACGTTCCACAACGATTAAGCACTTAAAAAAAAAAGAAAAGAACTGCCACGGCTCAACTGCATCATCATTCTTGCTCTGCCGCCGCTGGCTTGTCCTTCGCACGCACGCACTCGATCTCTCACCTCATGTTTGTTGCCTGCGCCTGTTTGCCTGGCTGCTGTTGCTACTTCATCATCTCCATCCACGTCCACCACGCAGTCAGTCATCATTATTTCGTTCTGGTGTTTTCTTTGGTGAAAGTCGTGTCCTCTTTGTTGCAGAATCTCTGCAAGACTAGGCTTTTTTCTATATATTTATATATATCCTTGAAGATTCAGCTATCAATTCATACTTAATTCTTTCTTAAAGTTCAAGAGAGGAAAGATAAGAAAAGCAAAGAACTCAGTTCACTCCTGTTTTCTTTCTGGTTGCTCTATTAACGATATGTTTCAATATGCTTCAGATATTCTTATATGGTTATATCCCTAGAAATGATGATTTGATCGTATACTTAATATTATTACAAAAATACATGTTTTCATGGTTATTATATTTAGTTTCAGACTATCTAAATTTTAGGAAAATATCCGAAAAATATTTTTAAAATTATTTATTTATTTTTCTGAATATATTGGTAGGATATATCAAAGAGAATATCGATTTATCGCTCATATATCACTTTAATTAACAATGTCTAACATATCTTACTCCTTTAGGATCTATATATCAAACCGAAAACAGACATTCTATCAAATCCCAGAAGATATTTTGGAAATAGAGCTGGGAAAAAATCGATGTCAACATCGATTACAACGATTCTTTCTCTTTTGAACCGATTCGGTTTTGAAACAATCGATGTACGCAAAACCAGTGCTTAATGGAATTTTTATTTATTTTTTTTTTGTTTTATATTATGCAAATATTATTTTGTTTTTTGGTTTTACTTTTTATGTTATTAAAATTTTAATATTCTTTATTCAATTGAAAAAATCGATGTTATTTAAAAAATTCAATCGATAAAAATCGATGCATTGATAATCGATTTGTTTTCCAGTTCAAGCTGCATCATACTCATGAGCTCTATATACCCAAGTTAAATGTAGTTATTCTCTATTTTGATAAAATTACTCCCAAATTGCTGCAATTAAAAGAAAGAAGGCTACATCTGGAAGACTGCTGATCAAGACCAAAAAATGTATACTTTTCAAGGTCGAAACTTGTGAAAAGATGTATATAGTTCCCAGCAAAGGTATATAAAAACTCAAACGAAATTACAACGATACATCCGGATATTTATCACAGATATTTGTATAATCAAAAGGAGAAACAATGTAGATAGAATTACAAACCGTATAGCAAGGGGGATTGCATTTAGCTAGCCACCACTGTAGACATAATTATCATCATCATCATCATTATTTTCAACAACATAGCTATAGCCGTCTAATCACTTTCTGCACTCGAATCACGCCTTCGCTCTTCTTTGTTTGTTCAAATACACTTACATATAGTTTGCTTTTTGCGGGATCGCTAGCTTTGTTTATTTTGGAATCCTATATCCAAGAGAGCTGATCGGAGCACTCAGTGCCAGCAGCAGACGGTCGCCCATATCACCGGAGTCTCTCGGCCGCTTCGGTTGTGTTAAGATATTCGCTCCTCCCAGCGGCATGCTTAGTGGCCTTTTACACTGCTACCGGCGTACCGGAGAGCAGCAGCTGGAGGAGTCCGTCAAGGTGATAAGGGCGCCGCATCCGGGACGGGGGTCAGAAGGGGGAGAGGCACTCGCACCCACACGCTTTGCTTCCGTTAAGATAAGCAGATGTATTTTTAAGATTTCTGTCCCTGTGTGAATCACTTTTAATCTGATGATGCACTCTCTTGCTCTCTGTTCTCTTTCATTTTGCTCTCAACGGATCTCTCTCACTGGCTCTCTGGGACGTGCAGACATACAGGCGCTTTGACGATGGCAAAAGGAGCGTGGACTTCGTGCTGGCCTACAATGGCGAGGACCAGGTGGAGGAGCATCGTCGGAAACGTGAAATCTTCGAAACGAACCTGCAGCGCGAAGGTCTACAGCTGGAGCATAACAAGGTGCAGCGGGTGCACTTCATCAAGATTCATGCCCCCGCCGAGGTGCTCTATCGGTATGCGGAGATACTTAAGATCAAGGTGCCGCTGAAGCCCATACCCGGCCAGGAGCAGGTCTTTGCCGAATCCGAGCACCAGTTCAAGTCCGTGGTGAGCCGCATGTGTCGCAGCCTCTTTAGCTCTGTTCAGCTGAACACGGCCCTCTTCCCGGAGCGTGAGCCGCGCATTCATCTGGAGTTTTCCCGCAACTATCTGGAGCTATACGATACCGAGCATCCGAATTTCTTTGATGCCAGCACCCGCTATTCCATCATCAACTTTATACTCCAGCGACAGCATTTTGTCGAGGGCGAGGAGTCGGCGGACAATCTGGGCATAGAGAAGCTGGTACAGGACAGCGTCTACACGTGCTCCTACACCCTGCATGATGTGAGTTCAAAATATATATCTTATAGGTGGATATATACTATATTTGTAACGCTATCTTTATGGCAGAAAGACGATCGCGATCGCCTGCTCAAGGAGTGGGCCAACATCACCAAATGGAAGAAGTAAGTAGAATCAATTCTGTAATCGATATTTTAGTTTAGTGAAAACTGAGCTCGGCTTTTCCAAGTATTTTCCAAAGCAAAACCTCAGTTTCCCGGGAAACCTGAACTATTAGAACTTGAGAACCTGATCTATAAGCCAGCGCTGTTTGTAGATAAACAAACAATAAAGCTGAGTGGGCAGATTTTAAAAAGAAACTCCTTGGGAACGGTCTTATTTTGCATACTTTGCATATTTATTATTAAAAATCTTTTCAGCCTGCAGCCGTTAGACCAAATCAAAGACTACTTTGGCGCCAAGGTGGCCCTGTACTTTGCCTGGCTGGGCTTTTACACGCAAATGCTGATCCCCATCAGTTTGTTTGGCGTGGCCTGCTTCCTCTATGGCTTCATAACGTGGAGCAGCGATCCCATTAGCCGGGACATTTGCGATGACAATGGGACGATCATGTGTCCGCAGTGCGATCGCAGCTGCGACTACTGGCGTCTGAACGAGACGTGTACGTCTTCCAAGTTCAACTATCTGATCGATAACAATATGACCGTGGTGTTCGCCCTGGCAATGGCCGTTTGGGCGGTGGCCTATTTGGAGTTTTGGAAACGTTACTCGGCGGGCCTGGTGCACCGCTGGGGCCTCACCGGATTCACACATCACGTTGAGCATCCGCGTCCCCAGTACTTGGCCAAAATATCACGTTCCAAACGGCTGGCCAACAGGAGGACGACGACAACGACAACGACGTTGCAGGGAAACCATGAAGCCAAGCCAAAGGTTACCCTGGATCCGGATGTGCCTTTCTGGAGTATCAAATTCCTGCCCAACTTCACCAGCTACAGCATCATGGTATTGTTTGTGAGTAGTTGCCAGGCTCGGTCGCAACCGGTTTCCCATTTTACCCATGCTGATCCCTTCCAGATTTGCATATCAGTCATCGCCATTGCGGGGATTATCATCTATAGAATGGCCCAGCGGGCCTCGCACAGCATCCTGGGCAGTGAGAATTCCATGACATTCAAGGTGATGATCCTGCCGATGACGGCGGGAGTGATTGATCTGATTGTCATCTCGCTGCTGGATCTGGTATACTCGAACCTGGCGGTGCGTCTGACCAACTACGAGTACTGCCGCACCCAGACGGAGTACGACGAGAGTCTGACCATCAAGAATTATGTGTTCCAGTTCGTCAACTACTATTCCTCGCTCTTCTACATAGCCTTCCTCAAGGGCAAGTTCGTTGGCTATCCGGCCAAGTATAATCGCGTGCTTGGCTTCCGTCAGGAGGAATGCAATCCCGGTGGCTGCCTCATGGAGCTCTGTATGCAGCTGGTCATCATAATGGCCGGCAAGCAGGTGGTGAATGCCATCGTTGAGATGCTCATACCCTACCTGATGCGCACCCTCAAGGAGCTAAGCTACCGCCATGGCTGGTACAAGAGCCACAAGGACAATCGCCTGGTGCCGTACAATCAATTTACCGAGGACTACAATCTCCTGCCCGCCGAGAGTAATTCCCTGTATGTGGAATATCTAGAGATGGGTGAGTTTTGGCCTGGAATAAGGGTATATCGATTAAGCCATCGACTGATTATTGGTTCTCCCTCCACATTAGTTGTGCAGTTTGGCTTCATTACCCTATTTAGCTTGGCTTTTCCTCTGGCCCCGCTGCTGGCGCTGATCAACAATGTCGTTGAGGTGCGCCTGGATGCCATCAAAATGCTGCGCTTCCTCCGCCGGCCGGTGGGCATGCGAGCCCACGACATTGGTGTCTGGCATAATATCATGACCGTGGTTACGCGGATAGCCGTGGCATCGAGCGTGAGTCCTAAGAAATATGTCTTAAGTTTTGGATTTGAATTTTTCCCTTTCCCTTCTATAGGCAATGATCATAGCATTTAGCTCTAATTTAATACCGAAAATTGTTTATGCCGCCTCCATGGGGGATCCGGAGCTGAACAACTATTTGAACTTCACCCTAGCTGTGTTCAACACCAAAGACTTCCAGGTGGAGCCGCTCCTGGGTGGCAGTCAGTATGTGAACGAGACGGTGTGCCGCTACACCGAGTTCCGAAACCCGCCGTGGCATCCGCAGCCCTACAAGCGACCCATGATCTACTGGAAGATACTGACGGGTCGATTAGCCTTTATAGTCATATACCAGGTATGTTCTATGGTTAATCTTTAGTACTAGAACTGGAAATATTTTAGATTTATATCATTGATTCATAATTTTTTGGCTTCAACTAAATCGATTATTATCGAAAAGGAAATTTATAGCATAATTGAAAAATATCGATGAATCGATTATAGTATCTTTAACTGTTAAATAATTATTTAATCATTTTTAAATTAATAATTTAGAATTCATAATTTTTTAAGTCATAATCTATTAATTCATAATTTTTAAATTAATAATTTTTAAATCAATCATTTTTAAATCAATCATTTTTAAATCAATAATTTTTGAATTAATAATTTTTAAATTAATAATTTTTAAATCAACCATTTTTAAATCAATAATTTTTAAATCAATATTTTTTAAATTAATATTTTTTAAATCAATAATTTTTAAATTAATAATTTTTAAATTAATAATTTTTAAATTAATAATTTTTACATCAATCATTTTTAAATCAATCATTTTTAAATTAATAATTTTTAAAATAATAATAATTAATTGTATCTATAATTCCTAGAACATCATCACCATGCTGCAGGGCATCCTGCGTTGGGCCGTTCCGGATGTTTCTGGACGCCTGCTGAAGCGCATCAAGCGAGAAAACTTTCTGCTACGCGAACACATCATCGAATACGAGCGGCAGCAGGTTCACATCCAAGCAGCGACGACGCCGACGACGACGGCTACCCAGTTGAAGTCAGAGGAAGGCTCTGCTCTGCGCCAGCGACAACGCGAGACCGATGACAACAACACCAACACATCTTATGTATAGGAGGAGGGAGCCAGCTGTTTTGTTCCTTGGCTCCTTCGGCTCCTACATGCCATGTTTCTGTTTCGTACTTAACATGATTTGTGTGGAAATGCTCAACGAATATAGAGGGAAATGTGCATCGAATCGAAGCCCTCAAAGTCAAGCAATCGCATTTTTTTTAGAAAGAAAAAGGTTTTTATATATTGTTACGAGATGCAGGTGAGAGGATCGAATCACTGGCATCCCCGTTAGCGTCGCTTTGACAGCACCCCGAATATACAGTTATAGATATATGTATGATATGTATTTGAATATTTTTACACGTCCAAAGTGCATTAAAAAAAAAAAAAACAAAGGAGGAAAACAACGAGTATTTATAATTTGTAACGGAAACTGTTGGTAGCTATATATATTTATATGTACGATTATTACCAGCTAACAACACGTAACACTAAGAAACAATCCAATATGTACCTTACAAACTGTTACCCACACAACCGAAAAGCGATACACACAAACATATGTACAAGCAGCAGCTCTCCTTCAAATCCCTAGTTTGTTTTTTTTATCCTATTATTATTGTTGATTATTGCCAAGCGAGAGAGCGAGCGCAGTATTTTTTTGAACAATTCGTAATGCTACTTACATGTACATACAAGTGAATTGTTGTTTTGATAAAATATATTTATACGATAACAATGAGGACTACGATTACGATAGAGATTAAGGACAACGAAACGAATTGTGTTGTGCGCTGCCTGTGTCTGTATGTGAATTATTCAATAAATAAAGGATTGAGCTCCATTAATGTCAAAATGCAAAGTGTGTAATATTCATGATTAGCATCCTCAGGCGAGTCGATTTAGAGCCAATTTCTTGGCGCACTCAGATGGCTGTCTGTCTGAAAAATATATAGAAACAAATTGGTTTTATCAATGCCTGAAAAAACGATATCAAATATATCCAAAATCCTATTCCCTTTACTTATATTTAAAAAAATCCCTTAATATACAGACGAGGTCATTCTGCGTTGAAGTTTCCATAAATTAAAAGTAAGTTTTATTGGGTGTTTTGAGTGGAAAGAGAACCGGATGCACTCGGCCTTATATAATGAGCTCTATTGGAAGGCGATGAAGCAAATCAATTGGAACGCTGCCCAACAGAAGCTTGACTGGACAAGACGCACACACTCAATTGACAGCGACACCACCAAGCTGGGGACTCATGCCACCTAATATGCACACATATACTTAAAGATAAAATATAATAATGAGTGCAAGGCACAGTGGTCTTAAGAAGATGTTGTTTAGTATAAGATAAAGGTTTAGAATTTTAGAAAAAAATCTTTTTTAAAAGCTCCTAAAAGCATGCTTTAAAATATGTTTCACTAGATATTCCTTGATTTCTTGTTTTATTCTTGCAAAATTATGAAAAAAAACTTTGTTTAAAAGGAGATCTTAAATTATAAGATATAAGATTTGTTATACATAATATCCAAGCTATGCTTTTCTACCTGGGTCCCAGTGTATCGACCTCGCACCGAGCTAATGCAATTTGATGCAAAACGCAATCGCTCCCCGTGCGAGACAGCTGGCAATTGTCTTTGGTTGTGGATGTGGGGTGTCTTCCAGCTTGAGAAGCTCGTGGCACTGGGGATTAGTTTCAAATCTGTTGCGTCCAACGCTTGATGGTGGAGTCCCTCCTTCAAATCCGGATAAGTGTCGACTCTCTATCGAAATGAATTCGGTGGGTAAAGAGAACCAGAAAGGGATTAGCAAGGAATTAGGGATTATATTGAGTGATATTTTTTCTTGAGAGATGGAAAACAAAATGAATTAATATATATAATAGTTACATTCAAGCTCTTTAACCCCTTCTTCAAGGTCAAGCACCTCAAGGAGCTGAGAGAGGAGGAGCGTGAGGAATTCTTTGATTCCTTTAACTTGGTTTTCTGCGATTGCGATGGTAAGTGAGTAAAGAAGCGTATGATGAAATGCGTTCTCTACACTCTCTCCCTGAAACAGGTGTGATTTGGTACCCCCTGCGGGACTTTATACCCGGCTCGGCCGCGGCCCTGGCCCACCTGGAGTTTCGTGGCAAGCAGGTGACCTTTGTGACCAACAACAGCATTAGTTCCATGAAGGAGCACATCGAGAAGTTCGCCCAACAGGGACATCTGAAGATTGACGCGGTGAGTCAAGGACTCTGCCTGACTTTAACAAATCAACGTTGTTTTTTTTTTTTGCCAGCACCAAATTGTGCATCCTGCCCAAACCATTTGCGATCACCTGAAGTCTATCAAGTTCGAGGGACTCATTTACTGCCTGGCCACGCCGCCATTTAGGCAACTCCTTAAAGAGGCAGGCTTTCGGCTGACTGAAGAGGTAGGTGATGGGATTACCCACAAGCTGCTTTGATCAGTTAAAAGGAACATTTCGATAGAGTGGCCCTGGTATCATCAGGAGCCTCAAGGATCTGCATGAGGCTATCTATGGCGGAGAACCCGTGGCGGCTGTCGTCATCGATGTGGACTTTAACCTGTCGGCAGCCAAGATGATGCGTGCCCATGTCCAGCTGCAGAATCCCAAGTGCCTGTTTCTGGCCGGAGCTGCTGATGCCCTGATACCCTTCGGCCAGGGCGATATAATAGGTTAGTGATACCTCAACCTGCTGGAGATTTATTTCGATTTCGTTTTCAAATCAGGACCAGGACCTTTTATTGATGTGGTTACCCAATCCGTTGGCCGTCAGCCAATTACATTGGGCAAGCCGGGAGAGGATCTGCGCCAGCTGCTCCTGCAACGTCACCCGGATGTACCGCCGAATCGCGTTCTCTTTGTGGGCGACAGCCTGGCCAGCGATATTGGATTTGCCCGAGCCAGTGGCTACCAGACCCTGTTGGTCCTAACCGGCGGCACGCGGCTGGAGGATGTGCAGCGGCTTCCGGCTGGCCATCCCCAGGTACCGGACTATTTGGCCGATTGCCTAGGGGATATATGTGGCGCTGATAATCGCTAAAGTCAAGTGTTTATGCCTGATAACTCGCTGGCTATACTTTGTATGTATTAATTATATAATAAACTTGACATTATCGATTATAAAACAAATAACAAAATACATCAAAAATACAGATTTGGCTTTTATGGTAGATTAAACTTTAGCTATTCTATACTTGTTTGCTTTATAATTAATTAAAAGAAATTATATTTCTGCTTAGCAAAATTGTTTAAACATGAATTTATTGCAAACTCTTCCCTTAACCATAAAAAGTGCGCTCCTGAGCTTTGTTCTTCCTTTTTTTTTTGGGGAATTGGAGATGGCTAGACATGCGCCTTGGGTCCCTCGCCCAGCATTAGGGCCAGGTCGGCCACACTATCAGCATAGTAGTCCGGAATGTGGTTGGGATTCGTCTCGGCCTGCAGCTGCTCCAGGGTGCAGCCGCCGCTGAGGACAAGCAGCGTCTGGAAGCCGCACACGCGGCCAAAGCCCACATCCTGGGCCAACATGTCACCGATCATGAGAGCGCGACTGGGCTGGCTGATGGCATAGTGCTGGACAAGCAGTTCACCCAGCTGGCGGCCCGGTTTGCCCAGGGTAAGCGGCGGCTTCCCGCTGGCCTCCTCTAGGATAGAGGCAAAGGGTCCCGGCCCGATAATGTTCACCTCCTTGGACACAGGCAGTAGGCGATCGGTGGCACCGACCAGCAGGAGGCACTCGGGGCGCCGCAGGTACATGTGGGCACGCAGAATCTTCGGGGAGCTCAGGTTGAAGTCCACATCGACAACGACGGCGCGGACCGGTTCGCGGCCAAAGATGTGCCTGGCCAGGCTCTCGTAGGATTCCTCAATGAACTCATTGGGCTAAAGCAGTAATAAGAATAAATATAAAATATACAAATCATGGCGATCTCCGATCCTCACTCACCCCATCCAGCAGCTGAAAGCCCGCCTCGCGCAACACAGCCTTGAATGGCTGGCTGGCAATGATGTAGATGAGGCCCTCGAATTTAATCCTTTGCAGGTACTCCACGATGCTCTGCGCCGGATGCCAGATCTGCTCCGGCTTCACCTGCAGCCCGATCTTGGCAAAGCGACGAACGCACTGGTCCATCGTCCGGACACTGTTGTTGGTGACAAAGGTCAGTTGCTTGCCGATCCGCTCGAGGGCCTTATACCCGTCGGCGGCATGGGGCACCAAGTTCTCCAAAGCCCATAGAACGCCATCAATGTCGCTGAACACGTGATCGAAGGAGTCGCAAAAGCTGCGTCGCTCCTCCTCACTCAACTGCAGAATGTGCTTGGGTTTCGTCTTAAAGAAAATTAATAGAAATATATTAATTAAACAGTAGAAATTTTAAAATTATTATTGCTATTTTTTAACAATTTTATAATAGTGATCAGAAGCTTGAAAAGTAGCAGGAGTCATTTCCGATTCTATAAACCATATATGTTGTTGATTAGCATCAACAACCCAGGCAATCTAGCCATGAATGACATAAAAATTTTTTTTTCATATTTTTCGAAAATTTTGAAAGGGGTTATTGAATTAAGTATGCAGATTTGTTAACGTAATAATAACTAACATAACAACGTTTTCCGAATTCAAATTAATGTTTTTTTGACTGAGTTATGGCTTTTTTAAACTTCCAAAAATTGGATAAAATTTTTAAATGTTTTAAATGCTAAATTGACTATGCCAATATGTTAACCTTATAAAAATTAACATAACAATGCTTTCCAAATTCAAATTATTGCTATTTGATTGACTTAATATTTATATAATTTTTTTTAAATATATATTTTTACAAAGTATGATATAATAATGATATACAAATATTGATAAAAATTGATTTAAAGAATACGAATAAAAATATTTAGGGCATAAGATGTCCAAAAGATATGCCAAAAATAATTTTTATTTAGAACCATATACATTTTAATGAATTATAAAGAAAATATAGAGAAAACATTTTAGATATTTTAAAAATTTTTCATAACTTTAACATCATTAAATTGATCAACAAATTTTAATTTTTAAAATTGTTATACTTAATGTGTAGATTTGATACACGGATAAAAACTAACACAGGAAAGCTTTCTAATATATGAATTTAATGGATATTAAATCGATATTTATTGATATTATTTTTAATTAGTGATTAAGACATTAACGATTATAATGATCTGGCGAAATTTTTTGTCGACTGGAAAGTGATATCATCGAAACCATTCAGCCAATTTTACGAGCGCTGGTTACTTACAGTTTGTAGAAAATGTCTCATATGTTATGTGAGACTTCCTCCTTTTTAAAATGGAAAAAGTAATAAACTTAAAACGTTGTAGTATGAAAAAGCTATCTATATATAACCTAGGAATTGTTACGTACATATGTGGACCTATAAATATGATCATGTATGGATGTTATTAAATAATAATCAAAGTTTTCATAATTTTTGTATGAAAATATCGATTTAAAAATTATTAAAATCGATTTTAATTCATAACTCGCCTTAAAATAGGATGGTTTTTCTCAGATTTAATTATTAGTAGGAAAAGTAAAAGCATGATCACTATAATACCTACTATATCGTGTAAGGATTAGCCCAAAATCGATCTAAAATAATGAAGTTAAATGTGTTTCTTCACGGCATGGGTGTGGATGCATGGGTGTGCTTGGACTCTACGGAATAGTTGGATGACTCCGATTAGATTGCTCACCCTTCTGGTGGTAATGCTGCTGGCCTCCATGGCGCTCCTCAGATAAGATCTGCCGCGCGCAAAGAAAGGTGTTGTTATTGGGGCTACGACTGTGGGCCAACTAACGCCGCTAAATGACAGAGCTGACGAAACTGAACTAAAAACAAAGGCCTGATGCGGCGAGACCGTAACCGAATCCCGAACCCGACACTGAATTAGCACCTCAAAGCGGGGCGGCGAAGATCCCCCCACAAAAGCAGCAACAACAACCACAACAATGTTGGCGGAGAATCAAAACAAAAGCAGGCGGAAAACAATCGCAAAGAGAACCGCCGAACTGAACACTTCCCGGCTTATCTCTTATCGCTCCCTGTTTGACTCTCTCCCACTCTCAATTTCTAATTACATATCTCTCTCGCACTACTTTCTTGCATTCTTTTTACAGTGAAAAAAAAAAGGTTGATAGCCTATTTCTTAATTCTGTCTCTTGAATTTTTTACAGTGGAAAAAAATTTATAATTAATTCTAGTTAACTAATATTCTGCATTATTTTTGAATTATTTTTTTTTTTTTACAGTGGAACAAAAAATAATAATAAAAATTCGAATTCTCTCATTATTTTTACACATGAATACAAGTTTTATGTTTGCTCAGTGTAAAACCAGGTTTCGACTGGAAACTTTTCCAATTGTCTACCAATAAACTTAAGTAAATGATTAAAAAACGGATGGTGGCTAAATTAAATAAAATTTCCTGTTTATGTTTATAACTAAATTTAAACCGGGTTTATTAAATTCCTAAGCTGCGCTTATAAGCTTTAAAAAGTTTAAATTATTGGCGCTATATTTGGTATTATCAAGCAATTGACTTACGGTCACACTGAGAGGATAAACACGGATTGCGAGTGCGAAAATGATGCGTTAAAGCTCTAAACAAAGTGGAAAACACGCCCCGGATCGATAAATGGGCGCCGAGCACTCCCAGCAGCGGGCCGAGGCCGATGGCCACGAGATCTTCGAGGGACGCAATCCGCCCGGAGCGGATGGCCTTGCCACCGATGGCAGCTCCATGGCCCTGGCGGCCGCAGCTGCAACGGCCGCGGCCAACAAGCGCCGCGGAGTGGGCCACCGTCAACAGCAGCAGCAGCAGCACCATCAACATCAGCCACATCAGATGATGCCCAGCGGGATTGGCGGTGGTCCGGCTAGCATTGTGATAGCCAGCAAGCAGATCATCGCCGAGGCAGCCTCGCCTGGCGGCTCCGAGTTGAGCAGACCACCATCGCCGCCGCTAAGCGTTTGCTCCGACCTGCCGTACGTCTCCTACACGGACCGACCCATCGGCGACTCGCCCAAGATACGCAGCAAGCCGGCTCACATGCTTCAACAGAGCAGTGCCAGCCGGGCGGCCGCCCGCAAGTCGCATCCAGGCGGATTCACCACAACCGCCAAGCCGAAGCGGCCGCAGTCGACAGCCTCCAGTCACAACATAGTGATTGTGCGTCCGGGTGCCATCGATGCCGGCGAGGATGTGGACACGGACTTGGCCCGGCTGCGCAACATTCCGCAGTTCCTGCCCGTGCTGCGCGAGTCGATCACGTCGGCCACGTATACGCGCGATGCCGAGATCCTCGAGCGCCTGCACTCGCAGCACCTGATCAACATATGCACCCGCATGCAGACGCACCTGAATCTGTGCGCCAGCTATGTGGCCAGCGAGCAGAATCACTTGGTGGAGCGCACCAAGGTGGTGAGCAACTCAATAACGACTCTCTTTGCCGGCTTCGTTGACATGCAGAAGACCTACGCCTCCTATGCGGAGCAGTTTGCCAAGATCCGCAGCGTCTCCCATCAGCTGAGTCGCTGCAATTCGCTGCTGCACGAGAATATCGCCAGCCTGGAGGCCATCAATAATTTTCTGGATGACGAGGACCGCTTGGAGCCGTTTATCTGGCGCACCGATGACAACAAGCTGCGTGGCGAGGCGGAGGGGGCCACCGGTGGCAACAGCAGTCGCCTGTGGCGTCTGTAGGGCATCTTATCCAGGATTAGCGCGGATCATGCCTTCTCCAAAGATTTTCTTAGTCCGTAATCCTTCGTGTATTTATTATTGTGTATAATATTCGTGTTAACGATGCCACTTAATCGTGATTTTTAATTAGTAAATCCTACTTAATATTATGAAATGCAAGTTGGGATGTTTGTGTTAAGTACTTCGGTTGGAATTTCAGAGCTCTATCGGTGGGTATTATATATCAATATCGAGAGTCGATATATGATTTATTTTATAAATTATATATAATTTCGAACATTTCCCATTAAAGTTGTTAGTAACAGAGAGGCTTTATATCTCAAATTGGAACCTTAAACCGCAAACCTCAAAAAGATAGATAAAGTTATTCAGTTCAGAAACAGGAAATGCGGTTTCTTAGACCACAAAGAAAAGCGGACACGTCCGCCGATTGTCAAATATATATATTTACAGTCTCTGATATATAATGCAATTCATATATATCCATAAATCCATTTAGAGTTCAACGAAATCACCAGCGATATTTAACAAATAGACAGCACCAAAAGCACATTTATTTAATACACCTTACAACAAAATCCTTCTAGATCTTAGAGCCGAGTCTAGCTACGGGGAGAGGGTGTATTATGGCATACAGGATATTCATACTGACTAAGGACTATGGACAACACATATTCATCTATGTTTGCTTCTGTTTTTGGTTAACGCTACGTGAACAACAGCTTACATTTAATATACACACATGCAACTGGTTAGTATGGTGGCCTCCAGCCCCTCTTCTGCTACTTAGACTACGACTCGGGATGAGTGATTTGTGTTTGAGGGGAAAACCATTGCGCAAAATGATGAGTAGTGTTCCGAAATGCATCTCTCACAGTATGATGAAGCCGGCGATGGAACAATCGCCTGCCGTTAGTTGATTGTTTTTCTTTTGTTTGTCACCAGCATCGTTGCATCGCTCGCAGCAGCTTTCTGAGTGTCCAGCCGCAGAGAAATAGATTGGCCAGTGAGCAGAGCAGGACGAGGCCATGGGCGAGGGTGACGGCCAGCGACAGGAGGGGGGGCAGAGACAGGTACTGCTAGCGCTGCAGATAGCTGCTCCAATAGACCAGCAGCATGAGCAGCACGTTGACGGAGCTTATGTTCTAGAACAGCTTCTGCATGTGGATGCGGTCCTGGACGTTGCGAGCATGCTGTTGCTCCTCAATCAGCTTCAGCTCCTTGGCCACAGTCGTCTTCAGTGTGGCGTCCAGGGCCAAAGCATCAATAAAGTCACGTCGCGCCTGCATCGGATTCCAGGCCCCAGCATGGGCCTTGGCCCGCCGGAATAAAGCCTTGACATTGCGCGGATCCAGATTGAGCACCTCGTTACAGTGCTCGATCACCGCATAGAAGTCGCCGGCGATCAGTCGACACTGCGCGTAGTTCAGCAGCAGCGGCGTCTTAATGGCCGCCAGCTCCTGCCACTCATCGTCGTGCGGCTTCTCCTTGAGCATCAGCTGTTCGACAAGACCCACGGCCTCGCGATAGCAGGTCTCCGCCTCCGAGAAACGTCTGGCCTTGTAAAAGTTATTGCCACGCTCGCGCAGCGTACTGGTGGCCAGCATCTTCTCGTCGTCGGACATCTGCCAGCGCTCCTTTTCGTACTGCTCGGGCAGTTCGATGGACGTCAGCTCGATGATGAACTCCAGCTCAGCAGGATTTTGCAGCAGCTCGTCCAGATCGGGATAGCCGATGCCCTCGTTCTGCAAGGTCATGCCGCAGCAGTGACGCCGCTCCTCGGGCTTCTTGCCGATATCCCGCAGTGTCTTCGATATGAACGGATACTGGGCGCAGAGCTGTGAGAGAAAAAAATCAGTGAAAATTGGGTCAATCAGACACCCCTGTGGCCAGTGACGTCCGAGCATACACTCACCGACTTGTGCACGGTGAACTTGGCCACCTCGTTGAGCGACATCTGCTGCACAATCACCTCCCAGACCTCCAGCTTGAACTTCTTGCCCAGGACCAGCTCCATGGGTTTGCCCATTTTGCGGCTGTCGTCAATGATGCGGCTGTTCCCGGCCCTGCGGGTCTGAAAGTGGAACTTCACCTGAAAGACAAACCAGAAACCAGAGAGTGCGGCAATTAGAACACCACCACCCACTACATGCCCGCCCCCTTGGATGGCCTTGGCCTGCTTCCACTGTTCCTGCTGCAGATGTTTTTGCGGTTTGGGTTTCGTCGGGTTTCCCAGCGGATGCAACAGCTGCAGCTGCAGGCACTTACCCGGGTGCCTGGCTTCAGCTCGATGTAGGCATTGCCCGGATTAAGGATCTCCTTGCGTATGGGCTTCATCTCGGACTTGGCTTGGTCCTGCATCGCGGTTGGCAATTAAATAAAAACGCAACAAACAAACTTCCGAGCAAATGAAAACGATTGTGTTGCCAGTCTGTCGGCAGGCCAGTGATGCCAGATGGCCGGACTTGCGAAAGCTACATACCAAAAATACCAAACGGCTTTAGGGCTAGCTTAAAATACTGAAAACTTGCTAGACGTTAATTCAAAAAACGGAAATAGGAAAAACTATTGAAGTTTTTGTAATTTTAAGTAAGTAAAATTGAATTTAATTTTAATTTATAACTCTTGGTAACTATAATCAAAAAAACAGATTCCCCTTACATTCCTTGTTCTCAGTTTTTGTTTTATAAAAGAAAGCTCTTTGGAAAACGCTATAAAATACTACATTTTTAACGACCGTTATATAAATAAAATAATAAATAATTATAAGAAACTCTTGGAGTATTAAAATCTTTATAACTTACTTATAATATCCGGAAACTTTCGTTATTTCTTCCCAGTTTTTGAAAATAAAAGAAAACACCTTTTGGAGAATACTCTTCATATAATTTTTATGCAGGTATCAATATGTACGTAAGTATTTAACATTTAGGGGTGTACCCAGAAGGTGACTGGAGGAGGGTCGGTAAGGTTGCTTATATACTTTGTAAAAGTTATCGTAGTTGATTATTATTAAAGTTCTTACAGGCCACACACCTCCCCCAAATCGCCTCCTGCGCACACCATTAACACCATTTAACATTATTTGTACAATCTTATGTATTTTCCGGGTTTCTAAATCCACGTTTTTGTTTGCTGAATGTTTAGCTAAATACGCAGGGACTAAGACTATTAAACTGATTTCGTTTCTTGACTAGCTTTTAGTTATTTTTGCTTTTTGTAAACAGCATAAAATGTAACTCTCTTATTCTCTATGTAACTAAATCAACTAAATTATTGCTGTTTTTTTTTTTTTTTTTTTTTTTTTGTTGAATAGGATTAGTACATATGTAGGTAGTTTCCTTGCTTGGTGTGTGTGTGTGTAAAATATTTCTGCTGCTTGATGTCTCCAATGATATGTACGCTACTTTTATCTCATTTTGTTGACTAATTGTTAATTGTTTTTGTCAAAAATACTCATGGAGTAAAATTTTGCCATAATTCTCATAGTTTTATACACATAAGCAGTGATGGGAGTTGGAGATCTAAGCACATTTCCATTGAAAACACAAGTTAATTTGGTTTTAAGATATAGGAAATTATTCCAGCCCTAGATTGTTTATAATATTATAAGCGGAAAATTCACAAAACTTAATAAAATTAATTAAAAATATATATAGACCTTGAGAAATCCCGTTTTTATCTTGATACGAGATTTGATCACTGAATATAATAGTGAATATAATTGTGAACAAGTTCATTTACTTTCCAACTGTTCACTCAGATGTTCATTCAGCAACTAAAGCAACTTAGAAGTGAGTAAACAACTGTAAAGGTAACCAAGTGAGTGAACAAGTGAACTACTTATCACTACTCCCCCATCACTACATATGTATATGTACATTTATGTGGGTTTTTTGAGTGCGTTGGTGTGTGTATGTCTAGTGTAGATAGGCTAGAAAGGATTAGAGGATCAGTTTCGTTCGTTTCAAAACAGCAGGGCTCCCACAACGTTAAGCGCCTGATGGTTGCTGTGTTGTTGTTGCTTCTGTTGTTGCTGCTGCTGTTGCTTTTGTTGTTGTTGTTGTTGGTGTGTGTGATACATGCTTGTTGATGTTGTTGTTGTATTTGTTGTTGGCGACTTGAGTTCTTCCACAATAATGGCACCGTGCTCGTCCACCGTGTGATTTAAGAGTAAATTCTCAACCTGCTCATCGGACAGCAGCTCTTTAGGCTCTGAAGATCTGTAAATTGTGTGTTGGTTATTATTAAATATTTAAGATTATTTACAGCTGAACAGGACACGACAGTTAACCGATTATATATGAAGCATAGCGATTGATAAAGCAATGGGCACAATTACAACGAACTAAAGTAACAATAAGAATTCGATTTTTAAAGTAAAACAAGGACCTGGTACTCAGATATTTATCTTTAAGTCTTAATTTATCGTTGAAATATAATAAATCAATAAAATGAATATCCGAGTACATTTTTGTTTTCAGGCAAAAAGGTTTATAAAGCTACATACATTTGTAAATCAAACAGAAAAAGAAGCCTAGTTTCGGAGGTTAATGATGATGTAAGTGGTAATGGAGTGAGTAACATATATATATATATATATTTTTTTTTGTTCAGAAAACATAATCACATTTAAATTATTAAAACACACACAAAGTTTGCATTCAGTTTTGAAAGGGAATGAGAGCGAAGGTGAAGGTTTCGACTTGATTGAGAGGGGGATAGCGAGAACAAGTATTGTTATTAGATATTTAGTATTAACTAGCAAAAACAAAAACAAAATATAATAAAAATTGGGGCAAAATAACATGTGATAATAAATTGTTTTAAATTTTTTTTGATTTTTTTTTTGGCATTTTGAGCAGTACATACAGAATTTTTTGGTTTTTTTGGTTGTGGTTTTTAAGCGAGTGTGCGTTCGTGCTGTAATGGTTGTTGTTGTAATTGCTGTTGTTGTTGCAGTAGTTGTTGTTGTTGTAATTGCTGTTAGTAGTATATATATACATACAGTATATATATATATCTTTTGTTATAATGTGAGAAATATTGAAAGTAGCAAAAGCAGAGACCAAATCAAAGCAGCCAATTGTTGTTTGTGATATCAAATAGAATTATATAAATTTTGCAGTTATTTGTTGTAGGTTCTTGTTGTTGTAGGTTGTTGGATAGATGAGTGCGTTTTTAGAGTTAATTTTTTTTCTTGAGCTGGTTCTAAATTCGAGAGTCGCAGAGTTTTCGGGGTTTCGGATTTGGTTTTCGGTTTTCGGATTCGGATTCAAATGAGCTTGGTCAGGCGGCTCTGCAGCGAGTTGAGCAGGCTGCGACCTCCGCCGCCACTACTGCCACTGCTACCGCTCGCCTTATCACCATCTACTGACCTGCTGAAGAGGAAAAAATCACTTGGCCCGGAGGATGATGAGGCGGAGGCACTGGAGGCCGATGTCACCTCAGTGTGCGCGGTGAGCAGGGCCTCCTCCTCGGCACCGCTGGCATTATCGCCGGCCATCTCCGATTCACTGTTGCGTCGCTCCAGGCTGCGTCCGACCTTCTGGAAGCCGTAGCTGAACACATCCTTCACCTTGTCCCCGGCATCGATCAGGAGGTCCAAACTCTGCCTTCGGCCACTGCCCTTGAAGCTGTTCGAGCGGGACAGCCACTGGCTGAGGCTCTGCTTGCGACTCATCTGCTGGCCACCGCTTCCAGTACCGCTTGAGGCGCTACTATCGTCCTGGAATATCGTCGTGCAGGTAACTTTGCGCTTCGGCTCGTCCGATGACGAGGTCGAGTGCTGCGACTGGGCATCGGCGTCCAGCTGGTTCCGTCCCAGGCCCAGGCCCAGGCCGCCGCCAGTGCTGCCCGCACTCTCCAGGCCATGCTGCTCCAGCAGCGACTGGTTTGAGTAGCTGGAGCTGGTGCTGTCCGAGTGCGAAAGCCGGATCTCCGTCCACTGCTCGATGTCATTGTCCGCCGGTGCTCCAGCGGCCGAGGCAAAGGCTGAGGAGGCCGATACGGAGGCGGATGCGGAGGCAGATGCGGAAGCAGAGCCAGATCCCAAGGAGCCGCCGCTGCCCGACTTCAGATCATAGGGGGCATGCAGGCCCAGTGGCCCCAACCCGGACTCCCCATCCGCGGCACTGGTGCTAGCCGACTTGTGCATGCCGCCGGCTAGCTTCTGCGGGAAGGTGAGCACGGCCTCGAAATCGGTGAGCAGGTGGGGGCACTCATGGCCCAGCCGCTCGGGCATCTGCAGGTACTGCTCCTCGGGGCCTAATTCCTCTGGCTCCTCCTCTGGTTGCTGCTGCTTTGGCGCCACCTCGCCCGCTGTCAGAGCATCCACAGCATCCACCTGACGCAGCATGGCCTCGTAATTCAGGAGATTGTTGCGCTGCTGGCGCTGCCGGTGGATATCCTCGGAGATTTGCTCTAAATTCTTCAGTGCCTCGTTGTAGGTGAGCTTCGCCGCACTGACCTTCGCCTCCAGCTCGTTCACCCGAGTCTTCTGGGCCTTCAGCAGTCCATTGTAGTTTGCTCGCGTCTCGTAGTACGGCCTGCAGTATCGATAGCGATATGGGGGGATTCCCCCGGATTAGTCCTATGCACAGGTGGCATTAACTCAGTGAGCGATACTCACGAACAGAGGGTACAATACAAGGCGTGCATAATGCTAAAATATCTCAACAAAAGTAAATTGCGCTTGAGCTGCAATCTATAAAAGAAAGGAAAGAATAAAAAGAAAGAAGAAAAGAAAAGAAGTGTCGAAAATATATATATATATATAAAAAGCAGTTAGAAATGAGGGGAAAAAAATGAAGAAAACTTAAAAGTTAATTATAAAATGAGAGCCGAAACGGGGAAAACGTAACTTCGGTATATATCCGAAGGGAGATATTAGTAATTACGATTTTTTGAGTCTAATAACGCAATATCCTTGGGGTCAAATATCTATACAGTACCGATAAATCTACTCTCGAACGCTTCCATCTTATAAAATAATAAATTAGTTTCTTTGTAGATACTCTTTAGAGATACGCTTTATAGATACTCTTTGTAGATACTTTTTATGGATACTCTTTATAGATACTCCTTATAGATTCTCCTTATAGATTCTCCTTATAGATACTATACATAGATACTCTTTATAGGTATTCTATAGATACTCTAAGCTAGCTCCTAGTTTTTCAGACCATATTTAAGATCTGTAACTATCTAGTCTTTGGGTTTAGAAGTGTTTATACGGATTTATATTAATATTATCGGACATGGGAATTAAGGACACTTAGAACCTGCCTATATAATATAATATAATTATATCCTATTCAGAATTTTACCTGGATGCCCGTAAAGCCTGCTTGAGCTGTCCCTGCAGCTTGCCAACCCGATTATTGGCCACCTCGAGCTTAAGTTGACACATTTTGAGGGCATTGCGGGTATCGGTGACCTCCAGCTGGGATTGGTTCACCTTGCTGGCGGCATGGCTGAGCATCTCCTGGCAGGCGGTGTCCAGTGTGGATTTCTCGCCGAGACCCTGCTCGGCCAGATAGACCATTTCCTTGGCGGCGGCATGGATGGACTTGGCCTTCTCATGGTTGGCGGCCGCCTGCTGTGTCTCCTTGGCCAGCTGGGCGGCATAGATGCGGGATTCGTAGTAGGGCTTGGCGGCATCTATCGAGTTTCCCAGCTTGTGGGCGGCGGTCTTGATCCGCACCACGCTCTCCGCCAGCAGGCGTTTGAACTCGCACTTGGCCTCCTTGGGAAATATTGGGGAAAAATCGGGTCAGAGGGTTCACTTTTTTTTTGTTTTTTCGTTTTGGGGGGAAAAATCAATAACTGCCACTCACGTCGAGCTCCACCTCGTAGCGATTGATGTTGTCCGTGGCCGAATTCAGCTTCTCCAGCTCAATCTGGGCAGGTCAAATGAGGGTTAGTTGTCAGCTCCGGATGCGTGGGATGCAGATGGCTTACCTGGACCCTTGGATCCACGGGTGTGTTGCTCTCCGTCGACATTGCTGCTACTGCTGCTGCTGCTTCAGTTGCTTCTTGTGTTTTCTGCGCTTTCACTGTGATTTCACTACGTTCCGGGCGACGGGCGGCGGATGCACTGCATCCAAGGTTGCTCGCTTGTGGTGGCTGCTTCTACGCTCTGTCAGTTGCGGCTGGCAATTTGTTTTTATTAGGGAATCCGCAGCGAATCAATTGCTCCGACGGAGCTGCTGCTGGAGCTTTTGCAACAACAAATGCGTACACATAACTATGACAACACGACGCACGCAGCTTTCTGCCAGCAGAAAAGCCCCGCGAAAGACAGCTGGGCGAAGCCGTCAAGCACCACCATAGCCAAGGTGACCATCTGATGGGGTGGCAGCCGGTGGGCCGTCGGCGGGGAACACCACCCACGCACAGCTTTCAAAGCTCGGTGATGCGAAGTGATGCCACTTACAGCGAAAAGCTTGCCTAAGCTGTTGGGCAGCATGGCCAGGTGGGAATAGAATTTTGAATTTAACGGGCAAGAGAGCTTCGATTTATTGATCCTATTATTTAATAATTATTATTTACTTATTTATTTACTATTATTTAATACATTTTAAAGAAAGGCTTTTTCAAGATATATATCATAATCCATTTATGAACTGGAGCTTCTTATTGGCTTTAATTTTTTATAGCTTTTAGCATTCCGTTGAAATAGGTTCGGTATCATGATCTGGAACACGATCCAGAATTAATACCAAAAAAGTTTAATAACAATCGACTCATCGATGTTTCTATCGATGTTCTGCCACCCCTATTATAGCTTTTTTCAAATGCTGGCATAGCTTTTTCAAGAGTTGGCAGCACCGCCCGTCGCTGGCCGAGCTGAAAAACCAAACAAACCGAAAGAAAGCAGAAGTGAAGTTGTTGTCGCGACGGAAAGGTGTTAAAAAAAAATAAAACGCGAAGCGCACCGCAGTCCGGTTGTTATAATTTTTTTTTTCGGTGCCACCCAGTTTTGTTTTGATTTTTAAAACATAAAAGAAAGAGATTAACTGTGCGCGTTTCCGTTTGTTTTCCTTTTTCGGTTTGCGAAATGCGCGCGCGCAATTAAAGAAAAGCCGAGGAGGCGAGCGACTCTTCTTAAGGAAAATGTAAAGAAATTCAGATTTTCCAAGTAAAATGCAGTGGCAGTCGAAGAAAGCGAACGTGCTGCTGCCGCTGCTTACTGTTATTGTTGTTCTGGGCCATGTTGTTGCGGCTGCTGCTGGCTGGCTTTATCTGCATTGTCTGCGTCTTAACTCGTTTTTCGGTTCTTTCCTCCGCGCTCTTCGTGCGTGCCTCAGTGTGTGTGTGTGTGTGTGCGTGTGTGTGTGTGTTGTCTATAGATGCGCTTAGACGACGTTTGCCTTTGGCTTTTCCTCTGCTCTCCTCTTGACTCTTTGCCACACGCCTTTTTTTTTGTTAGTTTTTTCTTTTTGTTTTCATTTTTGGCTTTGCAGCAGTGGTAACAACAACAACAAGCTGCCGCAAAAAATCAATAACGGGATTGGCAGCCGTTTCGCAGTTGCTTCCTCCTTTACTTCCTCAAGTTTGGACATGTCACCTGTGTGTGTCTCTCTGTCCCTTCAAGTTAGATAACCGAAAAATAGGGGAGCAGAGGTACACAGAGAAAAGGCCCAAAAGAAAGGCCAAAGAAAAGAAAACCAGTCAGCAAGTGCATGTGCATGTGTCCATGTGGTTGTGTGTGTGTGTGTGTATTGACTGCACTTGCCCCCACGCGTGGTGGTGCCGCCGCACACACAATTCTTGCTTAATCAAAAGCCAAACATTTAATTAGGGTTAACTTCGACTTCTCCGCTTCGCTCCATTCAAACTGTCTCTCTCTTATTCTCTTCCTCTCTTTCTCTGGCTCCTTCTCTTTCTCTGCGGCAGTCAGCTACGCATCTTGAGGCTGCAGCGGCAGCAGCAGCAGCAACAATAAAAACGCAAACAGAAAAGGAACCAAAAACTAAACGTAAGTTCACCTTTGTTGCAAGTTAAATTAATAATGAACAATAATAATATTGTTAATAATAATATACTAAGTAAAATGTTTTATATAATATCATTATTTATTATTATTATTTAAGTATTTTTCAGGATTATACAGTTTGCTTTAATAACTAAATTATAAATTACAAAACAAACTTTAATAAATCAACAATTAGCTACACTGTTAGCTTGTCTATATTTATTTGTTTACTAAGTGAATATGCAGTTATTAATAATTATTAAATTCCAACTGACGAGCGATTTTTTAAAATAAATAAGTTATATTAATATTCAATGGCGAACTTATCTATTTTTAAAAATCACTCATACGTCAAGTATGTCAGCTTATAAGCTTTTAAACCAATAATTCTTGCAATTCTTAATAAATAGATTTTGCTAACAAATTATAATTTATTAAATTTCCAGAAATGGAAATTACTTCCTAATTTAATCATACAAATTACTTCAAAATTAAGTTATGAGGTTTAATTCGTTATTTATAAAAATATTTCTTGTTGTATTAATATTTAAATTAGTCACGACTTGAACTTATCGTTCATTCATCCATTTGCAATTTAGTCTTACCCTTGAGTCCCTATGACGACTATATCTAGAAACCCAAAGATCCGACGTGACTTTTTGCTAAATTCAAGTAAACTGAAATCAAGAATCAAAAATATATAAATCAATTTCTGTATTTTATGACGTTAATGTGGCTTTACAAGGTTTTTTTTGTTTAATATTTTAGTAATTAATGTACCTTTAAAGCTGTACCTTTAAATCGATTAAATTAAATATAGATTCAAACTTATCACCAAAGAAACTTTAAAGAAGATACAAAATTTCGAATACCATAATTTATGACTGAGAATGGAGAGTTCCCAGTGATCTTTATAGTACCTAAAAGGATTTATGATGTACCATATTAATGGTACAATTTGTACAAATTATAAATCCATACAAGACTATACCTTCTATAAATAATTCTGTGTTAGGGCGAAACACACACACTGTGTACAGCCGCCGGTAATGGTTAATGAAAGCTGCTGCAGCTGACACATGTTTTTCAGTGTTCTCCCGCAGATTGTTTTGATTTTTTTTTAATATTATCTTGTCTTGTTTTCCCCCTGTGCCTCCACACATATCTGAAAAAGGAAAGAAGAGGCTGGGCTGGGCTGGGCTGAGAAGGGGTGAGGCAGCGAGACATGCGACATGTTGTCTCTGTGAAATCATGGGGCTCGTTTGATTTTGTTATTTTTAAATGGTCTTCACGGCTCCACGCCGATGATGATGATCGCTCGGGGAGGAGGATGCTCCTCTGGGCTCTGCCTAGCTCTCTCTCTGTGTTTCTCCAGTGGCCCTGTGCGCTTTAATGCCATATCGCATTGTTATTGGTAATAACACTTGGTGCATTGGCCTCCTCGACCTTCGGCGTCGCTTAAGCAATTTTCACACGAACAAAGCCCCGGACCCAGGCTGGTGAGGGGCCCTTCACATGCACTTTCTGCGGCTGCTGTTGGTGTAAATGTTGGTGTGTGCTCACAAGTGCATAAATATTTCACTTATTGTTTGCGAAAAAAGGTCGCCAAAGGCGCGATTCTCTATAGAGTTCAAGGATACCACTGTGTTAGGGGTTATATGGCCAATATGTGTCGCTCTCACGGTTTATGGAAAACCAATGAAGAAATAGCAACGATTCCAGTCTTAATCTGCACAGAATGTAGGGGATATTTTATCTTAAAATATCAATATAATTACAAATATATTATAGAAATTCGATCCAAGTTTTTTGGTTAATTTGCGCATCGTTCCATCAATTTTTTGCCGGTGCAACATCACCAGGCACACGCATATGAGCCCTATATATCCATATCAGCGGCTGCATCTTCTTTAGCATCTCTCTCGCTTCGGCAAAAGGCAAAGTGCATTCTAATGGTTCAATGAACTTTGACCACATTCTCGTAGCTGTGGCTGTTGCAGTTCTTGTTGCTGCTGCTGCTGCTGCGGTGCGGTACGCGCTGCAAATTTACAAAAACTTGCGTTGTTCGCAACAACGACAACAGGCAGGCAAACTTACATGCAGCACCAGCAAAGCCACACTGAAAGAAATAAGGTTTATAGAACCAATCTGTTTTGATTAATTTTTGTTCTTTGGAATTTTTGTTAATTTAAATGAATTTTAATTTTATAAGAGCTTTGATTGATTTAATTTACAATAATACAAGAAGAGATACCACAAAAAGTATAGGGAATCTTTGTTGTTTTTGTATCTGACTTTGTACTTGGAAATTTTAAGCCATCATTTCTTAGATTTATGTTCTTTTTATATAAAATTATTGACAACACGAACGGTTTTCACAGTGCATCCACAACAACTTCATTATATTCATCATCGTTTGGTTTGAAAGGCAAAATGTAATTGCAACTTTTATGCTCGCCTCCCCTCTGGCTCTCCTCCGGCTGCTTCGTCATCTCAATAGCTCCATAGATAACTCCCCCTGCATTTCCCAATATCGAGGCATTTGTTTTTTTGTTTCATTTTTTTCGATTATGGCGCATTCTGAGAAATCGTAACTCAGCGGCGCCGGCGTCTAAGAATTCAACTCACTTAGCGCACAGACAAATACATGGTCAAAGCTCTTTAATTGACTTTAAACATTTTCGTTTCCAATTATTATTTGTTGCGGTTTAAATATATATTTTGCTCACGAGCTGTGAGCTCTGCTGGTGATTTATTTTTTATAAAAAAAAAGTAAATAAACCGAAACAGAAGCAGAAGCTACAACAAATAGTTGATGGGTCTTGGCAGATGATGATGGGTAAATGGAAAAGTTGATAATTTGGCAGAGAAAAGAAAAATGCCTTGTCAATGCTAAAGTTTAGTGAAAGGAATGTCTTAAAAAAACACACACAAAAAATTAACTTAATTTCCCGTTGTTGTGTATTAACAGCTCTTTGGGGTAGAGCATTTATTTCTCGGCTTGTCCTTCGCACAACTTTTGTATGTTTTCCTACCCCATTGTTTTGTGTATCATTCCCAGTTTGAAATCTATATATATAAAAATCAATTGCTGTTCATTAGTCTCGCTAAAACTCGAGAATGGCTGAACGGATTTATCTTATCTTGGTCTTGAATTATTCGTGGAGGTCTAGGGAAGGTTTAAAAGGTGAGAAAAATTCGAATAATTGCCGGGAAAATCCTCAAAACAGTATTTTTCTATTTCCCATACAAACGTTTTCTAAATAAAATGGAGAGTCAATTTGTAATTTATTACCGCTGTATAAAGTTCAAATTCGCATGCGCGTTGGAGGATCTAATATCGCGTTCCGAAACTCAACAAAAGTGAAAGTGAATCGCGAACGCGACAAAATTGCATAGTCTCACAGCTTCATATAGCTTCGAGAAAATTAATTTTAGCTAACTTCAGTTGTTAATCTGTCTTTTGTTTTTAATAAGACTATATAGAAATCGAAAGATAAATCTTAAGTTTTGTCACAAACGTTAAATTATAAATCTTAAGTTAAATTTCTGAACGCAATCATAATATTTGACATTAGATTTGACAACCAACTAATATGTCAATCCATCCTGTCTGTCGCTTTTCAGTCAGAATGGCAGTTTCGGCAGGACAAGGAGGAATCTTCTTTTTTATGCACTCCTCCGAAACGGCTTTACCGATTCTCATGAAATTTAGTGTGCTTATGCAGTTTGGTTCAACTTGATAGATAGGATAGCTAAGATTTTTTACATCATGGCAGTTTCGGCAGGACAAGGAGGAATCTTATTTTTTTATGCACTCCTCCGAAACGGCTTTACCAATTCTCATGAAATTTAGTGCGCTTATGCAGTTTGGTTCAACTTGAGAGTTAGGATAGCTAATCATGGCAGTTTCGGCAGGACAAGGAGGAATCTTCTTTTTTATGCACTCCTTCGAAACGGCTTTACCGATTCTCATGAAATTTAGTGTGCTTATGCAGTTTGGTTCAACTTGATAGATAGGATAGCTAAGATTTTTTACATCATGGCAGTTTCGGCAGGACAAGGAGGAATCTTATTTTTTTATGCACTCCTCCGAAACGGCTTTACCAATTCTCATGAAATTTAGTGCGCTTATGCAGTTTGGTTCAACTTGAGAGTTAGGATAGCTAATCATGGCAGTTTCGGCAGGACAAGGAGGAATCTTCTTTTTTATGCACTCCTTCGAAACGGCTTTACCGATTCTCATGAAATTTAGTGTGCTTATGCAGTTTGGTTCAACTTGATAGATAGGATAGCTAAGATTTTTTACATCATGGCAGTTTCGGCAGGACAAGGAGGAATCTTATTTTTTTATGCACTCCTCCGAAACGGTTTTACCGATTCTCATGAAATTTAGTGTGCTTATGCAGTTTGGTTCAACTTGAGAGATAGGATAGCTAAGATCTTTTACATAATGGCAGTTTCGGCAGGACAAGGAGGAATCTTATTTTTTTATGCACTCCTCCGAAACGTTTTTACCGATTCTCATGAAATTTAGTGTGCTTATGCAGTTTGGTTCAACTTGAGAGATAGGATAGCTAAGATCTTTTACATCATGGCAGTTTCGGCAGAACAAGGAGGAATCTTCTTTTTTTATGCACTCCTCCGAAACGGCTTTACCGATTCTTATGGAATTTAGTGTGCTTATTTAACCAAATCTTTATGCTTTGCTCGGGCTATTTTGTTGATGAGTTTGCACCAAATTGGTTGAGCGGTTCTTCACGAATTACATATTTTGTAATATATTATTTCAATAAATCGCATTTCGTCAGAATGTCTTTTCTTTTCTTGTCATTTGTCATTCATAATTATTGTTTTGTGTTTATAAGTGGTGAGTCTCTAAATTATCATTTGAAATACATTAAGAAGGTAAGATAATATTTTCAGCAAAATGCCACCGAAAAGATCGAATCTCAACAACGTAAGCAGCAGAGTGGCACGACGCAGACGTTTCGAAAGAGCTC